TTATTTGCACTTTTACAAATTATCTCTGTGTGCGCAAGAGAAATCAAATTCAGGTCATAACATTTAAATGATTTTTTTGTTGCTTGCGAAATGCAAATGATAACATTTTAACGAGTTTATCGGTAATTGCTAGGGTAAATCACTGTTGCATTTGATGCTAATTAATTAGCAAGTGCTAAATGTATCATTTTTCGTTCCAGTCGACTTGTTTGTGATAAACATTGTATCTCGTATCGTACGATGTCAAAATCAGAAATTCAGAATATTGGTATTATCTTATCGGCACTCACAACACTCGAGAGTGGCAGAGAGTGTATTACCGAAACGCAATAATTACCGATAGCCAATAATTACCAACAATGAACTGAATCAACTAATTAAGCCCGCTAATAAATGCCTAATTAGGATAATTAGGCAAATATACGAGTAAATAGATACACAAGTTTAATCACTGCTTCACTACATCTGCACTTTATAACGAGTGCAATGCTAATGTTATTTACTTGTTTCCTTATTACTGTGTACTATAGTAGGGAAGGTAGCCTAATTTGGACCAGCGCCTAAGTTGGACCACCACGATATCCGCGAACTGTTGAAGTTTTTGCAAAAATAGACAGGCCCCTTGTTTTACTCGTATTTATAAACAATTGATGCAACTATTTGAGTTAAAACTTGCCGCGTGTTTTGGTCGTGACAACAACTTTGTGTATTCTTGATTATCAAATCTATTATAACGACGTAAGTGCATAAGGTGTCAAGCTGTTTAAACGTTAGATTTCACAATTATTATTATATCACCAGAAAACTTATTTATTTATCTATAATTTATAGTATTAATTTGGAGAGGTTCTTCAAGTTGCCCAAGTTGGACCGAAGACAGGCACCGGGGTTTTAACAGGGAAAACGTATATCATTTTTTCGACCTCCTAGAAAAGCTTGTGGACGAGCACAACTCTTCGAAATGATCCAGTGTATGAAATGCCGCACTTTGGTTTAAACAAAATGTGCTTGTGTTAGTGCTAAAACTAAAATTTACTATTGTGTCAATTGCCGTTAAAAAAGCATGGTCCAATTTAGGAAACCGCGCGGTCCAATTTAGGAAACCGGTTTCTTAATTTGGACCAAAAACACAATTTTTTTAAATTGAAATTTCAGGGGTATAAATATAATTTTTACTTAAATCAAAAATATCATTTTGTAGGTAAGCCTTGTGAGTTACTTTTCCGCTACTTAATTTTTATTGACAGTTTATATGTGGCTCTATAAATCAAAAAAATATAAAAATGGTCCAAATATGGCTACTTTCCCCTATGTACTATAGTACAAGTGTGCCACAATGATGTAACAATAGAAATATCTCTAATTGAATTAACAATAGTTTTAGCGTTTTCTAGCATTTACTTTTATTATATTACAAATATCTCTCTAGTTTAAAAAAAAGTTGAAGTGAAGTGTTGTAATAATAAAATATTAAATTTTTATAAACTAAGAACCAATTGAATCCTATTATTACCAAGCGAAATTAAAGAAAGAAAATAGAACAAGAGCTGAATGTAAAAATTTATTTTCCTTACATAGCTCTTACAATACTTCTTTCCTTTCCTGCTCCGGATATTATAAATGGTAATGAATGAAAGCCTTGATCGATTCTATGCGAAGCACTTGTTATTTTTTCTTTTATAATTTAATTTCAATTTTGCATAAAAATATATAAAAAAGTTCTTGTAAATATAAACGTTATATAGGTAACGCAGTAAAGGTTGTAAACAACTTCTTTGACATTGAAAACTACTAACAGCTATAATTCCACGTTGAACTTACATAATTTTAAACAGTCTTTTTTTAACAATAAATAAAATAGTATAAATCGATACGCTAACAAGCATATGTCAAAAGCATATTTTAATAAACAAACTAAAGTGACATGAGTTGTTATTATCAAACTTCTAATCAACTCTTTCTAAAGTATATTAATAAATTAAAGATTTGCGAAGCAGAATGCATTTACAATAGCACCATCGATTCGCCAGTAGAGAGCCATCACATGTTCTTAGTGGTAAATTGCTTGTCTATAAATTGTAAGGTTTCAGGTTCGAATCTCGACAAGAGTGGCGTTCTTTTGTGCATGTCTTCATTGTGTAACATGATCCTAACGCATTATTTTGTTTGTGACGCTGTCAGGTAAAAGCTCCAGAAATAATCTTGATAAATTATGGTTTAGAGATAATTTTGACAAAGGAAAGGCGAATAGGCTACTTTTCGTTGCAAAAATATAACTTGAAGGGTGTAAAATAAGGGATAAAAGGAAATATAGAAATTCAATTACAGTTATAGTTAAATAATGCAAATCGAGATGACGTTAACGTGCATTACTATTTTAAAATGAAGATTAAAATCAACGCGGAGGAAGAGACGGGCAAATGAAGTAGTATTTAATTTAGGAACAAATACAGCTTCTAATGAGGCATACTGATAACAAAATATAGTAGAGACAGGTAGTATCAAATATTACTTCAGGAGGCGCTCTAAGAAAACTATAAACAAGTAATAAGTTTCATTTTAAAAATAAAATCACAATTATGATTCATGGAAACATTTGTTTCCTACAAATTTCTATATTTAATCTATTATCATTGAATTAATGTAGATTCACATCAATTAAAATCACGTTTGAAATTAAATTATAATTACGATAAATTCAATTAGTCTCCCATTTTAATACATATTGTTTATTTACCGCGTAGAAGTAACAGAAACATTCGAAAAACGAAACGTGGAATGTACTCAAGGAATGTTTTCTAACAAAATAAGTCTTGTCACGAGGTTTTTGTTATAATTAGACGCGTTTTAAAATTACATACTCACACACGCCTAAGCTCAAGTCAGCTTCACACAAATCCCAACTCAAACTAACAGCGGGAGCAACAGCAACGTTTTTCTCAATGAAATTTTCGACAGGCGTACAAAATTTTATTACCTATTATTATTTTTACTATCAACCAACTGAAACCAACTAACCAAAACACAATGTGTTAATACGAATATTGCTGTAGATTCATACGAATATGTATACATATTCAAACACGTGTGTGTATGGGGTATAGCGTGTATAGTGTATTTCGTGGCTAACCTAATTTCGACAAAGTTTCTACACACATAATTTCGTGCGTCGAAATCAACGGCAAACATATTCCAATGCAAGTCGTCGACGCTTGCCGCACGGAAAACTGTGCAACTCAGCGCGCTTTGCTTCACATTTTGATTTACAATGCTGTTGAACTTGTCTGACAACTAACTGAACTTCATTTTCGCGCTGATTACACGACTTTCTAATCAATGCAAAGGAATTTACGTGCATACATTCCGCACAGACATTAAAAAACAATTATTTTTTAATTCGTTACCATAGAAACAACATTAAAAAGTTTGTTTTTCACTAAATAAATCATTCTATATATGTAAAAAAAAGTCGCGTTAGTTACAACATTTATATCTCAAGAATGCGTGGACAGATTTAGATGATCTATGACTTTTTGGATTCGTCTTCGCTTGAAATAGCAGAATAACTATTAAAATATCAAAAATTATGATTTAAAAGGTGTTAAATAAGGGATGAAAGTTTGTATAGAGATTCAATCATAGTTATAGTTAAATAACAGAATCCTAGATGGCGTTAAAGTGCATTATTACCATTTTTTTCTTTTCCTTAACACGTTGAGGACGGCGCGGTTTTTGGGTTTCTGTCGCATCGGGCGGCGTTTGAGCATTTTCAACTCCGTCTAATTAATTCAGCTGTGCGCCACTGGTGGTTATGCATTGCTGTATCAAAAAGCGATTGTTTTTGCAGTTGCGTCGCCATTTATTTATTTTCTTTGTAATGAATGCCTTTATCTTTAGAGTCCGACCGAAACTATGTGCCAACTGAGATGGCAAGTGACGACCACGACTTAGCCGCGAGTTAGCCGAACGACGCACGATAATTCACGAACACTGAGTTTCGGTTCTGCCAAAAGTTTCATCCAATTTTTGGCCGAAACCAAATTTGAAGCCAAAACTGAAACTTTGGTCGGTCACTATTTATTATAATATGTAATCTGAGTGACGCATTTGATGACAAAGATGCAAGGCCCTGATTGTATAGGTGAAACGAGGAGAAGATATAACCTAACCAGTGGCGTAGTCAAAAATGAATAAGTCTCGTGTCCAATGAGCCGTGTACCACCGGTGGTACACGCCGTCCCACAGACCAGACGCGTGTGTACCACCGGTGGTACACGCCGTCCTCAACGTGTTAAAATAAAATAACGAATCTAAATGCTAGCATTAACAAATTTTAGGTCCAAGAAACAAGAAAATAAAAACAAATGAAATTTATACTATAAAAAAACTACGGGGACAAAGTCTTGGGTAAAACCTAGTAAAAAATAATCTTGGAAATTCCAAAATTTTAAACAATAACGTGAAAATATCATATACTTTGTGCCCAATCAAATAAACGAGCATAAAACAAGTTCCCTAATTGATATTTACATCAACGAAGTTATTTTTACAACAAAACTGTAATTAAATATTACTTAAATTGTAGTCAAATGTTAAATAACATGTTATCTATTTATTTATCTCTTATTTACGCCCTAGCAAATGTTTGTTTACGCCGATTTTCAGTTTTGTTTTGTTCGCTTCGTGTTTCAGGATGCATATTTTTATTTTATAATACAATTTGTAGCCAGTAGCCAGAGTATTATTCAGTTGCAGTTGCATTGCTCCACATTCTCGCAACATAACACAAACACGCATCGCATGTGAACCGCACTTAATTAAACAAATACATACGTTTAAATATACGGAGTTATCATTCGGTTGGCAACAAGGTTGTCCGTCTGACCGCCGTGGGCAATTCGTTCTTATTTTAAATTCATTCAATTGTTATTTTTATTTAAACTTTCCGAAGACTATATTTAGTGTTTAGTAAAAGAAAAAAAAGGTTTTAGAAAGCTTACCTGCGCTTTGGTGGCGGTTTACTACCCTTGTTGTTGTTGTTGTTGTTGGTATCCATGACTGGAGAGTCCATCTCGTCAAGAATGTTTTGTTTACGTCTTAGACACTGCTAAGGAAGTAAACGCACACGGCACACATTCGATGGGCGCACGGGCTCACTGGCTTAGCTCTCAGCTCGCAAACGGGACACACGGTCGTCGCGATAAAAACACCTTCCACATTCGACGATCAGCGGGCGAGCGGGGTTCACTCGAAAGGCTCGAAAGGTGGCTCGATTACAACGCGGGCGCATCGACGACGCATTAATCGCGACGACATAACCAACCTGGACTCGCACGAAACGATCGCAAACGCGTTGCGATGGATTCAATTCAAGTTGCAGGCGAAATATTAGAAACGTTGCGTTGGTTTACTTCGGTACTTCGGTTGCGTCAAGCTGGCTGGCGCTGGTGACGTCAGGAAATGCTGGCGACTGGCGGAGAAAACACAAACACGTTCTGCTGTGCACAGGCGCTCTGCGGCGAACCTCATTCGCGAGTTCACGAGAACTTCGGACCACTTCGAACGTAAGCACGACGCATCGTGCACAGCTGGCGATAAAATGGATGCGAGCGAAATAATACCGATCTCAACCGACTAGCGACATCTATACATCAATCGCGGAATCAAAACTAAACTAGTTATACAATAGATCGATAGATGTCGATAAACATATCAAATTCATTTAAAAAATAACAATTTTCGCCAAATATAAATTTAATCCACTTTGTACAGTCGGAAACCATTAATACCACCTTTAAACATTAATTTCCTTTCATGTTTACGTCAATAATTTGTGAATAATTTACCGCACTGAGATTTATCACTGGCAATTGCTTTTCAACATCATTTTGGGGCAAGTTTCATCTGCGTCGCAAACACTTGGCACACGAACACTGCGCCCTCTCTGGCGCATAATTCCTTCTATCATACATATGCTCCGAAATAGGTCTTGGAGGTAATGGTGGATAACTATTTTCAAAATCATACTGATTGGAATTGCTTGAATGTCCATTATCTACCTTAACCCATTCATTCTTCCTGGTATCCATCTGCCAGGTACCATTACTATTGGTATAAGTGGAAGGCATATCATGTCTTACATCCATCTTCTTTCTAGGATTATTATCCCTTCGATTATTCAAATTGGGATCCATATAACGCGCAACCTTCTCCACATAACCCGAATTCCTTGGGAATGGTGTAGGTTGATAATTGGGACGTTTCGCCAACGCTTCACTTCTTGTATTAAACGACCTCCTACGTTGTTTCTCCATACAACTACGACATTTACATTCATGTACGTCATTCTTGTCACGATGCATTGACATGTTCATATTATAATGTCGCAGAGATTCGTCATCTTCAAAAATAGGTTTCTCTAAATTTTTGTTCTGTCTGCTTAACATCTCGAAACGCTGCATGGTTTTCTGTACACGCATTCGGTTGCGATGCGAGAGAGTAGTTTCCAACTCATCCATCAGTTCCGGGTAGTCTCCTGTACGTTGATAGGCAAGATTCATACACTCAGAGTTGGAACTGTCCGAACAGCAACTCATCTGATCATCGGATTGGGTCTGCCCACAATAATGTTGATCATCATGCATGCAATGACATTGACATCTACATGCGTGATGCATGGGACAATGATCATAACCACTACAGTTGTTCGAACATGTGGAATCGTGGCTGTACGAAGTAGAACCACCTGGTTCTTCGTAGGGATAGGGTTTAAGAGCTTGACGGTTGTTATTGCTGTAGCCACGATTGTAAGGCTTCTTAGTTGAATAATTCCTATTAGTGTTATGACTGTACATCTCCTTGCGCTCGTCCTGTTCTTCGAGCAGTGGTTGCTCACGTAAATCACGGAAATCTCTTTGCCCACGACTATCTCTGTTATCTCGTGAGTCCCTTGACTCCCTGGGATCTCTTGATTCTCTTTCTTGGTGTGATGATCGTAGGTGTTGATGTGGTGGTACTGCAGGTAGTTGTTCTGCACTGTAATGTTCCTGGGGAGGTGGTAGTGGAATATGAGGTCTGTCTAGATCCCCACGTCCTTCAAAACTATGCCCAGGTGGATAAGTCCTTGGTTTACTTTTCCTGCCAGGTGGATGTGGTCTTGGTGGTAAACTCCTTGGATTATCAACGCCTGGGAAATTACTATAAGAGTCTCTTTCTTCAAGTTGATTTGGTACACTTTTGGAATGCGAAGGATTTTTCGATTGTCCACGACAAGATACGTAGGATTCTGAGTGGCGATTGCCTTGGCTGCACCGGTTCTCTAAAGGTTGCTGAACGTTGTTGTGTTTGGATGAAACGGTACGATTTGGGCAGCACGGACGACAGCAATCTCTCATATTCCCACGATCTGGTGCCTTTTTATTGCTACCACCGTTCTGGTCCTTCTCGGGTTGCTCGCGCGAATATCGTTGGTAATCTGGCATCACCCCTTCACCGTCACTCTCTGTAAAGTGGTCTGAATCGTCGTCGGTATCGTATCCAGCTTCGTACTCATCCGAGTCTTCATACGAAGAAGATTTTCTACGATGAGAAATTTTTTTCTTTCTACAAGCAGGGTTCATACAATGTTGTACCTCGTTAGCAAAAGATACTTGTCTTTGACAACGTTTTAATTTACACAGTTCAGGATTGGTGCAGATCCCTTTTATGTTACACTTTGTTCGCACCCTTTGAAGAGGAACCACTGCGGATTCCTCTTCTGCAACTGGCGGTTCTTCAACAGCAGGTAACGCAGGTAATGGTGGTAAGGGTGGTGATAAGGTTGAGTTTCTAGAAAGAACCTGTGGTGGTGATAAAGTTGAGTTCCTAGAGGGAACCAATGGTGGTATTAAAATAGAGTTTCTAGATCTAGAAGGAACCAATGGTGGCTGTTCAATTTCAGTCTCCACCTCAATAGTTTGCTCTTCTGTCAATTCAGGGATTTCTTCCAATGGAATAAATTTCGTTTCTTCTTCAATGCTTTCAGGAAACACAGTCTGTTCTTCTTCGTAGCGTCCAATCGTTACTTGCTCCTCAGGAATTTCAAAAGTCCCTTCTTCGTTAATCTCTCCGGGAACCTCTTCCTCCTGAATTGATATTGATATTGGATTGATGCTGGATTCTCGGATACTACTTCGACGTTCCTGAATTGGTTTGGCCTTGGGTTGGTGATGAAATAACGAGGGGAGTGTATTGTGGCGATGTTTCTGTTCTTGTTCGAGTTCGGTAATCTCCGAATCGGTGCTATCAAAAGTCAGATCGTATTGCGGTGGCGTACAAATCGGAACGTAATTTCTTGCCTTTTGTTCTACCTCTGGCTGCCCCTTTAAATCGTTATCCTTGCCAGTATCGGAAGCACCCGCTCCCATTTATTGCCGAAACCCTTTCCCATAAGTAACGAAAAATACCGAGTGTTACTCACGACCGCACTCATTAAACAAAAACAGTCAAATCGAAAAAAATAGACATTTTTACGCCAAATGTGTTGCCAATTTATTAGTTGTCATTGCTTAGATGTAACACATCATCCAAATCACTATCGTTGTCATCTGCGTCGTCCTTTGTTTTCCAGCTATGACAGTTGATAATGTGATGATGGTGTGCGAATCGTTTGAAGCATTCAAAAGTCGAACGTTCAAACATCACCTGTCCGAGGATCTCCAGGACGATGATGGATATACTAATGATCATTTCTTTCCCTTCTATCATGGACGTTGTTCATGGTTTCGATTGCGTTTGCGCAGTCCCAACACATTCGCCATCTTTTTCAGTAACTCCTTACCACGGTGACGAGGTGCCGCAACAGATGCTTCTGCCCCACCAGAACCATCCACGTTCCTTGAAGTAGTATTATCCAAAATCACAGGGGCGGTATTAGCACGCGCGGCCACAATATCAGCATCCATTCTAGGGTAATGACCACCAATCGAAGGTTTTTGATGGTTAGAATAATGTGATGATGAGACTGACAGTTCGGAAGCACTGGCAAAACCGTGCTCCTTTTTAGAATACGAGAATAGTTTAATTATGCTGTTGATCTTTGCCTTGGAAAGGGTTTTCTTCGTGGAGTTGGTGGTGATGTTCGAAGGGTTACCTTTCACTGGTACAACATGCTCGGGGTCCATTCCTATACTGATTGTGGCACGGATTTATAAATCAACAACATCAGATGGGTGATTATGCGAAAGTTTCACTTGGGATTTTACGACTTCATCATTTGACGTTTATTCAAAATATAAATTCATTGAAACATGACAGGAGAAATATCACAGCCAACTTAACTTAATCATACTAATCATAATCATCATTGTTACATTTAGTATACTTAACTTTACTAGACTTAACACCAAGCATATTCAACAGGCAATTCAATGGTTGAAATCCACTTCTAGTCATTTTAACATCAGTTTCTTCAGATTCAGATTCTTCAACTGTGTCATACACACGACCTTCTCGGTTCTTTTCATTTAAATGTTTGTAATAATTTCTAACCCTTTGTTGGTACATTTTTCTTTTATCTTCTACAGTATCCTGTGGATGTGATGGATATGGTCCAATTTGTTTCGGTAGCAAGAACACAGTTTCATTTTCTGAAGTATCCTCAGCTATATCATAGGTTGTTTCTGAATAAGTTTCATATTCGTCATCGTCACCTTCATCAACTTCTAAGTATGTTGTTGTGGTTGCATCCAATGAACATCTCTTCACACTTCTTTCTGAAGTGTTTTGCGAATATTTGAAAGGTGTTTGTATATCTTGATCAAAAGTGTCTGGATAAGTACTGACAATTGAATTGTTTCCAGCTGGGAAAGTGTTAAACTTAGGACTTCGATGAATTTGACGTGGTTGTACACTATAAGGACTATCATAAGAAGATATCAATGAAGAACTAACAGATTCTGTATTCTGTATTTCTTCTGAAGGGGAGAGTTTAGTAGAATACGTGTTTGAAGTTGGTTTACTTATAGAAGAAGATGATACTGTACTTCTATAGGTATCATATTCATTGATAACACTATACTTGACTTTATCTTGGAAATAATGGCAATTACAACGTTTTGAACGTGGAGGGGAATCATATGATGAAGAAGGAAAAGTCGAATTTGAAGATGAAGTGTGATGTAGATTTTTTTGTTGCCAACTGTCCATTGTATAAGTCGTTGATCGGGAACTTCCCAATTGGCAGGAACAACATTGTTCACTAGATTCTTGTATCGGCGTTTCCTCATTATCCAAAAACCTTAGATTCAATTTTGGTACATCTGGATGTACTCCTTCTTCGTGACCTTCAGTGACCTTAGAATCTAGAGAACAGTTCATAACCAAAGAAGAAACTTCTGGTGATGTTTCAGATCCAAAACTTTTAATTTCCAAAGGAGACATGTTTAAAACTTCCATATTTGCAACAGCTTCCACTTGTTTCAATTGATATTCAGAGAAGTTACTCGCTGGGCTATCATAAGATGTCAGGGAAATTTTCTCCAAAGAAGTAGCAACATTAATCAGATTTTTTTCTTCTTTTGATAATAGTCTGTGTTTTTCTACATCTACATCCTGTAAATTTGGTGTTTCTATTATAGAAGTTGCTGTGGTTGTCGCGTTTTCTTCCCAGAAATTATCTCTACGTCTTCCAGATGTTGATAAACTTGTTTCCTTTTCATAGGTACTACTAGATTCAACATTTTCTAGGGTATTAAAACAAGATATCTTAGAATTTAATCTTTTCATTGGTAGGTCATTTGATTGGAAGACAGTATCATATTCTGAATCATCAGAAAAATAGTTATCTCGTTTTTGAAAAGATTCTAGAGTAGATCGTGGAGTATCAGAAAATGTACTGTCGGATAACCTTCTACGACATCTTAAATGATGGTAACTCTTGCGTTTTAACCAAGATTGTACTTGATCATTCTCTGGACTTTGATTTAAATGTCTCAAAGAACCTTCGTTAAAATCTGTGATTATACTAGAAGTATCCAAATCTTCTACATCATACTCTGGAGCTTCATCTAGATTAAATAATAATTCAGCGTGGAATTCTTGCATGGATGCTAAATGTGGAATGTTTTGTTTCTCTACATCTTTGTGATCATTTCTGGGAGTAGTATCTGTTGATATTTTTGAAATATCTTTATGTTTTTGATATTCAAAGTCATAATCGCTTGACCAATCGGAGTCCCATCCAGTTGCACCTGAACTATAGTCGGAATCATCGTATTTCTTTTTGGGTAATAATTTTTTCTTGTCATTATCATCATTATCATCATCGTCATCGTCATAATCAGTATCTGTATCAGTGTTATATTTTGTTTTTGTTTTCTTCTTTTTAGAATTTTTCTTTTTCTTTTCTTTGGATTTTCGAATAGATTTGCGTTTTTGTTTAGCTTCATCTTCAGAAGAATCTTTTTCTTCGCTTATATCGGATAGGTCTCCATAACTTATTGGGTCCAGACAAACAGTGCAAAGATTTTGAAGATCAGTAAAACATTGTTCGCAATAAAGACCAGGACAATTCGGGGTTTGACATTTGATAAATTCTTTTTTATCTCCTTCACGATATACTTCTCCGCAGAGGAGACAATAGGATTGTTTACCAGCGCCGAATAAAAATACACAAATTGGATATTTGCTAATAAAAAAATTAGAAAAGATTGTGAAGTAATAAATTAAGTTAAAATGAATAATATTTTAACTTACACTATTCTTGATCGTAAAAATTCTTTACACGTAATTTTATTTACAGATTTGTCACCCATAACTTTCCTTCTTAATTGCCTTCTAGCGAATTTAAGAAAAGAGGATCTAGATCGCAGGATATGATTGTATAACCATATGGTGCGTTCGCGTGCGCGTTGTGGATGATAGAAACACATCACAGAATGTCGAAATCTCAAACCGTAGGGTTCAAAAATGGCCAGAAACCAACACAAAAATAACATACTCCCTAAAATTCTTGTATCAATAAAATTATTTACTAGATACTTCCTTAAATATAGTAATATTAATAATATTAACCTATTTGAATGTACCGATCATAATCTGGTGGAATTGGGTCCGGCAAACATGGAATTGTATCAATTTCTAGATTAATTCCCAAAGGTTGAAATGCTTTCACAATGCCTTTTAATAACGACGCTAGAAAACCTTCTCCTTCTATGGAGACACCCGGCATATTAGGTGCATCTATTTTGGATTGAAAGCGACCATAATAACGAATTTTTGTCATTATCCAATAGAGCGAATAATCAGTAGCCATGTGAGTTGATAGTTTTAATGTTGACATTAGTAAAATCATAGCTGCTTGAGAAAGTCTTGATTTTTCTTTTTTTACTAGTCGCATTGAACCTGTCTAATAAAATTATTCGTATATTATATTCAGTAGTCCCCATAAATTAAATTAATAAATATCATTTGAAGCTAATTAAAGAATCAGATCTGCATAAAATGTTACTGTAATTTTACTGGGCATTTTAAGCAGCAAAAATCAAACTTTAACACTAAACGCCATAAAAAATTAAATGTAACAAAAACAATTAGAATAAGAGCCCGTGACGGCCAGACTTTCGTCATTTTAGGAAAGATGAAATTTTGTTCATGTGTTTCTCCAACACAGGTAAGAACGATCCCCAATTATGAAACCTGGATCGTGGTTCCTTTGGCAGTTAACAGCCAACAAAGTACATCTTTGTGATGACCTATGTTTCGTTATTTTAGCAAACTCCATTTTTGCATATTTTGTTCGTAACATTATTATAACATGCGCTGCTCATTGCCAGTCACTTGGTATGGTTCCAACCATTTTTACTTTCGTTATATTAGGAAAGCTGAATTTGATACACATTATGCAGAGAGCTATGAAACTGTGTTTTTTTTTCGCGCCAGACAGTTTGGTCGGTTCTATCATCTTGCCAGACGCATTGAAAGTGTATAAAAGTTGCAAAAGTTAAATTGTTTAAACATGAAACTTTCAGAGAATAGTTATTTTATTTGAACAAATATTTAATAATAATCATTACTGTCGTCGATATCTTTGCGATTCGTTCTTTTCTATCTTCTTTAGTTTACGATATATTAGCAATAGAAATTAAACGTCTAAAATTGAAAAATTGCTCTTTTGAGCACTTTCAGTCGCGGTTTCAGTCGCGGTATCGAGAACAATGATAAAAATTAATAAAGATTTGTTAAAATAAAATTAATATTTTCTGGGAATTTCATGTTTAAACAATTTAACTTTTGCAACTTTTATACACTTTCAATGCGTCTGGCAGGATGATAGAACTAACCAAACTGTTTGGCGTGAAAGAAAACACGGTTTCATAGCTCTCTGCATAATGTGTATCAAATTCAGCTTTCCTAATATAACGAAAGTAAAAAAGTTCAAAAATATTATAGTTTAAGGGTGTCTGGCTAGGGTTGAAACCATACTAGGTGTCTGGCAATGAGCAGCGCATGTTGTAATAATGTTACGAACAAAATATGTAAAAATGGAGTTTGCGAAAATAACGAATTTGAGGTCATCATTTGTACATCTTTGTTGGCTGTTAACTGCCAAAGGAACCACGATCCAGGTTTAATAATTAGGGATCGTTCTTACCTGTGCTGGAGAAACACATGGACAAAATTTCATCTTTCCTAAAATGACGAAAGTCTGGCCGTCACTGGCTCTTGCTCTAAATGCAAATGTCAATGAAAATTTTTTTAAATAAAAATACTTACTGAAATATACAGTTTTCTTTCCCTATGATTCAGCGGCAAAATTGTTTCTAAACCCATCTGAGCCCTTCGTAAATCCAATATACGAAAATCTTTCGTAATAAACTTGTTATCAAACATCTCGTTAGTCAAAAACTTATGCCTATAGTAAATAACTTTAACAACCATAAAAATAAAGAAGATACTTGCTGCACTGCTCATAAAATTAAATATTTTAATTAAACCAGAGCTCCTTTGCTTGATTTCAGTCACAATACCAGTTGTAATATCTCCCATTGACTTTGTATGATTCGATTCAAAGTGATACGAGTGCGAAAATTTAATTCGCACATAGAACATTGTGCGGATATGTCGAACAAACTGTTTAACTTCTAAAAATATCAAAATTTAAATTTAAATTGATAAAATTTAAAACATTAATTATTTAATCACTTGTAACAATAGCTGAAACTGTTCCTTTAATAAAATTAACAATGGAACATAAGAAATCCAATCCTTTAGCAACATAACAAACACTCTTCACTAGATACGTAATATTACACAACCAATTAAACATCGGACCAAGTTTCGCATTGCAGTCAATAATAGCATCTTCAAAAACTTGCTGACACCGTTGAAATGGCGTCCCAAACTCAGAATTACAAACATTAAGAATTCTTGCAATAAAATTGAAAGCAGCCTTCACAATATCCACCAAACTCATGATAATTCTCTTAATTCCCAATAAAATTTCTTTTATCTTATTAACTATTTCCTTCACCGTAGCCACCACCTTCTTAATAGCGTCTCGTATAGCATAAAATGGTTTTTTAATCACTTCGAGTATTTGCTTCACTGCGGCTTTCAGTTGTTCTTGACCACAAGCAAGACTCTCACCAAGAATACTCATATTATTCAGTGTATTCTTCGCTGGCCCAGTAATCGCCAAAATATACGCATACGCTAATAACGCTTGTCTTCCTTTTTAGAAAAAACTGTGGCAGGACCAAAAACACAATACATCTCACCTTATAACTGAATGCCAAACCAATAGTCAAAATAGAGCCAAAAATCGCACACATTATAGTCGCGGTTGATAGAGTAAAGTTAAGTTGCAAGACAGAAAACATAAAGAAGATATAAGTAAGAACAAAACCTCCGAGGAAACCAGCAATGCTTTTGATGACAAAATTCTCACAAGTTCCATTATTTTTGAGATTAAAACACAGTCGATATGGATAAGAATGCTTCGGGAATTTCGGACACAACAATCGTTTGATTTTACGACGTAAATCATCACAAAAATGGCGATATTTTTGCTTTCTTGAGAGTTTAACCTCTTCTTTCTTAGAAATTGCAAACGCATCTTGTTTTTCTTTGAGGAGTTGAAGTCTACGAGCTTCCAACCGACGAGCTTTATAAATTAAACGCACAAACATGTTTTATTTCTTTGTGATTTATAGATTTAATCACAATAAAAATACAAGTCTGTCAAAAACTGACGTTTTTATTTTACTGAGCCACAAATAAATTAAAACAAATGAAATTACTTAAATAATTAAATCAAAAAAAATAAATAAATCACCAATAATCTTTTTTGACTTCTTTACCCAAAACTTTTAAAGATGTAGGAGCTTTATAAGTCTTAGCAGCTTCAAAAATATATTCTTTTGTAGCAGGAAAATGTTCGAGTAAATAACACCATGAATCCCATTCCAATTCCAGAATCTCACAATGTGTAGATGTAATATACGTGTAATCATACAAAGAATTCTCCAGGGTTAACCCTTGTAGAAAGCCAAACGAATCTCCTTTTGATAAATTGTCCAGAGCGATGTCACGATAACCAAAATCCACATCATAAGCAGAGACTGATCCTTTATGTATGAAGAACATACATTTCCTTGCTGATTTTCGATAAATAACCACACAATTAATAGGATAGAATACTTTCTGTAGATGACTACTCAATTGCCGTATGAAATCCATATGCGTGTGTGATAATACAGGGTGTCTTCGTAATAAATATCCATACATGTGATTTATAATCACTTCTTTAAGATATCTTGCACAGACATCATTAACTAACAAATCACTTCTGTAATAGTTCTTAGTCCATACAAATTTCGCATTTAAAAGCACTCTGCGTTTCACTATCAATGTCCCGTAAGAATGATCCATGTAAAACTTTAGGAAACTTGATGCTTTGAGGTATATTCGACGTAAAACTGCAATGTCCACTATAGCTTCGAAGAATTTACATAAAAGCAGCGAATCCACCACCAATCGATACATGTACAACACAATAATAAAAATGTTGAAAGTTAGATTGCTAGGTCCGTAAAATTTATCAGTTGTGTTGATGTGAATTAAATTTGAGAAGAAAATGTATCTCCAATAAATTTCGAATTTTTCAGCTGGGGGTAAATTCCTGACGTTACGTACCTTATCAGGGGGTAGATTATGGATTAAATTGTGTTTCTTTATTGTCGTAAAAGAATCCAAAACTAGGCTTGCAGTAGCAATGAATTGATAACTCAATAAAAACCAGTAAATCACATAAAACCATTTCATCAAATTCGAAGAATTCTGTGACAAACGTTTTTGATTCTCTGCATAAGCTGCTCGGATGTAATAGATCCTCAATAGACGATTCAATCGTAAAAATGAAAAGGTTTTACTGAAAGAACTTAGTTCATATCTTCCAAAGAGTAATATAGGCAACACAATCAACAGATCCAAATAAATGACAGTTAAAATCATGATGTAGAGTTCTGGTTTGTTTGCAACCCGCAATGCAGTAATCTTTTTCTTGTCTGATATCGGCGCTTTGTGTTCATCTTTGTATGGCAAACAAAATTTCAAATATTCTCGGAGAATGTGTATCATATCCATTGAATATTGAATGAATAAATAAAAACCGCGTATTTCTCCAACTGCTATTTGATAAAATTCCAGACAAGTTCCAAGGTAACACACGTAGAATAAATGTATGTAGTTTATAATCCGGAAGAAGGAATATTTGGTAACTGCACGGACATATTCATCAACTGTCATTGTCAAGTGAGGTTCAACAGGTTTCGTGCTTTCAATGTAAAAAATATTCATTTTTATAAAGTGTTCAGCTCGTTCTTGAATTTTCGGAAAGTAAGAGGTTATTTTGAAGAAATTTTTACTTGACAGATAGACTAGCTCAGTGTTAACATTCGCCACTATAGAAATCTTCATTCGGGTGTATTCCGCTCCGCTAAAGTTTCCAAAGATGGCGCCAGCAGTCAACTCACGCATTTTAACCCCATCAGCAGAGATCACATCCAATGATCCGCTATTCAATAAGTAGATATCTTTCTCGATGTCGTTTATGGTTATAACATAACCATTCTTCGGCATAATCATAGGTGTCGCTTCTAGGAAAATGTTTTTAATGAAAAGCGTTGTGTCTGTTAGGTTTTCTGTAAAAACAGAGTAGACAACCAAGTTATCGCCGTAGAATTTAAAAAGCATGTCTCTCCTCAATGCAGTGATCATATTCTTGGTAAGTTCAGACATATTCCTCGACGCAACCCTCTCCCAATACAAATCATAATAATTCGTGACTTCCTTACGCAGATATCTAGTATCAGCTCTTCCATACGCAAGCAATCGTATAAGTCTTCGAACACCAACGACAAACTCCAAATGTCGAATCATTTTCGATGAGAACGAACTAAAAATGTAAGCTTTATACAAAATCTGCGTCACAACTCCGATAATTGTAAGTAGAGACAAGATAATCGCCAGGGTATCATTGACTTTATCAACGTAGATCTTTCCAGTCATTCCTGAACATTGTAATGATGACATCACCAAGAATAAAATATGAAAATGTGTCTGGAAGTCGCCATATTTAAAAGTTTTACAGTTTGACACCGGAGCTTGATGTTCCACATCCCAGGTATAACAATCATAAATAAAAATCATCGCAGTTATCAAATTCGCCGTGAATAACACATAACAAACCATCGTGATGGTATTAAACACATAATATCGATTATCCGTTGAGTAATACCATCGTAACGCTGCCAATCTATGCAGTTGTAGAGCGTGGATAGCATTAAGAAGAACTCTGTATTGAACTTTCATCGGAAATACATGAAATGGAAACACAGCGAGGAAATCAACCAGAAATCCATGCGACATGTAATATCTCGCTGTGCGTAATGGATGCGTAACCAAGATGCCCTCTGGTGTGTAGTAGGCAACATGCATCCGGATGTAAATATCCAAAATGGCGAAAACATCCAATGCTAACATAATTGTATAACCACTGCTTCTTTTAATATAAGCTCCGATGTTAATAGCTGGGAGTGTGAAGGTAAATGCAGCTATAAAAGCGATGAAACACCGTATAACTTCATAATACTTGATAAAAGTTCCTTCGGGGTAAAAAGTGGTCCTCATCAGGAAATATTTGATAAAATCAAACGGGCGGATTTTATCAAATGGCACATGATAATCAAACTCTTCATAAGAATCCTTCCGGGCGAAATATTTGAAAAATTTGAAACAAGGTCGCTTATTTCTTGATCTGACAATCATTATAGGATCGTAAAGGAGTTTCGTCAACACTTCTTGATTTTCCTCTTTTGCAAGTCTCACAGTAGCTTCATAATGCCGGTAATACTTACGACTTTCATATAATAAACGTACGAATTCATTATAATTAAATTTCAAAATTAAACATTCTGTTAAAGCAACTGTTGAGGTCACAGCTGGTGAATTATAACAACACTCTATGAAGTTTAGCGGTTCATACATTTTTGTCTGAAGATAATTCCCATTAATCAACGTACGACATTCTCCTTTAATCAAAACATAAATATCTTCGTATATTATCCCACGACTGATTATAATCGAATGTCTATAACCAGTAAACAAAGATGTGTGCATTAATAAATTCGTTATTATTTCATCCGGAAGATACTGGAAAATTTGAAGTTTTTTCAAGACTTGAAAATGAACATTACTCTTCATAATTATCTCAAAATATATCGGCAATTCAAATAATCCAGATACGTTCCCTCCGGATAACAATACATCATTATCCTGTCTGAGGACATTAAAATAAGCATGTAAACGCATCCATAACCAATAATTTTCTTTGAATGACACCCATTTTTCCAATGAGAAGATTGTGTTTACAATTTTTGCTTTCGCCATGTATTGCAAATAAAACGAAGAACAAACCATTGCGGTGACTCCCAATTGCACAATCAATGACAAAAAATTAGCGAAGATATATGCATATCTATACGTAGGATAATATTGATTCTTATTTTGGAAGGGTAGCCCAGCACCAGTTGCAAATTGGATAGTTACAGATGACCATAACCTATCCGTAACCTCTGTCAATTTAAAAAAGCAACTCAAAGCATAAATCAACGCGAAATAAAACGTAAAACCAGCAAAAATGGTAAAAAATATCATATTCACAAGATATCTCTCCCGCCATGTTGAAAAATACTTCCATACCCTCCATAATTTGATCAATTTAAACAAATCATACCAGGGCATATGAGTATCCAGCGCAAAAGCAATCATCCTCCAATAATGCACTGATGCTATATCCAAAAAGAATCCTTTTGTTTTAAGTCTTTCATAAAGAACAGCTGTCATGGTCCTAGCATCACTTTTAGAATCAGTCGGGGTGATTATCTGAACAACAAGGTCAATAGCAAAGAGGACTTGACTCGCCAATGTAATAATAACAATATTATAAGTGTATTCAACACAAAATCCATAACAAACCGCAACAGAGCAGATGATTGTTATTATAACAATCAAATTCTCCCAGAGATTAGTAATCGGTGATCCTGCTTTCAAAATCCAAGGACATGTGTTCTTGATAAAAACCAGATCAACGTCTGAGGATGTCCGTTCTCTGATTGCTAGTCTATCGAGGAATTCAGGAGTGTGAAAGATGTGTTTTTGATCTTTGACACAATCAATTATTTCACGTCTGAGATAAACATTTGTTTGCTCATGAGTGTTCTTCTCAGACTTAAAGGACATCATGTTATGCAATTGGTGTTTTATCCAAATCATTCGTTTTCTTTCAACGTCAACTTGATTGAATTTAGCGTTGTATTCTTTGATTAGTCGTACTTTATGTAATATTTCATATAATTTTAACTGGAGTTGTTTATGTTCAAATGGATATGATTTCTGGAAGATCATGAAGCTTTCCCATGGGAGTTCGTATAATTCACAAACGGTTTTACACCGGAAATTCACAGGTGACACATGTGGGATCATCAAAGCTGCTTCACCAACGCATGTTCCTGATGTTAATGATAATATACCAGATTCATTGTTTTCTGCGGAGAGGACATCGATGACTCCTTCGACAATATAAATCAAACCTAGATTTTGTTTGTTTTTACTGAAGATGTATTCGCCTTCCATGCGGATTCTACGTGTGAATTTATCAGCTAACGCTCTGAGGATGTAAAATTCCGCGTTTCTGAAGAGCATAGAGTGTTTGAATGCCGGCCAGCATGTATCCATAGCGATTTCATCTCGTAGGGATTTTTGGGCGAAACCAAATTGATCTCTGAAGAATCCCCCGCTTAGTTTCCAGTTGGCTTTGAAGTAATCCGTGATTAATTTGTATTTTTCTTCATCCAGGCTGTATTTATCTGAGATTTTTAATTGAAACATGTCGATGAGATGTGAATAATTAAATCTGTGTTGTTCGTTCTCTATAAAAGCCAGGATAATATAACATGTTGATGGATATATTGCGAATGTCCACATGAGTATTGCTAAAATGGTGGCTGTAACTTCGAATTTATAAACAGCGGTTTCTCTTGTGCGGACGTCATTGATGACTGAGCCACGTCCAGCGACGTTACAAGTGATCAACTCGAATGCATCGTAGATATCGTCAAGGGTTGTGAGATAATCAAGCATATGTAAAATGTGAACAAAAAATCCACAGAATATTAATAAGAATACGATTAATTCCAGCACGCGGGTTTGGCTATCGTTGTGTAGTTCACGTCGATTGTTATAAACATGGAAAAAGAGTCTTGGGAGTTTTAACATGTGCAGGGTGAATAATAGCATGTAATATCTTTCTTCTTTCCAATTGTATTCAGTTTTGTATTCCACGAAATAACCGAATAGATATTCATACGGAAGGACTGAGATGGTTTCTAAAAATATTACAATTCCTGGACGTCGAATTGGGTTAGGGTAGGGGTATCTGTACTTAAAGAAAAACTTCTGGTAAAAACTCAGGAAGATGTCACAGAAGTACATTGTGTTAAATATACGATCAATTCCTGGAAGATAATTGATTTTAATTTTAAATTTTTTTAATGTTGATATTAATATTTTTAAATGTCTTACTTGCAAAGAATAAGTGATAATGAGAGAATATTCTAATGTTTAGTGGGGCCAAGAGAACTATCATTAGAGTTTCTATCACCATTCCGCTAATAATAAATCTATACCAAACTGGGTCTGTGTGGAATAGTAGGAGTTTTTGTGCAAGAGTTGGGAAGTTGACTTCTTCCATGTAATTGAGTGAAAAGTCATAGTTGAGCTTCTTCTTAACCATTTTTTACACTTTTTAGATGCACGCACTTTTTCTGTCAAAAACTTGATTTGAGAGTTTGAAATATTTGGAAGTGTGTATAAAGCCTTCTTTATTTTATTAATATGATTATTGAAACAAAATATTTGAAGTATTTTTTGAAAAATTCAATTATTTTCGTTGCCTTCTATATAAAAATAGCTTTAATTTCAATTTCCATCATTTAATTACTTTATCTTAGGTAAATTTTAATAAAAAGTAAGATAAATAAATATTTGCTTGTTTTTTTGGATCACTTTTATGGCAGAAAACTAAAAAATGCTAATAATGCACTTTAGCGCCATCTCAGTTCGAATTAAATAACTAAAACTATGATTAAATTTCTATATCAACTTTCATTCCTTATTTTACACCCTTCAAGTTATATTCTTGCAACAAAAAGTAGCCTATGTTGTTTTCCTTACACATCACAAATCTCTTTACACCAAAATTTATCAAAATTGATTGAGTGGTTTAGGCGTGAAAGGGTAACAAATAAACAAATACTATTTTCCAGGTTAAAACCGCAAAATCGCAAAAATATTAAGTTTTAAAACCAAGAAAATCTTAAACTTCGTTTTTGAATTAAAAAGAATCATAAGAATGTTAAAATATGAAATAACTATGAAAATATTGGCAAATATACCGCACAAAAAATAATTGTATTAAAAAATAATTAATACAAAGCGAAATTTATTGATAAGAGGCCACGAAGTTCCTCCGGACAGCAAGTTAATGAATAAATTAGTTAATTAATGAAAACGTTTACTTCAGTCGGCGAGTGTTTGCCCAATTTACATATCGTTATTCCGCGTGCAGCTCTATACAGTTCGATGTTTTCCATTGCGACTTTCAGCTGCGAAGAGAAGCGCAAGGGAAGGATGAAGCCTTTCGACTGGCCACCCCAGCGTGTTCCACCCGCCACGGCGTATAAAGGCAGCGTCGCGACGCCCGTCGCGTCCAATGTCACTTGTTGATCCTGACTATCAACGTCCCGGTTCGCGATAGTGCACTAGTTCATGATCCACTTTTAAATTTGTGTTACGAAAAAAACCAACCAACGGAAAGAGAGAGGAAAACAACGAATAAGTAGATTAATTCAAGCACTTGATCGACTTCACAAGTTTTCCATACGTGTTTCCCAACCCAAAAAGAAACAAATCGTCAGGTAAAACACACGAAATAAACAAATTTAATATAAAATCAAATAAAATAAAAATGAATGCAGAAGAATATCGAATTCGTGGTAAGTAACCAAAAATATTTTTCCAAACCTTTGATTTAAATCGTAGTAAAGTTTTAATTGAATTTTCACTCACATGACAAACGCATTTATTCACTCTTGCTTGACCTGGCTGCGATGATAATTACTCTCCAAATCGGATAATCACGTCACGCGTAGGTTGCAAGCCGAAACGGAATAGAAAATCGTATTCAAAGTTTAACTTCAACTATGCGTGTTGAATGCATATTGTTACTGCTGACAGTGTGGATGTCTATGCGAAGTTAGCTCAAAGCTGGTTAACTTATCTGGGCGGCACGGGCGAGGAAATAAATAGTCGCGTTGTAAATAAGTTCAAATGAGCTCGCCACCCGAGGCGCAGCGCAAATATTAGCTTTTCACGCTTGCAAAACGATCCAAGACATTGATATTCATGACTCTGGAAGCGCCAACAACACAGGCAATCCGTGCCGGAAAATTGGTTGTAATAAAATTTCAATTTCAATTCGCAATAGTAATCAATTCAGCTTATATTATCACATTGTTCTTATTTATTTATTTATTAGCTGTTAAATCACAGAGATTTTAGTAAAAATTTAATTAATTTGAATTTTTTTATTCTACTATAGGTCAATTCTATCAATAAAATTCAGAATTTTAATTTAAAGAAATAAAAATGCTAATAATGCACTTTAGCGCCACCTAGGGTGCAATTATTCAACTATAAATACTATTAAATCGCCATAAAAACTTTTATCCCTTATTTAACACCCTTTAAATCAAAATTTTCAATACTTTAATAATTATTCTGCTATTCGGGTTAAAGACGAATCCAACAAATCATAAATCATCAAAATCTGTCCACGCGTTCTTGAGTTATAAGCGTTGTAACTAACCAAAAATTATTTTTTATTTATATAGAATTATTAAATGTTTCTAGGTAAAGAAATGGTTGATTATATAGCTGATTACCTAACAAATATCCGTGAACGTCGAGTATTCCCGGATAAGAAACCCGGGTTTCTCCACGATCAACTTCCGGAATCAGCGCCATTGGAAGGTGAATCCTGGCCGCAGATTTTCAACGATGTAGAAAAGATAGTAATGCCTGGTTTAACCCACTGGCAATCACCACATATGCACGCGTATTTTCCGGCTTTGAATAGTTATCCATCCTTATTGGGAGACATGTTAGCGGACGCCATTAATTGTATTTGTTTTACCTGGGCTTCGAGCCCAGCCGGTACCGAATTAGAAACAATTGTTATGAATTGGCTTGGGAAGATGATTGGTCTACCGGATGATTTTTTACATACCAGGAAGGAATGTTCTGGTGGAGGCGCCATTTTGGTAATAAATAATTATTTTTATTTTGTTTAAAAAAATTAATTATTTAAATGTTTTAATAATTAGACAACTGCAAGTGAAGCTACTCTAGTCTGTTTACTCGCTGGTCGAACCCAAGCAATCAAACAATATCAAAATCTCTATCCGGATTTGGAAGATGGCGAGATTGGCGCACGATTGGTAGGCTACTGTTCGGATCAGGCGCACTCTAGTGTCGAGAAAGCCGCCCTGATCGGATTGGTCAAGATGCGATACATCGAATCCGACGAGGAGCTATCAATGCGTGGTGATAAACTCAAGCAGGCAATTAAAACCGACCGCGAACGAGGGTTAATCCCATTTTGGGTGAGTAACAAAAATCAAAACATTTTTATTTTAATTTAAAAAAGACTTTTGAAAAGCTCCTCCAATAAAATAATACAGTATATTATCGTGGGAGTAATAAAAACGCAAAGAAGAAATTAATTGTGCCCACTGGGACGATTTTTCCGCCAATCTCAGGGGATTACCGCCCGAGACAATCAGGAAGCAACAGATTGTCGTCTCCGTTTCGCGAGCGTTTCAAAACGTTTAAGAAGATTGTTCCAATTACTCATTTGTGGGGAAACATTGATAAATACACCCACAACCCTCTCTTAAATATTTTCACAACCCACTTAGTTACTATACTTATTACTTATTTCATTTTCTTTTTAACTTTTAAGGTTTGTAATACTTTGGGAACTACAGGCGCATGCGCGTTTGATAATCTGGATGAAGTAGGTTTAGTATGTGAAGAAGAAAGATTATGGTTGCATGTTGACGCTGCATATGCCGGAAGTGCATTTATTTGTCCCGAATATCGCACATGGTTGAAAGGTATTGAAAGAGCTGATTCCATTGCGTTTAATCCATCAAAATGGCTGATGGTGCATTTTGATTGTACGGCTATGTGGGTGAAGAATAGTAATACTCTACATCGCACCTTTAATGTTGATCCGCTTTATTTGAAGCACGAAAATTCGGGGCTTGCGATTGATTACATGCATTGGCAGATTCCGCTGAGTAAACGCTTCAGGGCTTTGAAGCTTTGGTTCGTCATCAGGAATTATGGTATTACGGGATTACAAAAACACATTAGAGAAGTAATATTCTTCCATATCTTCTAAATTTTTAAATTTAATGTTTAAAATGAATTTTTGTTTAGGGTGTGCGTTTTGCTCAAAAATTTGAAGCTTTATTACTAGCGGATAATCGTTTTGAACAGTCTGCAAAGCGCCATCTTGGTTTAGTCTGTTTCCGACTTAAAGGTGCTAATGAATTGACTGAGAAATTATTGAAAAGATTGAATTCACGTGGCAATTTGCATTGTGTACCTGCTGCGTTGAAAGATGATTATGTTATCAGATTCACTGTTACTTCTCAACATACTACAAATGAAGATATTGTCAAAGATTGGAAGGAAATTAAAACTGTGGCTACGGATATTTTGGTTGAAGAGGAACAATTGGTTATTATGCCAAGTAAAATTAAAGTTCCACTTAAAGGTAACTTGTTTGTTCAAAACAAAAAAAATTGTGATTTTGTAACTTTTTATGATAATTTTAGAAACTAAAGAGAGAAACGAAAATTTTGGTACGAGTCTCCTACTTGCAAACTCTCCAATGTCACCAAAAGTCGTCAATGGAAGTTTTGCAGCTATTTATGACCACGGAGATGTTTTGGAAGAGTTTTCCAAGTTTCGTTTGGGAGCTCCAAGTAGTCCATGTAAGAAAAATTATATTTTCCTAGAAAATTGTGAAAAATTTTTGAATTTTTTGAAAAATTTGATTTTTCTTTTGAAAATATTTGTATTTTTTTTGAAAATTAGAGAATTTTTATAATATTTTGGAAATTTTCTCAATTTCTTCAAAATTTTTGAAAATATTTGAATTTTTTCTGAGAATTTCAGAATTTTTAAAATATTTAGAAAATTTTCAATTTTTCAAAAATTTTGAAAATATGAAGATTTTTGTAAATTTTGAAAATTTGAAAAGTTTTTGATAAAAATAAATATTACTACACAATGTTTCCAGACATGCGTCGTAGAATTAAAGGTATCTTAATGTCCGGAAAACAATTTTCATTGGACAGCCACCTAGACTTATTCCAAGGTGTCGAACAAAAATCCTCAAAAGTCCGGCCCAATTCAGAACCGGATGATTTACAATCAGCTGAGGAACCACTCATTGAACATCAAGAACACGAAGAAAATGGTAAACAAAATTAATATCTAATTTAATTCTATATCTGCTAGTCGCTGTAACAATCCTCAAAAATAAAAGAAACGTAGATGATTAATATGTTTAGCGTTCGAGGAGACACTCACGTTGGAAATCTACCATCAACACGACCAACGCTCACACTCCGTTGATCATCAGGTGCCTATCATCATCACCGATCACTCAACACAACACGCAAATATTCCGCACTATACGAATCAATTCTCGAATGATTTCAGCGTTAGTACAGAAGAAGAAAAAGTAAACATCGCTTGTAATTCAACGGTTAAATCTTGTAGTAAATGTGGTCATGATATCATCGAATAGATTTCAAAATGTAGATGTATTTAAAAACACTTAAAATTTACGATAATTGATGTGCAAATCTAAGTAGTTTACATGTTAACGTTTAATCACTTTGTTTGAAACTGCTGTGAATGCAATAATGTTAATAATCAAGGCGTAATCAGTGTCCAAAGTTAAATACCTAAATACTGTATTCAATATTTCATGTTGCACGCATAGTAATAAGTAAATGTAATGTATTCAAATCAAATTATGAATAATAAATGCCGAAAATGTATGTAATGTAAGATAAAAACTTACTGCAGTTCGAAGCGTGGAGTAGAATATCCATTATTGATAAGCACCACAAACAAAACACACGCACATTTTGAAGAACGCGCTGACGAACACTACGAAGTTGTAACGTAAACATAGAGCAACAAGAATGTGAGACGTGACTCCGATCAGACACACAGAAAAGAATATTTAGCGACTGGCAGTACTGGTGGCGCCCCCTAGCGTCATATTTTGTAAATTGGATTAGAAACAAATCAAGACAAGAACCAGTTTCAAACAAAAACACTAGAATCACTAGAAAAATTGTGTTTTGGCTTACATTTAGTATTTCAATGCTGTTTTGTCCATAATCTGAGGAATTAAATGCTTTTTTATGTTTTTTTCTGTTTTCTACATAACTTTTTGTCTCAATGATGCCTAAATGTGTAAAACAAGTTGCCTATAGTTCTGTGTTTGTCATTTTTCTTTGTTTCCTCAAACAAACTCAAATATTTTAAGAATTCCAACTAAAAATAACACTTTTGAGGGCAGCAATTATAACTCCAAAACATACTTTAAACAAAAAAGAATAACATTTTTGTAATTCAACGCTTTTCACACATTTATAAGTTATATTTATTGTTAACAACAATGTTTTGCACTTTACACGTGTATATAACTGCATATATCGACCTCTTAAAGTTTGTATCTCCAATTTGAAACGTTTTAAAATTGTCGTAAACGCCAACAGCATGCACGTTGAATATTATTCTATACTTCGTCTTTATTTCGTTTCGTATAACATCGATAAACATCTTTAAACACTCTGTTTGTAATAAATATTTATGTTTATATCTCTTGCATTTAAAACAAACTGGGTTGTCTTTTAAATTATTAGTGGCAATATCTTCAAAGTGTAGAAAACATTGCGTTAGGAGAAAGAGAAGATTCGAAAGAGTTTTGCAAACAGTTAGTTAGATATTTGCATATTTAAGCTATCAATAAGTGTCGTTAAGTATCATTTTCGTAAATATAGTCTTTGGCAACTTGTTATATAAAGTTAAAGTCCGATAGATAGAGCACGAATAAGTCAAGTCAAGTGATTGAACATTTGTCTTTTTATCAACTAAATATACTAACTTACACACCCATCATAAACATTAAAATGTTTTTTTCATACCAGCAGCGCCATCTTGATTACATACTCAAAACCAAAAACATTTTAATGTTTATTTCGTGTTTTTCTTTGTTTTTACTCTTCAATACTCCAAAAATGATTGTTACTGAGTTGATTGATGTCAAATTCAATGAAAACAACATGAAAAATGTCTAAGATATGCAAAACTGGACGAATTAGGAAGGTTATCCTCACATTTTTGTCATTAAATTCAATTTCTTTCTTTCACATATCATCTAAATGATTTCGTTCGTTTAGTCATATGGTTGTATACACGCAAAGCATAAAAGCGACGTTGAACATCATTTACGATTAGGCCGTGCTGCTTTAAACATATTAATCTCTTTTAAAATTACTTAACTAAACAATGCGCTGAGAATGTAGCAAAAATATACGCGAAAATGTCACAATTTCACAGATATGTCCAATTAGTAACTCGGTCATAATCGCACTATACAAATACTTTAAATCTTTAAATCTTCATTATCAAGCACAACTAATTGCGATTGAAAGGCGATATTCAACTAAGTAAAATCAGTTTCGTTTTTGATATGATCATTTCAATCAGTACACAATACATGTCAAAGCCTTGTTGAATTTTACATCACTAAATGTTTATATCAAATATCTAATAAGTAGTTTATAGTTTATAACAGCTTTTACATACGAGTTCGTTAAAAGTGTAATTTGGGTTGCCTATGCAACTTTCATCTCACAATTATTAACATAACAGTGTGTAAAAGCTTTTAAAAGTTTTTAATTTGGTAATAGTTGAAGTATATTGAAGTTGGCATAAGTTTTGTATAGCTACGAAGAAACTTCTAGCATTATTCATGTTTTTTTTTAGGTTATTTGTGTGTAAATTACGATTTTTTGTTAATTTTTAAGTCCATTAAGTTATAATGTGTGCGTCTTTCAATATCAATCTCGTTAAACGTGTCTAACCATTCGAAAATATATCCGTTAAATAATTCAACGTTAATAATACTGATTATTGATTGATTGAGTTGTAATGCGTCACAAATAATGCATCAACTTTGAATGATTGATATGCAGGATTGTTAATAGCTCACAATTTCAATTTTTCGCTATCCTTAGAGTTTTTGGTGTTGCATCCAATTTGTTTAAATTTCATATTAGTTCGTCAAGTTTTAGTTTCTTTGGTGTCATTCTTGCCTTGCTAGCCTCTTGTGATTTACGAGTATTATGACATGTGATATGAAATGTTTGCATATCAGATGAATTAAATTAAAGTCATGTTCGGAAACAATTAAGCAGCGGCTTCCTCATTGTGCTTGGCGATTGCCAACAGAATCATCGTCAGTTCCTTACGATTAATCTTTCCGTCCTGGTCGTAGTCGACTCCTCGCAGAATTGTTTCCTCGAAATCGAGCAAATCCTGCGCATCGTAATCCTGAAAAAAACTCATTATTTCCAAGTCCTGCGTGGGTTGTTAAAATGCAAATTTGTGATAAATGCATTAAGCCCTTCGGCTGTTTTTAACGAATGCGCAGTAATTGAGTTTCAATACCTTTTTAACGAGCTCGAGCAAATCTTTTAGGAAACCGCGCAGTTCCTCGTTCTCTATCGATCCATTGTTATCCTAAAAATACATTTAACCAAATTAGAAGTGGTATCAATTATTTCGAGCGTTATTTTTGTGACTTACTCGGTCATACAGGGAGAAAACTCGTTCGATATCATCTTTTGTCAGCTTAGTAGCGCCCTAAAATGAGGTTATGTTAGTTTTTTAACCTTAACACAAATGGTAAACATCATTATTTAATAAAATACTTAATACTAGCGCCATCTACATGCCACTAGCTTAAATTAATCAACGTGAAATAGAGTGAACAGAGTGAATAGAGAAAACAGAGTGATTTCATGTGATAGTGATGAAAATAAATATGTACAGAAAAATAAATAAACACATCGAACAGATTTTCATACAAATGTATGTAATATTGTATTAATTAGTGGATAGACTAATTTTTTAATGTAAAAATACAAAAGTTTTTGATGTGTGATTTTGGAGTTTTTGTTTGGTGGATAAGTTCAAACATGTAATTTTGTATTTGACACCGCAATACTCACTTCAATTCCTTCCTGCGTGTTCAACATGAGAGTCATTTGTTTTTGTTGTTTGTTGTTTTGTTGGGGGAAAGCGCATTACGTGTGAGAAGAAGAAAATACAGATAAAGCCGTGCAATTTAGTAATTTATTGTGTAACACTAGAAGAATACTCTATTTTCTTTAATATTTTCTATCTAGTGTGTACACAATATATTTTCGCCCACTTTTGATAGTTTATTTGATATCGGTTGCATATCTAATGAAAACTAACCCCATCTTATAGTAAATTAAACTTTTAATGAAAATTAGCGGAAAATGTTTCATTATTTTTGTTTTTGTTAAATTTGCTTTCAAAATAATAAAATAAAATAATATTATTTAGTTTTTTTTGTTGTTTTCCTAAAAGTTTTTAGTTTAATTTAATTGGAAATAGTACAGATGTGCAATTTTGGCAGAAATTGTGCTCTCACAGAAGAAAAACACCTCGTGCCAAGAAAACTTTCTTTAATACGAAAACTTGAAGAGAATATTCATTGTAAATTTGTGAGTTCCTAGTTTTCCTAGTGTTTTCACTGATAAAACAAGTTGAAACTTTCAAATTGTTTTTTTTTTATCTTCTTTCCTTCCGATTTACTTGTTGAAAGTTTAAATTAATTTTTTACATACCTTAAAAACTTGACGACAGAGAAAGTTCTCCCTAACTGGCAATAATCTAAAATGAAATTAAATATTTTATAACAATCAATATTTCGTTAAAATTATTATATCTACTTTGCCATTTCCGAAAGTTGAAGACGTCCGTCTTTGTTTGAGTCAAACACTTGCAACTAAAATTAATTAATTTCAATAAATTTTACTCTTATAAATTTTAAGACAATTTAATTACCATTGTGTCAGTGTATTCAATCAACTTATCTTCGGAAACATCATTGATTTTCTTCGCTTCTTTGAGCAGATCCCTCAAAAAGTTCTGCAATTGAACACTCAAGGTTATTCGCGCAATTCCGTTTAAGTTTCGTCGTTTCGAACAAATTTAATGCCCGGCCCGAGGGTGTAATTTGGCCAGCACGTACCTTTAACTCGTCTGCCTCAATATAGCCGCTGCCGTCGGTGTCGTACTCGCGCCATATCTAAAATTCAATAGCGTTAAATTTGCAATTTTCAATTGGGAAATGTCTTTAAATGAAGCCCGAGCAAGCGAAATGAATAAAATGGTGCAAACAGACAGCGCTTACTTTCATGAATTCCACGCTGGATTCCAGGGGATTGTCGAAGCGGAAGAGCAGTAGGAAATTTTCCTCCATTGGCAGCAATTGCGCCAACTGTGAGAAACAAACCGCAAAATTAGATTTCCTTTTTGTTCAATTCAAGCGCAATTGTAAAAAATCAATTGAATCAAAACTACGAGTAAAATAGATTTATACAAACTTGTACGAACTGAAAATTGAAAATTTTACTTACTTCGCGAATATCAATTTTTCCATCCTGATTATCATCGTATGCTTCCATGAAACACGCTTTCAATTCGACGAGCATGTCATCCGAAACAGCCTTTAATTATGGTAGAATATTGTTTTTATTTGTATTAATTTTCCATCTATATTAGTTTCATACCTCTGGGGAAATATCTGTTGCGTTGGCGCTGGAAACAAACTCTCGAAGAAACCCGTCAAGTTCTGTGCCTTCAATGTAGCCATTTCCTAATAACAGTTTAATGAAAACCAAATATTAAATATCACGTTTTTGTGGTTGAAGTTGTGGTGCGCGTGGATGCTTCACAGTGAGTAGTGATTTCAAGTGATGACTATGCGTTTTGAGTGAAAGTGAAGCCACGCCCAGAATAAACAACTGCCTAGCAACGTGTCACTGAGTCATAGCAACACGTAGTTACACGCGGGAACCGGAAAACGCAAATACTCCATACTTGTATTATATTATACGCGCAAAAATTCGTATGTTTGTTTCGCTTTCACGGCTAAACTACTGAAGCGATTTTAATGAAATTTGGTATAGAGATATATTAGATCATGGAGATTGACATAGGCTACTTTTCATAGCAAAATTTAGTTTTATAAAGTTAAAAACAAAGATTAAAATTGTTAGAAGGAACTATTACTTTATATTAAATTAATTTACGAACCATCTTTGTCATAATGACTCCAAACCTCCATGAACTGATTCGCTGACAATTTTTTCAACTCCCTCGACTCGGGATCCCGATATTGCCGCATGAAGTTGGTGGCTTTTTCCAAATTAAGACGCTTATTGCTCTCTGCACTCATGATGCTGCTCTCGTAAAATATCCTGCAACATAAAAACACAAAAATTAAACATTAAATAACATTTTACGACTCAATGCATAAACATCATCCTATTATAAGTCGTTGTTGTGTTCTGCTGAGTGTTGACTGTTGTTTAACACTTTGTTTAGCACGATTAGCAAATCATTATCTAATAGAAGGAGGAAAACGTAATTCGTGTTCGACACACATCAAAACCGCTCATAAAACATTAGTAAAATCAGTTTGACCTCTCCGTGTGACTCGATATAAAAGCATCAAACATTTGCTTGATTAGTTTAGTCAACTTGAAACAACCAAACATCTGTATCAACACAAAATTCAAAACAAACAAAATAAAAATAAAAAACCATGAAGTTCATCATATTGACAGTTTTAGTGGTGGCGCTGGCATCGCAGGTACAATAACCCAACATAACCTATAAAACACTGTTTATTTTAGTTTTATTTACTAATTTATTATTCTTTTAGGTTTATTGTAATGTGAATCGCAATGTAAACGAATTAGCTTGCATCACAGAAACGTCTGTACACAAAGGATTGGTTGAGCACGCGGCAAACGGTCAATTCGAAGACGCACGTGAATTAAAGTGTTATTTCAAGTGCTACTATCAAAATGCCGGATACATGAACACCGCCGGTAAAATTCAGGCTGACACACTGAGAGCAAACATCCCGGCGGGTATTAGTAAGAACATGGCGAACAAAGCGATCGATTTGTGTGCAGTTCGCAAAGGAAACGACGCTTGCGAGACTGCATACGCGGTTCAAAAGTGCCTCGTTGAAAATAACCTCAAATATTAAATTTTAAGGTTATATTAGTCATTGAGAAGCAATTATAGATAAATAAAGCTTTAATATTCGTTTATGTTATTTGATTTTTTTGTTTTTTTGGTAAAAAAGTAATTAATTTTTATTTTCATGTTTTTTGGACTTAAAATGTGTTGATTCCATCTAAAAAACTCACAATTTTATTTTAAAAAGATGATAAATGCGTATAATGCACTGCAACGCCATCTAGAATTCAATTATTTAACTATAACTATGATTAAATCTTTATGCTAATTTTAATGTCTTATTTAACACCCTGTAAGTTATAATTTCCAATATTTTAATAGTCACTCTCCTATTTGGGACTAAGACAAATCCAAAAAATCATAGATCATCAAAATCTGTCCACACGTTCTTGAGTTATAAAAGATTTAACTAACCTAACTTTTTTTAAAATATATAAATATGCATTATTTAGCAATTACGTAACTTCAAACCTTTAATTTTAACATTTCCATATTGTGTTAACAGAATTAACATGGTAAACGTTGTATTTTCCGTTTTTATTTTATGTTCGCGCCAAGGTTCAACTTGTTTTAATTTTTTTTTTTTTCAACCTTTTACGGTCGTTGTTGGCGTAGTGGATAATAAACTTGCAGCTTCGACCGAATTACGGATATTAGTCGCGGAGTAGACTAGAATTAAAACCGGTATAACTCGCTCGTCGTTACCTCGTCGATGTGGAAGACGGAAATGACAGTTTTCCTCGTCTGCGTGTTACTTCTCGGCGAGTAATTGCTTGTTTCGCATTATTGTTTTACGAGCGAGCGGGCAGTGACGGGAAACTAATTGAACATTAAATAAATTCCGGATTAATGCAGCGTTGCATAGTGCGACGCATAACCTATATTCCAGGTCATAAACTAATCTGTATGATAGATGGAGTTGTTTTATGGTCACCAAGTTTAAGATGTCTTTTTGTGAAATTATGATTTATTTTGAGTTAACTGAGGAACGAATCTTCGTTTTTCTTCATTTTTTCTTTCTTTTCTTTCTCAAGTGCCTATAACTTTGCGATAAAATAAAAATTATAACTTTTTTATTGTACATTTTTTCTTTTTATGCACTTATTTGTATAAAAAACAAAATTGTGTTAGTTACAACGTTTATAACTCAAGAACGGATGGACAGATTTTGATGATCTATGATTTTTTGGATTTGTTTGCGCTCATAATAGCAGAATAACTATAAAACATTAAAAATTATTACTTACAGGGTGTTAAATAAGGGATGAAAGTTGGTATAATGAGATTTAATCATAGTTATAGTTAAATAATTGAATCCTAGATTACGCAAAATTGCAGTATTACCATTTTTTATTTATATTATTTTCTAAGTTGAATACGTAATCCATGGTAGTAATTTATAAAATATATTTATTAAAATAATTTGTGATTTTTCTTTGGATTTTACAATTTTGTTTGTAAAACTGTTTTCTGATGATGCCCACGGGGCGAAACATGTTAAACTCTCAAACAAAATTGTAAAATCCAAAGAAAAATCACAAATTATTTTAATAAATATATTTTATCAATTACATTTTTATTTCTTTAAAATAAACTTGCAAATATAATTGATAAAACCGACATTTACTGGGTGTTAAATAAATAAATAAATATTAATTACATTTTTACTAAAAACTACGCAGACAAATTCACAACCAAAATTAGTTTTTTTTTATAAAAACTTTTGCAAAAGAATGATATGCAACAAATATAAAAAGCATAAGTATTGTTAAAATGACGTATTTTTCCATTTCTTAAACTTGTCATTGATGTAATTCATAAATTTGTATATTTATCCATCTTGTAATCTGGTAATTGTAAATGATTATGAATTAAACGCCGATAAATATGCAACTAAACTCTATATAAGTGAAAAATTACAGTTCAATTATGTACTTGATTTGTGATTTTGAATAAAAGAATAAGCAAAAGGATGTGACACGCCCAATTAATGCATATCAATGATGAGAAATTCAATGTACGACATTTTACATAATAGCCCAAGAAATCAAATAAATAGATGACACTCTTAACACAAAACATTAATTCAATTCAGCCAATCAAATAGACATCATATTCCAACGTTTATAATAAAAAAAAGTAAAAATGTTGAAAATTTTAAGTTTTCTGTTGATTATTTGCATATCAAAAGTGATATCTAAAGAGGTAAATCATTTTCATACTTATAACATCAAATACTATCATTGCAACTCGTAAAAATTAATATTTTATGCACCAATTACAAAAAAATCTACATTTTCCACCGAAAACAAAACATAACCTCAAATATTAACCTAAATTGTCATTTTTAGGTTTTTGGTGATGTCCATAAAGAATTACTGACTCGTTCATTTAATGAATGCTCCAAAGCTACAAATGTAGACCTTGAAATCTTAATGCGTGCAAGAAACAATGACTTTGTCGAAGACCGTGCCTTAATGGCCTACTACGAATGCATGTTCCGGCACGAACATCTCGACTTTGTCGACGAAAACGGAGCATACGTAAAAGAAAACGTGCGTGCTTTCCTCCACCTCGAAGGCGATCCGCAAGTCTGGAACGACATCATCACTCACTGTTTCGAAAAACCAGTAAACAACGATGTCCAGTTGGCTATTTTCCACACAATCATTTGTTTCACCGATAAAGTCGGTGGTAAAATTAATTTATACGCATAAATCTTCTATAATATAAAAATGAATCGTAAAATCTGTTGGTAAGCGCATAACTCAACAACGCCTAAACCAATTAGGTCAATTCTTGTTTTTAAATGTTTGTTAAAGTCCAAGGATGGTTTTTACGGCGAGAAAAATTCGGATAATTGCCGGGAAAACCCTAAAGACAGCTCTTTTCTATAGGATAAAAGTTGGCATTGAGATTCAATCATAGTTATAGTTAAATAGTTGAATCCTAGATGGCGCTGAAGTGCATTATTAGCAATTCTTTATATAATTCATTTCTTTAAAATAAAATTGCGTATCTTACTAATAGAATTGACATATACTATGTCTAGAACAAGAGAGTAAAAACAAATTACATTTTTATTAAACATTACCGAGACGAAGTCGCTATTTTTAAATAAAAAATATTCAAATTTTTAAGTTAACTAATGTAAAAATTGCTTGCTTGATTAAATTGATAATGCTTTATTCCCACTTGCATTGTGTATCATCTATTATCACGAGCGTGTGGAATGTTTTTCGTTTCGATCGGCGCTGACTTTTGCCCTTGTCTGCTGATTACGACCGGTCAGCGTCTGTCTCGTTTTCAGCTATGGTTCTTACAAAAATTGTAACTACAGTATGCCCAACGACGAGTGCGTATCTGTGTCAATATTTTGTCAAGCCGGCAGCGCGCCGGAGACCTGCGTTTATCAATTGTTTATCGTCCATTAGTGGACTCTTCCTTTTATCAGCTATGACGATAATAAGGCGTTTCGGGGGTATAAAAGTGCCCAATTTCGAGACTACCCGCATCAGTCACTGTTTTGTCGCACTGTCAAGCACCCCAGCAATATGAAATTCTTGGCGATTTTTGTTTTGGCCGCTGTTGCCATCAGCGTTCATGTAAGTAAACAAATTCTCAATATAAAAACAACACAATTCACAAACATAACCAGTAAATACCTGTAACTAGTTTTGTGTATGTTTGGTTGCCTATATTAAATACATTTGTAACATATTCAAATATAGTTAGTTAATATAGTTAGTTTTGATGTATATTTGGTTGCCTATAGTAATAATATATCTAAATACACTTTTAACGTTGAATAAATCATTTCTAGGCCTTGACCGATGAAGAGAAGGCAAAAGTAAGAGAATTGGCAACTGGATGCTTGGACAAAACCTCCGTCGACAAGGACCTGATCGGCAAAGCGCGCAAACAGGAGTACACCGAACGTAACCCCCAATTGGCCGCTTACTACACCTGCATGATGACCGGAATGGCCTTCCAGAAAGCCGACGGCACCTTCGACACCGACCGCATGGCCGAGAAGCTCCCCGGCAGCGGTGACCGCGACAGCGCCGTCAAGGCTATCAAGAAGTGCTCCGCCCACGACGCCGCCCTTTCCAAGGACGACAACGCCATGAACTTCATGTACTGCTTCTACAAGGCCGTCGGCAAAGACTTCAAACTCTACTAGACTCATCTTGATCTGCTCTCATATATATTTTTGTAATTTTAAATGTCAATTTGAAAAAAAACAAAAATAAACAATAAAAGACTTTAATTTTGATTTTTTTTAAATTTTTGAAGGTGAATTAGGTTTAAATGAATTTCCAGGTAAGTTTTATTATGTAACACGAGTTACTTGCGTGTTTTTGTTCTTCTGACGCTGCGAATCTCTTGACCGTGACCGTAAATCAAGGCGAAACGCAACTTGATTCATTTATTCGATTTTTATTGCTTGAACTTGAACCATATCGACACAAATTATTAATAATAGTTTTCGCTTGCTTTTGTTATTATTACTGGTACATTAAATTACATTACGGACACGAAGATACAAAACCGAGCAGATTGCGTCTTGACCTCGAGTTCCTTCAACTCGAAACTCAATTTATTTATTATTAATAGACGCACAACTTTTGCACGCCGTGATTTATTATTATTATTTTTCGTCTTTGTGTTCCGCACGGCGTGGAACGCAAAAAAAGAGTTTTAGAAGAAGATTAAAGCATTAAAGATTGAAAAAGTTATGTAACAGCGTGAAGAGTACTTGTTTTATTGACAAAATGGCTGACATTGGAAGATTCCATTAATTTTGCTTATATTTACATCGATAAGCATTAATAATTATGATATTGTAGCGTATTAATTATGTAAGTAAACATCAATGTTTTCATTTTCTAGTTTTCTAGTTAAAACTTGTTGATATTAGTTTATTGACGTCATTAATCCTTACTAATATTATAAATGCGTATGTCCTGAAGTTTATCGTGCTTTCACGCAAAAACTACTTAACAGATCATCATGAAAATTTGTACACATATTCTTAGTGGTCCCCGATAGGTTATAGGCTACTTTTATTTAATAAAAATAACTATTTTTAAATAAAATAAAGAAATTGTTTAGTCACTAACACCACTGCATCTGGTTATTTGACTACTTTAACGCCCTCTAGCATTCCAGCAATGAAGCTCACACCTAAGTACTATAGTACCATCACACTGTATTACCGACAGCTACGTCAACATCAAATCCGTACACATATTCTTAGTGGTCCTCGATGGTCGCCGAATGGTTATAGGCTACTTTTTATTTAATAAAAAAATATTTTTTAAATAAAATAAAGAAATTGTTTAGCCAATAATACCTCTGCAACTGGCTAATTGACTACTTTAACGCCATCTAGCATTCCATCTAAATTTTAAAACTTTATTGCATGTAGTAATTTTTTCACATAGATAATCCTAGCCTAGCAGTGAAATATACATTCTTTCTATCAATCCGTTTCAATTATGTATAATGATTTCTAATATTTATTTGATGGATTCAACGCGAGCGAAGCCGCGGGTTAAAACTAGTAGTTTATAAACATGAAATAATCTATGTTTGAGTTGTTGTATAAGTGTAGAACATATCTATGCAACCATACATGCATTTTTTGTTTACTTCGATTGAATTTTTATTTTTAAGTATTACGTAGCGAATCAAAGTTTTATGATAGTGAATTTGTACATAACCATAATTTCCCTACAAAAGAATAACACAAACATGATGACTGATATTATAAAGTAATTTTTGAAGTCGTAAAAATTCAATGACTATACTTTTCATCTGCCAAACCTCTAATTAGAAACTTTTCCACCAAGATGACATTCATTTCACTGCGGCAAATTACAGAGCTCTGGTTACTTAATTTTAAGGTCCGGATTTCTGTGCGACACTCATGCACACGCGCAACGCGACTTTTTTAATTACAAACCACGCACAAATTTATATCCACGGGGTATAAATAAAACAACCTATTGACATTCGGATTACAAAGTACTACAGTGCCGATAAGCTTTGTACAATTTATTTTTTCCAAAAATAAAAAACTAAAAATTTAAAAATGGGAAAATTGTTTGTTGCTGGTTTGGTTGCAGCCATCGCAATTGCATTGGTCATTGCTGTAAGTTATAAAAAATTGATTTTATTTATTTTAAATATTAACTTGATAAAATTGAATTATTAAAGGGTAAAATGCATTTGACTGCTGAGCAATTAGAAGTACTGAAAGATGCGCGTGTTAAATGTGAGAACGAACATAATACTCCACCGGAAATGATTGAAAAGGCCCGTCATGGTGAACTCACCAACGACGAAGGACTCAAAAAGTTCTTATTCTGTTTCCTGAAAAAGATCATGTTTATGAAGGAAGACGGTAGCTTCAATCTGTCACAAATGGAATCCTCTTTGACAAGTGTTTTGGACAATGGCAAACAAGTATTTGACACATGCAGTGCCAACGTGGACCCTAGCCCAACAGAAACCGCTTTTAAATTTGCTCAATGCTTCCATGATCATGTTACGGACCATTCATTTGAGGAACAATATTAATTCAGGTTACTAACGCCATCTATCTTTGAAATATTCAAGTCAATGCATGTAGATTTCTTCTAAATTCAAAATGCACAAAAATTATAACCTAATCTTTAAATAAAATAAAATTTAATCTATAAATTCATGATGTAAATTGAAATTATTGTTATTGTTGTTGAAATATGCACAAAAACTGCTTTTAAATTTGTTTAATTCAATTAATTTGAAAAGCAATACTTCTAGTATGACTTCTAACGCCATCTATCTTCAAAATATTCAATTCAATAAATGTAGATTTCTTCTAAACTTTAACTGCACAAAAATGATAAGCTAACCTTCAAATAAAAACAAAATAAAAAATTTAACCTATAAATAAATGATGTAAATTGAAATTGCTTGTTGTTGTTGAACGCCACAGACATTATTTGATTAGTTCCATAATCATACGAGTAAGTCACCATTGTGTCCAGAACACAAAAACCAACCTTTGGTAAACATCTATTGTGCCTTGCGCCTGCAAGTGCTAATTGTATGCTGTAAGCATAGAAAATTTCCAGACACAACATCAATTCGTCGGTTGTTTCAAGTTCAACATTCAAGTTATACATTGAAGCAAATAAAACAAGTTTGATGTCATTTATGTAATCCAAGTTTAGTTTTCATGTCGAAAAAGTCAAAATAAATGCAAACATTTAACGAAACACGGTCGGCCATTTTATAACCTTCAAAACACACATGTTTCTACTTGTTTTACTTGTCAAATACGGAAAACAAGTGAATTTATACAAAACGTTTTAAATAGCAACAGATTTTTATGGTTGTACGGAGACATTGCATGTTGAACTGGTTGCAATCGTAAATTTCAGACGCAAATGGCATTTAATTAGCAAGTAATTGCAAATATAAATTACTAGAGTATATTGTGTTGCCTGTAAGTGGAAAAATGCACTTTGTGTGAGTGCGCGATATAAAAATATCGATTGTCCCGCATGCATTCGACAATAAAATAAGATTTATGCGTTTCCCAATCCGATGCAATAAGAAGATCGATGTGAAGGTCGTTCAGTAATATTTACGCGAGTGAAACTTTTTTTATGGCGCATGTAAATTTATTTAAACTTTTTTTAAAATTAGCCAAATCAATATTGACATCGATTTTAATTTTTAGTGAAAATATAAATATAAATTGCAAAATACACAAAAATAGAAATTTTAAATGTTAAATGATTAAATTTGATGATAATATTTAATTAAATGTAATTTTCTATTCATTTCTGATAATTATTTTAATAAAAAAAGCAATCATATCATTATTATATTTTATGTTAGTATTTTTGTGGGTTTTGAGTGTAATATCAATGAGTTATGATGAATGACAACATAAAAAATCGTAAATATAATTATGTGAACAATTACGGTGATTGCTCAGTGTCATCGTGGGCACTAAAGCGTAAAAATTACTAAATCACAATTAAACTAACACATTTATAGCGATTTTTTTTTGTTTTGATAATTTAAACCAATTACGCAGATGTATTTTTAGATTAAATTATTTAACAATTGATTTTCAAGCGTTTTTTTTTTTAATTTAATTGGTGAATAAGCTTCCTTTAGGTTTTAGTTAGTTTTTATTGTTTTTATAGTTAGTTTGTGCAATTCATGCTTTTTAATTGTTTAAAGTTGAAACTTTAATCAAGTTGACGTCAATAAAATCGGTAGATTTAAATTGGCGCTCTAAAAAATGCAATAAAATTAAAAATAGATGCAGAGATGATCTGAGATCTGAGAACTGGTTAAATAATAATTAATAATCTTTAATTGTGGCTTTGAGAAGCCAGTTTTTAATACACAGTTTGATTGGTAGGTAGAGAACAATTGCATCAGTGATTTTTTCTCGGATTTTCTAAGAATCGACGAGGAGTATTAGCTCTAATCTCGCAATATAATATGATTATGTAATTATCAAGAGATGTAATTAATTCACGTGTAACAATCACTGTTGTAGTAATAAAAAAACATGACTTCTTTAAATCCCTGAAGTTTTCGTGATTGTATTGTTATTATTTTGTTTAAAAGATAAAGAGTAAATAATATTTAATAATATTTTACTTAAAAATAATGAATAATGCTTGTAATACACTTTAGCGCCATCTGGGATTCAATTATTTAACTATAATTACAACTTGAATCATTAAATTAATTTGCATTTCCTATTTAACACCCTGTAAGTTATAATTTTTGATATTTTAATAGTTATTCTGCTATTTGGGGCTAAGACAAATCCAAAAAATCATAGATCATCAAAATCTGCCAAGCCGTTTTTGAGTTATAAGCGTTGTAACTAACACAACTCCGTTTTATATATAGATTACTCTAAAAATTAATACTGCTGAGGCAAATCCGACAAATCAAAGATGATAAAAATGGATCTGACGTTGTTTTTCATGTAAATAAACAAAAATATCATTTTATCAGCCGTTTCATTACAAAATACAGTTTTCTATAAAATTTTGTAGCTTTGAAAATAATGCAATTCACATCAACACTATGTTTTCTACATCTATTATCAACATAACCTCAAAATTCAATCATATACACCATACTATTGCATCTCCATAATTTTTCTAAACAATAATTTTCATATTTCCTTGTAATATTCTTAAAAACAAAAAAAAACGACATTTTCTTATATTTTCTATCATATCAAACCATTATACCAAGATATAATAACCGTTAAAGACATATGTATGGACATCTGCTAAAAACAAAAATTTTACACACTTATCTATATTTAATAGTTCTCATTTACATGAATAAATAATAAATAAATTGAAATAATTGATGGATGTTATGCAGGCGTAATACGCGTTAGCAATGATTGCTGGCTCTACAAACACAACACACCACAGCTGGGTCTATGTCACGGTCGATTGTAATCTTCAATGCCGCAATGCATAATTTATTATTGCGCTAGACGCGCGCCGATGCAATCGCCTCTCGTTCATATTTCAACTATTGAAAACTTCCGAAACTCGTTTCCTTGCATTAAATGACTCACAATTGCAATATACGCATTACAAGCCACAAAAACACTAAGAACTAAATATTCAAGCAAATTTCAAAGAAATGATTATTTTATTAACAATAATAAGTTGACTTAAGTCTTTCACACCATTTCATTTCATTCAGCGTCAATAAGAATCAGATAAAAACCTAACTGTAAAGCGTGTTAAAATTGGCGACGCTTTCTTAATTAACTAGTTAGTAATTATTGATTTAAGCCAATGCTAATCAATGTGGAAATTTCCATTGATGCAGAAATGAATACCGTTAGATTTTTGGTTCACTTCCAAATCGTTTGATTTGGCATAAATCGTGACTGTTGCTTTTTTTCGCCTGCGTCGAAGATGTATTAGCAAAATAAAAAATCAAGTTTTTTTCTAAATGAATAAATTATACAATCAAACAGACCATCTCATAATAACAACACTAAATACACACACGTGAAAAAAACTGGCGCTTGTGGTGAGTAACGATGATTTTTGCCACCTCCAATTCTGGTTTGAGAGTATATAAGCAGCGCAATTGTGCTCAACAAATCGTACTCGTCTTCTAGACCTCTACAGATCATCAACCCAACAACAAACAACCCAAATAATAATCAACATGAAAGTCTTCGTTGCTCTCGCTTTTGTTGCCATTGTTGGCTTGGCCACCGTAAGTAAAATTTAAAAAATCAAAAATTTTCAAAAAATTTCAAAAAAATTAAAAAATTTTAAAAATTTTAATTTTTCACAGGCTGCTTTGACTGATGAGCAAAAAGAAAAACTCAAGACCTACAAGAAGCAGTGTCTGGATGCCACCCCCGGTCTGGATGCCGCTTTGATCGAAAAAGCAAAGAACGGCGAATTCTCCCAAGATGACAACCTGGCTGCTTTCCTCAAGTGCTTCGGCGAAAAAGTTGAGTTCCTTAAGGCTGACGGAAGCTACAACGTTGAGGTAATCAAGGAGAAGTTGGCCAAGAAGACCGGAACTGATGTATCCGCCATTGTTGACAAGTGCGTTGAGAACGACCAGAAGGACGCTAAGAAGAACGCCCTTCATCTTGCTGAATGCCTCAAGAAGAACGTCCCCAAGCACGAGGGTGTCTTCTAAGTATCCAGTATTCGACCTTTTTTGACCTTTTATAAAAAGAGCCGCTCAGGTATTAACTTTGTATCAAACATGAAAACGTGATCAGATTATTACTAAACAATACGACTAAATAAATTAGTTTAAGAAAATTTATTGAATTGGTTTTATTTTGGGGAATTTAGGGGGTTACCATGACCAGGGTACCATTTTGGGACCCAAAATCTTTATATTTCCGATGATCTACCAAAAAATATTCCAAATCCACTTTAAATTTTCGTGAATTTAAAAAAAGTTTTGCCAATTTTAAATTCTCCAAATTTGATGGTACCATCATCCCAGGATACCATAAACCTTCCTTAACCCATGAAACCCAAAAATAATCCCATAACCAATCCCAAAACCATGACCTTATTAACATTCTTCCCCTTTTTAAACAATTGTAAAGTTTGCAAAATAGCAACTCCCAAAATAAGTTTCCAATTAGAGGTTAACTCCTCACTCCGATCATAAAACCCTGATAGCACCTTGTTGATGAAATACATGCTGCTATTCAAATTGACATACTTCGCCATTGCATTCCCTGATAAACAATCAGTCTTCGGAGGTTCCGTGGCCACACCAACAAATTTCTCATTACAAATCAATGGTAATCCAGAGTGTCTACGACAAACATTCTGCTTGTCAGATCTAACATAGATAAACTCATCATCATAATGAACCACTGTGAAGTTTACTTTTAGCATATAGGGCTTAGGTTTTTCGCGTCCTGGTATAAACAGGTCAAAACCAACACCATAACATGCTTCCTGTATATCAGCCGGTTGAAAGACCTGAGGTCTCAAGGGTTTGGTCACTGAAGTGTTGTACACTTTATTCCCCAAAATAGCAATCAACAGATCATTGCTGTTGGACATAACCAGTTTCCGCGCGAATCGCCTTACACCGTTGCATACATTCTTTTGAGGGAGATATCTTGATCCCAAGCAAACAGAAACAGCTCGAACCGTGGGGCTTGCGCAGTGTTTAGCTGTGAGGACATATCGGGAATCAATCAGGGCTCCAGTACACATCAGGGCTTCTTCCAGGGAGACGGAAATGATTCGGAGTGCATATGGGTGTCGAGTAATTGATGCTTTTTCTCCTTCAAGGATACCAGATTTATTAAACTTAATATTGCTTAGATTAAGTTCTCCAACAACAGCAGGAAGATTTTCAATGTTCACATTTAAATCTTCAGAAACCACACAAGGGACACTCATCAACAGGAGCAGAACCCACATTTTATGAATCATTTTGATTAGTAAATAAAAATGACAGGTGTCTGTTTAAACAATCAAATATTTATTTAATCACTATGTTGATGATCACCTTCATGTTCTGGATCATCCTGATCCTCAACGACATGAAACTTATCTTCTAAAACCATGGTGATCAGGTGTTGATACGCATCAAAGTTAATGAAGTACAAAAGTGACCAGTGGTCCTCCTCAATTGGATCCCAATCTAATTTTTCACTATCTGAATCAAATTGATCTGGATGTTGACCAGGTTCGAGTAAGAAATGTTGCAGACAAGAGTTTTCATGTGGTGCAGCGTATATACCACGTGGTACGCCTGAGCAGATCAAAAGACTTCCAAAAGACAAATCACAACCCCAGCCGGTGGGATCATCAACACAATAGTAACCAGTTTTACAAGCTCTTCTAACTATTGCGTAGACATGTTCCAGGGATCCTTCAAAAGTCAAACCTAGGATGATACAATCTGTTAACTTTGGTTTTTGGTCTTTGGGAGTGAATCCCAAGGTGGTTGATACGTTGAGGGAACCATCTGTTTCAACAAAAGCTATGTTATTGTACCAGGCTTTGTCTGGGAAGATTATTTTGGTTGCAAAGGTTGTATCCAGGCAGGTTTTAGGGTCTACAGCAGATGGGAGATGATGACATATCTTTAGGAAGGATTTATCACTAAAAATCAATTGTAGGGTTTGAGAAGAACTTAGGAGGTAAAAATTGAATTTGGAGGTTACTTTGCTTTGCTAAGGCAGATCCCTGAAGTGACAATCCAGATATTGGTTATGAAAACTCCTGTGCACACTGATAACATTTCATTGTAGATACTGATCAGGTACATTCTTGCTAATACAGATATTACAGCTGGAGGGATAGCTGGTTTGGGGTAATCTCCTTCAGCTCCTTGGGTCTTTTCAGTTGTGGTATCATTCAGTTCTTCTTCTCGGGGACTAGGGATTATGGTCCCAAAAGTTGGAGGGTGTTCCTTGTCTTTGTCTTCACCTTGAACCATTATTGATAAGGATACCATCAATCCCAAGATTATGACCTTGACCTTAATAGCTCCCATGTTTATTAAATTGATTAATTCAAAGTCAATTCAGATTTCTTTCAAAAAAATGTCAAGATGACAAGCAACGATGTCATTTTTCTTAATCATCTTCATTTTCCTGTTTTTCATTCTGGTAGAACCAAAACCCTGTATAAAATCCCAACTGTTGAAGATTTTTTCCACAATGTCTCCAAATCAACTGACCCCATCTATGCTAACATTGAAGATTATCCCTACATGGCCAAACTCTACATCAATTTTGCTGATGTGCAGTTCCAATGTGGTGGTACCCTCATAACCCCAGTGTGGATCCTAACCGCAGCACATTGTGTAGCCCCAGAAAAATCCTCATCCACCCCTAAACTTATCCTAGTCTGTATGGGTTCCTCTTTCCTTCCATCACACACCGCTTGTGAGAATAGCCGAACAGTTAGATTAGTATCAAGACCTGCATCAACCGTGGACCTAGCAATGTTACGTCTGACCAAACCTTTTGACCATTCCAAAACAATCCAACCACTTAACTTAAAGAAATATGATTTGGATAAGTTGGAGAAGACTTGTAAGGTTATGGGTTGGGGATGGATGCAGACTGGGTTCACATCTCCAAATCTCCTTCAGACTGATGTAAAAAGGATGGATAATTGTTTTAAGCAATTGATTTGTGTGATGGCTACTGATCATGCGCCGTGTCGCGGGGACTCTGGAGGACCTTTGATTTGTGATGGGGTATTGGTGGGGGTAGCATCAGTGGGGGAAAATGCTAATTGTGAAGGACCTTCAGGGGTCACAATATACATTCCTGTTTGGGAGAATATCAAATTTATCAGGCAAAGTATTGCTGACTCCGGAAGTAGGAAATCACTACACATTGCTATGCTTGGTGTTTGTTTATTGTACGCTGAAAGTGTATTTCCGCTTGTTGAGTGGCTGCTTTCTCGATTGTGGGCGTTGTTTAAGCTGATGTATTGATTTTTGGTCTTTGTTTGCTCATGGACCACACTCACTAGCGGTGTATACAAATGTAAATAATAAATACCAATACATAACCTCAAAAGTAGTAAATATTATTTTTGGTGTTTTAAATTGAGGTTAACTTTAACTTAACCTAGAAATATTCCATAAATTTCACGATTGAAGAAAAGCGTTGATAATTATATGATGCAATCTTTTAATGAAAAACATTTTTAATGAACATCATTATCTATTGTTTGGAATTCATCGTGAATATAAATAAATGACCTTTAACTCTTCCACCAGTCGGATATCACATTATTAAGTCTCGGACGGCGATAACATCACGTCCACTATATCGGCAATTAATTAAATTCTTTGAATTGTTTGGTAAAAAACGAAAATATTCCATATAAGTGAGTATAATATATGATTGTCATAAGTTGACTTGACTGCTTGTTTGTGGCTTAAGTCACTTTGGTATTAAAATGAGATTATAACTATAAATATAAATTTATATTGATTTGTGTTTCAGTCTGGTGTTGGAACTCAACTGAACTTGACTTAAGTCGTTACGTCGTTAAGTAATAAATCAACATATTCAAAAATGTTTAAACTTTCATTGAGTTTATTGCTTGTGGCTGTTATTGCTGTGCAAAGTCATAAAGTAGAAGATAATTTGGTAAGTTTTTTTTTTAATTTTTTTCTTCTTCAAAATTTAAACTTAAATTTAATTTTTTTTATGTTTTAGAATTTGAACACGGATGAAAAAAATCAAATTGCTCAAATTGAAGCAAACTGTGTAGCTGAATCTAAATGCAAAGTTGAAGATGTGCACAAGTTTGATAAGGGCGAATTCACTGATAGTAAAGAACTGCGTTGTTTCTACAAATGTCTACTGACTAGTTTTGGCGTTATGGATAGTGAAGGTCGTATCGTTCATAGCAAAATCAATCTTTTGGTTCCGGACAAGGTACGATCCAAAGCCGAACATTGTTTCAACCGCGAAAAGGGCGAACCTTGCGATGTTGCCTACGAAACCTACAAATGTTATATTCAGGAAATTCACTTGTAAATTTTAGTAAATATGAATTAAACAGAACATTTTTAAAGAATAAAGATGCTAACTAATATTATAAATGCAAATTTGAGTTTTTAGTTTGTTTGTTACTCATTCACGTATTTACCACTGAATGGATTTTGATAAATTTTGGTATACAAATATTTTTAACCAAGGAAAATAACATAGGCTACTTTTTGTTTCAAAGAAATAACTGAAACGGTGCAAAATAAGGGTTGAAAGTTTGAATGTTGCTTTAATAATAGTTGTAGTTACATAATTTAACCGGAGATGGCGTTAAAGGGCATTATACCCATTTTTCTTTTCTTTCAGTCAAAAGAATAAATCTCTGCCAACCACCAAAAATTTATACAAACATAACCTATATTTCCATCCTTCCAAACTTCTAAATTTTAAACGTTTTGGCTGTTTAATGAACATGTCACGTTTGCCATTGGGTTAATTTGCGTCAGACCACCACGCCTAATCGCCCTCTCCTATATTACAGTACTTTATCACCGAATTTCTACCCTCTACTCTCTTCACACGTGCGGCCACAAACGCGTGCCCAGCATTCCAAGCAAAATAAACGCAAATAAACACGTCGCGCTGCTCTCGCAAGACAAGAGATAATAATGAGGGATGAAGTCCTCTCGCAGTACTCGCTGCTCGCAGCCCGAGAACTTCCGGAATTGGGATAGATAGAGCGAAAATGTAAGCAGATTATTCATCATTATTGAATGTCTCGCATTTCGCGAACTAAAACTTGACACGGGTGGAATTTGAACTAAACTACAGCATAAATCAGTAATCCTAGCTTTTATCATGTGGATATTATACTAAACTATGTTTATAAAGATTAGTTTCTTATTTTTTAGAGTAAAATTATTAAATTTTGATACAATTTGATGAAAAAGACATAATTTTACTCTGGAAAAGTAAATATTTTACATTTTTAGGTTGGTTTCTTTTTTTTTTAAACTCATAATATTATGAAAATTACAAGAAAAAACACATTTTTTGTGTTAAATGTGTTGCATACGTTTAAAAAATACCTTTTTGTGCAATTTGAAGTTTGCTTTAAATGAGTGGATTTAACATTAAAAAAAAACTAAATTAAAAGAAAACACACATTTTTGGTGTTAAATGTGTTACATACGTTTAAAAAATTAACTTTTTGTGCAATTTCTTTAAAATTACATGATTTAACACTAATAAAATAGTAAATTAAAAGAAAAAACACATTTTTTGTGTTAAATGTGTTGCATACATACAAAACTAACTTCTAATACAATTTTTGTATTTTTCAATGTAAAAATTTAAAAATTTTCCCAAATTAATATTGAATGCTAAAGTGTAACCTTCAAATGGAAATAAAAAAAGATAAATTCTTCACTAAGAGCTTCCACTAATACATTTTCCCGCCTGCTTTTTGCTTGCTGCTTTTTAGATGATGTCTTGATGTGATGTGATGGAATTCCACGAAATATTCTATAAGAAACCGCCTAAAATGTCGCCTGCCGCGCGAAATGCGATGCGATCTCATTACCCACCCCTTTGCCGCCTTTCTCGCGACACGTCTTACTTAGCTCTTCTTTTCCCTGGCTGCCTTTGCTCCATATTCATTTTATTCCTATGCGCTTGTCTTATCTGACGTGCGCTTGATATTTTTCCAACTCTCTCGTGCTTTTATGCTTGCGTTGCGTTAGCATTTAGATTGTACAATATTCTCTTTCTTGATGTTGTGTTCGCCTTCAATTTTCTCCAATGCACTCGAATTTTCGTTTAAGCTTCAGAGTGAAAATCTCGACATTTGCATTTCCATTACAAACATAATTGTAATTTCCTTTTTAGTTAAAAAGGAAATTTAGTAAAAAAAACTTTAATAAATTTCTTCGTGGTGTTAAATGTGTTGCATAGCTTAATGAGAATAACATTTTCGGTAATTGGCTTTAAATTACGTAATTTTTGCTTATATTTTGCAAAATATAAGCATAATTAATATCATACATCTTTCACAAGGAAAAAAAAATGTTTTTTGTGTTAGATGTGTTGCATACGTGTAAAAAAATATTTTTTGTACAATTTTACTTTAATTTACATGAATTAACACTCAAAAAAATTATATTTTGGCCTAAATTTCTCAAAATATCAAAATTATTAATATTATTGCCATATTTTCTATAAAAAAATTTAATATTATGAAAATTAAAAGAAAAAACATTTTTGAGTGTTAAATGTGTTGCCTACATAAAAACTAACTTCAAATACACTTTGTTTTTAATTAAAACTAAAAGATTGTTTTTCTTCGTAATAAACTACGTGATTTATGCCCATTCTGACATTTATTAACCCCATGATTACGTTTTTATTACCCACCTATTATTATTGAGTTAATTTGCACATTTCCATGCATTTCCTTGAGTTTATTTCACTTTATTACTCTATTCCAACATAAATCCAATGCGATCGTTGTCGCCGTTGTTCATTCCTCGTTAGTTTAGCATTGATGTAAATGATGTAAATAATGTTAATACAACTTCTAGATTAGTGAATTAATAGCGACGTGGTAAGTGCGGTTGCGTGTCGCGAGGTTTGCGGCCGCTGATTACACAACCGCCAGGGTTATTTCAATCTTTTACCCTGTTGCACCTTAATGATATAATTATATAGAAGGTAAATAACATCAGACACTTTTTTACACGTAGTATAATAAATTACAATGCTTTAAACATAAATAAAGTAAAATTTTTATTTTTTGTTTCTATAAATTTATTTCGTGTATATTTGGTTGCCTATGTTATAGTTTCAATACTATTTCGAATACGTATCACGTGCCTAGCGTCGTACGTGCGTTGTTTTCAATATGTTAGCTTATTGCATTTTCCAATCATGTCAAACGTGCCAGCCACATGTTACCACCAACAATCAACACTATAACCCCTATAGATATATCAACCAGCACTCGAACAAATACCAATTGTCAAGATGTCAAATATTATTAATGTCTTCATACATAATACTTGACACGGGTTACTTTCAAGTGGAACTTTTAGTTCCCAGAGTTGAAGAGTTGGCGCTTCAGTTGGCGCTTCAGATTGAAAGTTCTGTCTGTTATTTTGGTTATGTCGTACTCGTATATTCCGTTTCCGGTCGTAAGTTACGAGGGGTGAATTTTGTGAGTTTCGTGTGTTCCACTGGGGAATTGCGAGTTTTCCAAGCGACACGCAGCGAACACACAAGGAAGACAAGTTTGCGTGTACTCCCCAACGTATTGTTTTCACATTTGCATTTATATCAACCGGGGAAAGTCATAAAAATTTCCAGGATGCGAACAGAATCAACAGATATGAAACGCAAAGAGAAACATTTTCTGACAGACTAAACTCAAATTTTTATTCGCGTAAATTTTTTTTCGTTATTTACATATTCACAATTTACGCCTTTTTGAATAGCATAATAATCTTAAAAACGCATAAATTTTCAGTGTTTGTTTTAGTAGAGAAACAAAAAAAACCAGAAAAGTATAGTTAAACAAATATTTTATTATTTTTACGATTCGCATCGCACGTAAAGATGCGTATGAAATGGCTACGATTGAAAGTTGTGAAAATAAAGTTTTGATTATCGCAATCGTAATCGTCGCTTGTGAATATAAACAAATACATTCCTCATTGTTGTTTATTGCTGTTTTACAACCGCATAATATAAATATTATCATTTTAATTTGAAAAGAATATTGCACATTGCAAATATTTTAATATAGTTAAAATGAGTAAACTTTAAATTACTATTTTAATGTCTATTTTTTAATAGTGTTAGTTAAAACGTTTATAACTCAAGAACGGCTGGACAGATTTTGATTATCAATAATTTTTTGGATTTGTTTTTGCCCTGATTAACAGAATAATTATTAAAATATCGAAAATTATAACTTACAGGGTGTTAAATGCGAGATTGAAATTGATATAGAGATTTTATCATAATTATAGTTGAATAATTCAATCCCAGATGGCGCTGTAGTGCATTTTAAACATTTTTCATTTTTTTAAAGTAAAATTTCGGATATTTTTGATGGATTCCACACATATTTAATCCAAAATCCAAAAAAATAAAAATAATTAAATTATGACTAAAAACTTCCCGGAAAACGTTTTTGGTTTAATTTAATAGTATTTAATATCCTGTAGCTTGCGAATTAAACATTTAATTGAAACGTGTCATTAATAATTTGGGAAGCGCATCGATACTCGCCGGCAGTGAATGTGTGTCAAGGGCGGTGGCGGCAGCAGCGCTATTTCCAAACCCTACGAGTATATTTCGAGACCAACAAGTTGAGTGAGGCCCACCCGCCCATCGCCCTCGAGTGCTAAATATTTAATCGTGCCGAATGCCACCCAACGTAATCGCTAAATATATAAAAATACACATCGCTTTTCAATTGCGAAAATCAACCCCGTTTTTCAATTGATCAATCATCGAACGTCAGCAAAATAAATTATTCCGTTTAATTTCATTCATTAACCAGCTGACATTGACATTGAACTTATAATAAAAACAATAAAACCTTGATTTATGTAGAAAACAACGTGTTATACAAAGTGTAAATTAAATTATTCATGTTTTTAGATGTAGTTTTATGTTTTATGCGTGAATGGAATAGGTTTAGGTGTATATTGGGTTGCATAGTATAAAAATGTCACTTGGCATTGAATCACTTGCACCGTGAATTGAATTGTGGAAACACTTTGAAACACTTTGAGTAAATGGTGAAATGAATCGACATCGCATCGCTTCGCGTCATTTGCGTCTAGTGATATCGATGTTGGATTGTTCCTCGTATTGATTTCGTATCAAATTGTCGTTAAGCTCCGACGCTTCGGCTCTCATAGCATTCGCTGCTCCTCGAGCCGTCATTTGTTTAATTTAACATACATTTTTATTGCTCAATTCGTTCTTTTTAAAGATGCAAATTTTTCGTACCTCCGGGTGTTATAAATCACAATTTACGTAACAAGTATAATCCGCGAATTTTCATTCATTTCGCCAGGAAATGAAACTTTCGGAAATTATTTATTAAACATGAAATATGCAACACAGTGAGCCGCAAGCGGAAAGCAAGCAAAACTCATAAATTTACACAGATGGCGCTGCAGGACACAAAAAGGAAAAATAAAGAGAAAAGAAAAAAACACGTAGAAAGTAGAAACGTTGAATCGCTCATCATGTTTTACGGTCTGAAGTGCCTGGGCGTTATCAGCAATGTGGGTTATTACGACCCAACGCGGTCTTGAATTATTATACAAAGTGTTTGCATAAAATTTAATTTGCATGAAATATTTTCAGAAAAAAATTTAATTTTTGTGTTTCAGGGTAAATTATAAGGCAAAATACTCCGCAATAAAGGTTTCTCTGGTAAGGTTTCCAAAAATACACCCGACCGCCAAACGGTTTCCTGCAAATTGCAGGAAACGTAAAGTTCCTTCAAATACTCACACACTAACACACATGTACTATGCTTTCAGATTGTGACTTGGTTTTCACCCCAGTGCTTCGCCTTTACATTCATACTTTGTAAGTACTACCTAGCCCACATCCACCAGCAGTTTGCAGGTGAAGGACGCGCGTTTCGGGGCGCGTGCTGCCCCTGAACGTAAAAAAAATAACCAAAGTCGCGTCCTCGACCGTCATTATCTCAAGCACTTACGATTTCTATCTCGCTGGTAAAAATCATGTTAATATCAATTTCGGACATTGTGGTTGTGATGAATTCTTTATGGTGTTACGCTTTGTGATTTCGACTCGTAAATCTATCAAGGAATGTTTTCCGGAAAATAAAATCCAAGAGACCGTTATAAATAAATTGGGAAAAAGGTCTTGCATGAGGGGAAGTGCAAACGCAAGGAACGAAAATATTTCTGGATCAAGAAAACCACAAATCGACGAAGCGAATAAAGAGAAATCAGGAAAGTTCAAGTGTTATACTGGGTGATTAAATTTATAAAATTTAATTTTTGTGTTTTCTTGTTTTCCTGCAACTTTTGGTAAAATACTTCAATAAAAAGTAATTAACTAATTATTTTTTTGTTTTTTGGACATATTATGTGCCTAATTGGTCAATAAAATCATCAAATTAAATTAAAAACCATGAGAAATGATAATAATGCACTCTAGCGCCACCTAGATTTGAATTATGTAACTATAACTATCATTAAATATGCATATCAACTTTCATCCCTTATTTTACACCCTTCTAGTTAAATTTTTGCAACAAAAACTATCCTATATCCTTTTCCATGATTAAAACTCTCTCCATACAAAATTTTATCAAAATTACTCCACTGGTTTTCCTTTGAAAGTGAAACAAACAAACAAACAACCTCACATACGCATTTTTAATACAACTTAGCTTCTGAAATTAATATTCGCACTGAAATTAGCATTTTCTCTTGCGAGTGCACACAATTTTCTCCACTTTTGAATAAATGCATGCTTTGATGTGCGCTGTGCACGTTTTTGATAAGCAATAGAATTCCGCGCGGTTCCCACACGACTGCTCGTTTGTTCGCGGTTGGTAGTCGCGCTCGCAGCGCGCACTTATGCTCTTCATTAGCATGCTTATTACACGCGCTCATTACTCCGTCCATTATTCATCGTGCGAATGTCGCCCGAAGGCACCATCCACCCACGCCTGAACGCTGAACGTTGGAAGCTTTACCTTCGTAATTAACAATTCACAAATTCACCGAGTGCAATCAATCTTGCGCAAGTGACTAAACTAAAACAATAAATACGCAAATACGGTGTTAGTGAAGAAACCTTAAATTCGTTCAAATCGTATTCGTAATCTAATCTTGTAAAGTTTGTAGCTGTGTAATCTAATACTCATGAACACTTTTTACTAGTTTATGTGATATAGCAGTGGTATTACAGTGTGAAAAGTACAGATTTATTTCATATTAAATTTCATGGAATATTTAATCATTTTACATTAAAATATATTTTTCTGAATCAATTTTAAGCAGATTTAAGCTTGATTCGTTATTAATTAATATTAATTGATTTGTTATAGGTAAAAAACAAAGTTATGTTAGTTACATCGTATATAACTCAGGAACGGCTTAACAGATTTCGATGATCTATGAATTTTTAAATTCATCTCTGCCTCGAATAGAAGAATAATTATTAAAATGTCAAAACTTTTGATTCAAATGCAGTTAAATAAGGGATGAAAATTGGTATTGAGATTAAATCATAAATATAGTTAAATAATTGATTCCTAGATGGCGCAAAAGCCCCGGACCAAGTTATTGCAACTCCCCTTCTCCAGTTATAACTAGGGTGACCCCTCTAACTTCATGAATCTTTTGTAGTTATTTCAAAGAATACCAGATAGCGCTGCTAAAACTTCTACATAAAATAATCCCCTCTAGAGAGTATATAAACCAGGTAGTTTTCAAGTTTCGTCACTCTGGTTTCCCTTCAAAGCGAATAAATCTTTCGCCTTTTACTAAAGATTTCCGTGGAGGGGAACAACTCAAATGAGTCTGTAAATAATTTTTCACAGGCCCAGCAATTTATTGCAGGGCCATCTTAAACAATCTAAACATAAATACTACTTTTGCTCATTTTTAAACCAACAGAAAATTGAATTTTAAAATTTTTTCGCTCTAGGGAGTTATTATCCACTCATTTTTGGTTGGGACAATGAAGTAACAAAATTTAATTAAACAGAGGACCTGTACATCAGGGACACACATGCACATAACACGCACTGCTCCAGGGGAAATTCGGCGCATTTTGTTCACGCTTCGCGTTTACCTCGAATTTTGGCCCATCAAAATGCGATATGTTCGTTTAACACGAGAGCATGACACGTGAAATTAATACCATTAATCAGAAACAGTCTAGATGAACAATTAATTTAAAATATGACATCGCAACATTACAAATTATATAAAAAAAAAGAAGCGAAATTATGTTTTAAATATTGTCTAACTTTGTAACAGATGTAATTAATAATTTCAGCTTGTGTTTTACAAGTAAGTGAACATCAAGTGAACAATTGTAATATACTAAGTAATGAAATAACAATCAGAATCTTCATTTTCATTTTCAGCTTTTCGTATCTGAAAATTTTGCAATCCTCATGATTCACCCCGGGCTTTGTTACGAAATCAACTGAAATTCGCCTCGAAACGTTGGTTTTGTCGAAGAAAGCAGCGTTCGTGAGCGTGTGATTGTGCAGAGGAGTGAATTACTCGCTCCCGCATTTCGGCGAAAATTGCCAATTCAGAAGTAACAGAAGTAGCGAAGCAGAGCTATCTATTTTCGCACTTCTGGGAAAATCAAAGAAAACGCTGAAAAGACCAAAAGTATCACGAGGAAATATAATTCACTGTAATTCAAGAGAAAGCTTTCTAAAAAAGAAATAAAGTGATTATCTTGGCTTATTCGAGATTCCTACATGTTAAAAATTGATTTTTAGACTTTTATAAACAAAAAAAAGTTAAAATTTGTTTTCTAAATGAATGAAGAATGAAATTGAACGCAGTTGAAATGATAATGAATGATAAAGTAAAATGGAAAGCAGCGAGCAAGGAAGTAAATGAAATCGAATCGTTCGTGCAATCTGACAGGAAAATTATACGCTCAGCTCTGCGCTCACAAGCGCACCCGATGAATAATGATAATTGAATGATAACAATCGCTGTGTTCGCGTCAATCCTGCATCGGCGAAAACACAATGAGAAATTCAACGCAAATGATGGAATTTACATGTGAGCGAATGCACAAATGGATTATTCACTCTAGAATTGGCATAACCTAAATTTTACATAACCTCAATACAAGACACATTATATATATTAATATTAATACATCACATTTTGATGCAAGTTAAATATGTATTATGAACAAAATTTTATTTTTTATCGATTTAATCAAGAATTTTCGCTAAAATATTTTAAGTTTTTGTAAATTATTGTAATTAATCTAAATTAATATTATAACTGCTAATATGTGTGTGGATAACAATCGTTTCAGTCGTTTTCCAGGTAAAAATAGGGTAATGTCACCTGCTTTTATGAATATTTTGTAGTTATTTTAAAGAATACTAGAATGCGCTGCTAAAACTTCTTCATAAAATAATCCTCTCTAGAGGGTTTATAAACCAGGTAGTTTTCAAGTTTCGTTACTCTGGTTTCCCTTCAAAGCGAATAAATCTTTCGCCTTTTACTAAAGATTTCCGTGGAGGGGAACAACTCAAATGAGTCTGTAAATAATTTTTTACAGGCCCAGCAATTTATTGCCGGGCCATCTTATACAATCTAAACATAAATATTACTAACACTTTATCTTCAAACATAAGCATCATCCATTTCTCATACCATTTCTCATTTTTTAAAAATTAAAACAAAAAAAGTTTCTCTCATGAATAAAACCATTGATAAAACAAAAATTCCTGTCATTAACCAATTAGGCACATAATACATCCATAAAACAAAAGAGTAATTAGCTAGACTGCAGTTTTTTAAACCCAATCATTTCAAAATTCATTTAACTTTCCACCAAAAGAAAATACTGAATGAGTTGTTCAGCAAATCCCTTTGTTATCCGTCGAATGAAAGCCTGGCTAGTTTCCGCTCTAAGGGTGTGTTTAGTCTGGGTTAACGAGGTTTGATTTTGCTCGGTTCAGCTCGGCTTGTCTTGTCTAGTCAATCTCCAAGTTAAATACCCATCACCACAACTTCTCCATGTTTGTGTTCGCACGGTTTTCGCCATTTTCACCCCAACCCACACAAATAACAACGCACATATGGTTGCATATATAGATACAGAGAATATCCTGTCTAGTCAAAACAGGCTTTGTTGTGCGTTGAGCTATTCAACTCAACCAGACATCTGTTTTCTTTTCAGATAGAGAATCTAACTCATGTACCACTCCTGTGAAAGCCTGGCAATGGCAGCCATGTTGAAATGGACGCACATTGAACACAAACATCATAACATTATAGCATTTCTTTGTATAAAGGTTTTATGTAAACATTAATAGAAAGAAGAAAAATGTAATAAAACGTTTCATTGGGTTCGATATAGATTTATGAATAGTCGAATCGAGTATTGTGAGTTGGAAATATCGAATGAATCATATTAAATGTATATATGAATATTGCTAGCCAGCGCAGACAATACGAGAAAGAAACGATTGAGATCAAAAAAGTGGAGGCGTGTATCAACAAAGAAAAAGTGATACAGAGTCAGAAAAAAGTTAATAGACTCTGAGCATGACTGCTGATTTAGCAGAAAATAGATAAACAAGGTTAAACTTTGCATAAAAGCTTTATACAAAGAAAAACTTAAGAAAAACAGCAGATTTAAACGTTAAACGTTACAAAATTTAATCAAAAGTTAATGAAAAATGTAAAAAATCTTAAAAATTTAATTTTGAGATTAAACTTTTAATTTTTACATAAAAACAACTTTAAAAAACAACATTTTATGCACCAATGCACAATATTTGCGTTTTTGGCAAATTTTACGTTTGCTCAGAACAAAAAATTGATGATTTAAAGAACACTGATAGTATAATACGTGAATAAACCTTTCTTTTGTGTGATAATGTAACAGATCCTTTAGATAAAGTCAAGAGTCACCACTAGAATCACAAAGCATCCTCCAAGACTCCAAGGACAATAAAGGTTGAACGTGTCAAATCGCAACCGAAGTAAAACGCAGAAAAATACATTCAATCAAAATCATTAAATCAAAGGGGTGTAACCATTAACCTTTACATAATTTATCAATAAATTATATAAACCCTTAAAATATATATTCCAATATTTAAAAATTTATATTTTAGTATTTTAGTATTTTAATATTTATATTAATAAAAATGTAAATATTTACTTTACCTTTTCTCTTGCTGCAGATAGAGTTGTTCTCGGTGTGATTGATAACACTTCACTTTATGTTTGTTTTGACTGCGTCTTTCTCATGCGATTATCGTCGGTGCGTATGGCATGCACGAAAGAACAACCACGACTGCGACTCAACTCGCAGCAAGCAGGGATAATGCGCGGCGTCCGAATTGCGCGGGTCTGGACTGGCGGGCTCGGCGTCGACGTCTCGTCGTCCGGGAAAACGCTTTCCAGCGCGCGCGCGCGCGCGCATTTCCCACACACATTTCCACACGCCCGCCAACAATCAACACATTTTCTCATTCAACTAGTACAAACATAAATATTATCCCAAGAAAATTCATTTTAAACAAAATCAAAACCCAAAAAATTTAAAATAAAAATAAAAATAAACCAAAACTTAAAATTTAAAATTTTTAGTGTTTCAGAAATATCCTGAAAAATCCTAGTTTACTACTGTACTAAATAAAGTTTTACGTTTACACGTTTCGCACGTTTTGCTACGTGAATAGAAATTTAAGCTAAAGAGAGGAAAAGACGAAGAAAAACTTTGCTTGCTTTCCAGGCAAACGCGCTTCAATCCCAGATCATCCGGAGTAACACCCACGCAGCACGTTCCCACATGCCCTCGCAATCCTTGGCTCCTTGTGCCACACTGACACACAAACGCGCGCGTTCGTCGTCCCAGGAACCCAGGATCCATCCAGGACGCAGCCTGCGAACGTTATTCTGCGTTTCGAAAATCCGCACTGCGACGGAATACGCCCAGCCCCCAAAACAATCCAGTATACAGTTTACACTTTACTCTTTGCCAAAAATTGTAATATTGTAATATTAACATGAATTTAAAATTGAATATTAAAACATAATCACACGATAAATAATAAAACAGTCACCAAACCAACGAAGATGATTTTGTATTCAGTGAATACGTGCAATAAAATGCCACTGTCTGATTTTACGATGTCTTTTGATGTTTTATCTTCAAGCAACATCGGAATCATTCCTTCGAAGAAATCCCAGTGAAGATCCAGACGTGATAGAATTAATAATTGTTTAGTTGGCTTTGTTTCGTTTAGATTTGTATCATTTTGTGATTTTGAGGTTATTATGTGACTATACAATGCAAATGGCGTTTGTTTTAATAATAAAACACCATCAAAGTCTTCTTCTTCTATGTTTATAGGATTTGTGAGGTTAGGATTGACACACATCTCATTATAACCAATTATTTCTGTGTTTTCATCTGTTTTAGTTTGATTTTTATCTAAAAGTTCTTCTAAACATTGAATTCGTGACATAACCTCAACTTCTTTTATCCTCAGACGTAGAACAGAGTCTCTTTTGACAGTTAAAGTATCAAAATATACATAACTCCAGTTTTTGGTTCGAAATTTTGTATGTGATATTAATCCGTCTTTCATCATCTGATTGACTTCTCGTAAATTAATCGGGATGAGATGCTCCCATGGTTCGTGAAAGAAGAATTTGTATTCCAGTTGTAGTAGAGCTATGTTGTTTTGTACAGTGTCTTCCCTAAGGTCGAAAAATGGACTTGATACCCATGTGACTATCAATCTCTTCTGTGATTTTCTAAGAGTTCTTAATGATCCTGCCGTTAAGATACCTTTTGAATAAGAAGTTTGGTAGGTGTCTAAGAGGAATGCGAAGTAATCTCCGGTTTGGAAGGGTTCAGATTTGAATGTTTCGCGGGCGAGCAGCCATCTTGGTGTTAGCATTAATGCAATTGATATGCGGTAGTGTTCTGATGGGGTGTTGTCTTCTGGGTGACATGGTGTATAAATTCCGGCTAGTAATTTGTTAATTTCGGCACATTTTATTAAAGTACATGAAAATATTGTAGTTAGAATTAGGAATTGAACAAAAATTAAGAATTTCGACATTTTTTAATTAAAAATATGTCAATTTTTGTTCAGTAGAAAAATTTGACGTGTTTTGACAGGTTTTTGATTATTTTTGCTTATTTTTTGTAGAGAGATATTTTGGTTGGTGCATAGAGTAATAGTATATTAAGTATCAAGTGTCTAAATGGGGACTTTACTCACGACATTGATGAAGAGTGTTTAACAGCGTTTAGTCACGTGATGACGTCACCACTGGTACCTCAGTTGTTGGTGGTATTATCAACATTGTTACTGGCCAATGCAATTTACTGGTTTGGCATCATTGGTGTTGCTGTAGCAGGAATTACATTTCTTGTGTAAAAAATATTGAAATTGCATCAGAGTAGTAGTATATTTAGTATTATCAGTTGATTTACTCGTATGTATAATATTTAAAACAAGGCAATTTAATAAACACTAAAAACCAAAAAAAGCAGATACTTCAACCAATTGATTTGCTAATTTACCTAATTTACCTAATTTATGCCAATTTTTTTGATAATACTTACGAGTAAGTTCTTATCTTGTAGTAGTATAGTATATTTTAATTTTGGGAAAGTTTCCACCGAAACTGATCTGATATGAGCCACTATATAACAAAGCAACTTTTTCTATTTGGCACTTAAGTCTGCTAAGTCTAGAACAAGCACACCAAACCCTTACAAAATGGTAAGTACATACAAGTAGTTCAATTAGTAGAACAAGTAAATTGTTGTTATTTTATTTGGAATTTACAGGCACAGATTACTTTGGTTATTGTGGCTCTTGCTCTATTCAGCCTGGTTGCTGTTAATGCTGGTTCTACTACAGACCTCAGGGCTGAAGATTCCACTGGTGGAATACTGGCTGGGCTTCAATACGCTTTCCTGGTAGTTCTCCAAGTGCTTGTTTATATACCAGTGATTATTTACCAATACTGGGCTAGGTTATGGATATAAGCTCAAATAAGGACAACAAAACATGTTTTAAATAAATCTAAGTAGCATCATTTATATTAATCGTTATTTTGAATTTTTATCCCATAAGACGTTTTTAAAGGGTTCCTCACATTATAATTTACAGAGAGAGATACTCTACATTTAATATATGTTTTTTTCATCCCTCGGACCACTAAAATTATTAGTTTTTACGAGTAAAGTTGTTTCCTTTGTTAATAACAAAATGAAACAAATGATTTTCTAATTTCTTAGAAAATAAAACTGAATAATACAAATTTGTTAGTATGCGCATAACTCAACAACGCCTCGACCAATTTGGCCAATTATTTTTTTACTATGTTCGTTAAAGTCCAAGGATGGTTTTTACGACGAGAAAAATTCGAATAATTGTCGGGAAAGCCTAGAAGACAGATTTTTTCTATAGGATAAAAGGTGACACTAAGATTCAATCATAGTTATAGTAAAATAGTTGAATCCGAGATGGCGCGCTGAAGTGCATTATTAGCTATTCTTTATATAATTAATTTCTTTAAAATAAAATTGCGAATCTTTTAAGTGGAAGTAGAAAAATAACATTTTTAAACAAATAAATGTACAGCGAGCATAGCTCATACTCATAAATGCAATTTTTCTCTCTTAGTACGTAATATGTACTATATTCCAATATTTCTCAAGGTGTAAATATGAAAATCAAAACAAATAAAAAACAGAAACACAATAAAAGCCGATCATGTGAGTTTAATCAACCTATAAACTAAATCTCTTCAATTCCACTCATGAAAATCACATATTCTCGCGACAAGTTACAAGTGTCTACCAATATACTTGACTCACAAGTGAGAAAATTCCATTTAATTGTGCATTTTTCCCGTCTATAACACCGGATCATAAACTGAACAAATACTATACATTAAACATAAAATAATATTGGAATTGTCAGTGTTATTGCTATAATTCTATATTTTAAAGCGACAATACCAAAGCACAATAGCAGCAGTTATCTTCATAACTAGATCAAATAAATACCCAAAGAGTCACATTGTTTTTTCTTATCTGTTTGCCAGCGCCTGGTGATTATAATTCTCTCAAAGCAAATTTGCAAAGTTAATCTCAGAATATTAATAAATAAAAGAAAATATACGTCTACGTTGTCTGGATTCGCATTGTAGACATTGTACATCATTCGTTACACGACTACACAGGTTGAAAATCATGACTTTCATATTATAAAACATTCCAATTAAACTCGAAACTTTTAAAACTTTTAACAATGAAATTGTTAATATTCATCAACTTTTTCGCAATTGTTTTGTGCGCGGATGTGAATCAAAACCCACCTCCACCATGGCCAGTGTTAAAATTCAAATTCGAAGTCAATCCTAACCAAGCAAATGGACTACTTGGGGAACTCATCGATTCAGAAAGATATATGAATTACAAGCCAACAATACCCGCTAGTCAACTAGTGATGAACACAAACATCCATGAATTATCATTGGCGGAATGGAGTCAGGTTTTAGTACATTCAAAACTCAACTTCACCAACATCAACGCAGAGAAATTAAAAGAAATCATAAGAACTCTTCATATCAACACCAGCGTTGAATATTTTAGATTTAATGAGATGATTGACGACCCAATGAATCAAATGGGTCAGGCAATGAAAGCAATCAATGTGAGTGACTTATCACTTCTTTATTATACTGTGGAACACCCTGTAGGTGATGAAAAGTTTATTGATTTGTTCAAATATGCTAACTATTCAAACTGGCCGGAAGCACAGAAACATCTGAAACTAAACGATGAGCAAATATTTGATTTTTTCAAAAAGTGCATTTTAAGATATTTAGGGAATATCACCCTGTATGATTTTGGAAGACTTGTGAAGAATATCACTGGAGAAGTAGCCAACTTTCATGTGGGATATGAAAAGAATCAAGTTGGTATTATAAAAAGTTTGTTTGATTTCCTCGAAGTGTATCCAGTACAAGATTTTAAGGTTATGATTGATAATTATAACCAGACTATTGTAAGTCCCATGATGTTGGCAACACGTATTGCAACAGGGAAGTATATATCAAGTGGCGCCATCTATGATGAAATTACAAGAATGTCTGCAAAATACACTAAACCATTCCTTATTGAAGGACCACGAGGAAGATATGAGATTAAGGTTATGAATTTTAACAAATCTTTGGTTAACTTTGAAACAAACGATAATATAACATGGGTTAATAAGTCTAGTAATGTTGTTAGTCAATTACAAAGATGTTATTATGCTCCAAATGAAAATGAAACACTTTTGGTCAGCGCTACAGAATCCAGCAACCAGATGCACATCAACAAAGGAACCAATGTTGTTTTCATCAAAGGAGCACCTTTGTTTTGTGATCAGGTGCTTGTAGGTGTGGCACTTACAGAATCTGTAAGTAGTATCATCTTTGCAAAGGTACCATTTACCTTTATGGAACCTGTTAAACCTGGTAATCATGATATTGTTACCAATGGTACTAAACCAACTCCTCCTCAACCTCCGGTGACCCTTTCAACTCATGTGATTGCTTCTGTAAACTTCCGAATTATTGAATCAAAGATTCCGAATTTGGTAGCGTATCTCCTGATGGATTCTGTAACTGGTAATTCAAGTGAGACTAATACTGATGGTGTGACTCCAACTGACATAATCCAGACCTTTGAATTAGACCAGATAAGTTATGCAGATTTTCTTCAATTGGTATCTAATAAAAGGCCTTCTTCTGATGATATCAAAGACACTTTGGATCTTCTTAAGAAGTTTAATGTGTCACCACTTCAGATTTATCATCACCTTATGTCTATTCTAAATGATGCACAAAAAGAAAACATGTTCAAAGCTGTGAATATCAGCTCCTTGGAACTTCAAAGACTTTTGTTGTATCATCCTCAGAATGAGACCAAATTCAAGGAGTTTATCCTCACTGGTAATTTTAGTAAAACCAATGTAGAAAATGCATTGAAAGCTGTTAACCTCACAAGGAATTCTATCTTTGATATTGCTAAACCGTTTGTTCTTCAATCAGCTTACAACTCCAACTTGGGTAATGTTCTAGAGTTGGTTAAATCCCTTGGAGGTTATCCTACTTTGACTAAACTACTAACAAAATATCATGTTGGACCTGATACGATAAGAACCTACAAAGGATATGAAAAAATCTTGAATAACTTCGCCAAAGTTTTGGGAAATTCATCAGCGCAAGCTCCAATTATATCTAGGAGACATGTCCTAACCTCAAATGATGTCTACGATAGTTATAATGATCCCACAACGAGAGAATTTGTATTTCTTGAAGTCAGTACAGCTCAAACATCTTCGGATGTTTTCACAATTGTGCCTTATACAACCGGATATGCCAATATAACATTGGATAATTTACTTCCGGTTAATCAACCTGCGCTTACTACAGCAACTGATACTGATCCTAAAGATTGTAAAATGATTACTGTTGAGGGTATTTATGATGCACATAAAGTGGAACATTCAAAACATGAATTTGAGGTTAGAATTGATGCAATGATCACTAAAGATGCTTATAGAGTAGGTGCGGGGCTTGTTTGCAGTGGGAGGTTATATGGAGTAGCTACCAAAATGGCGGAGGATAAAATACATTTTGCTGGATTTAAAAATGGCGTACCACCGAGTGATAATGTTAAACCTCCTGCAGCTGCAGCTCACATAACCTCATATAATGTAATTGTATTAGCATCGTGCGCCATTTTATCTTTGATTAGATTTATGTAAAATTAACATATGTAATCATTAATATCTAATATCTGTAACAACAATATGTATTTTCTAACACATTAACAACGTAAAAATAAATATTTAAACAATATTTAGTCATTTTTATTCCCCAAATGTGTCATGATTAAAATTCCCTTGTAAATTATTGTTATCTTGTCGTGTGACGTCAGAAGCATGAAAATTTAGGTCGTAAACATAAAAAATGAGTTAATTAGCATGTCGCATAATGAAACTGTAAAAATTAACTAATGAGTAACGCAATAAGTGCTTAAATCTTATAATCTCTTGGATAATCATACAAAACTTACAAATAAGTAAGTAAATAAACGATTTCAGATGATTTATTATGATAAATTCAAAGTTTTAGTTTTACAATGAAGATTTCCACTGGAATTCTTTTCCTGACACTTTTAACTTCGTTAACTGAAACAAAAAAGCACAAATCTACAACACCGCAACCCAAAAAGCCTAATAAACCTAATAAGAATGGCGTTATAGGGAGTACATTGTATTCCTTATCAATGGAAATGAATAATCAACAGATTATGGATTTTATGATTGATAACGCCTTTGGTACAAGCACTTACATTCGCACAAACTTTGGAATTCGATATCCTGAAGTCAAATTAGCGAGTATTCAAAGAATGTTGGAGACTGCTCCAACTGCATCTTTTGATACAGCTTTAAATGACTTAGAAGTGTCTTACAACAACTTTAAAAGCACTTATATCTCATATCATCCAACTTATAATCTGTTACAATTGTTAGGAATATCCATAGGCAAAGCAGTTGATAATTTCTTGGGTCATTTAGACAACAATAGTCAAACATTGTTCAAAATTCTAAAATTAGTCAATATAGACCCAGAAGAGTTTCAGGATACTGTGCAAAACAAAGGAGAATCAGAGTTTTTTGATCTCTAGCTGATGGAACTTACGAAGAAGCAAATTTAAAGGAAATTTTAGAAATTGCGAAACTTGAAGTTACTTTTACGAATATCATTACTATTCTTGAACTTGGGAAGGATTTCACAGCTAAATTTTCAATGAATGTCGATGGGAGTTTTACAGGTATCATGAAAAAGTTAAAGATTGATCCTGAGAACTTGAAAGTTGCAATGCGGAATTTTGACATTTCAACTTCCAATGAACCATCAACAATTACTCCGATTCCTGCTGTATTAGAAGATTTTGAAGAGTTGAAATCTGTAGCAACACAGATTTCTGAGTTTAAAGCTGTCACTCATAAAGACGCTGCCATTTTGAAGAAGTTCCGGGAGATAGCGCCATCTGCCACCTTGTTTGGAACTAATTTATCGGACGATCGGAAAATTGAAGTTATTCCTAATACATTGAATCCTACAGATGCAAATTATGCTACTTTGTGGTCTGAGAACACAATGGGGTCGAGATTTACTGAATTGGCGTTGACGGATGAGATACAGGGGAGAAAAGAATATTCAAACTGTTATTACTGGTATGTTGATGATCAGTTTGCAACACAATATGAGGTGACGCCTGTTTTGGAGAAGTACGTGTTTGATGTGAAGAAGGCCCATGCGGAGGACGTTTTAATGGATGGAACTCCTTTGGTTTGTGATGGGAAGCTCTATGCTTTGACTGTTAATGACATGGCAGGGAAATCAGACGCTGTTTTTGTTAGTAAATATCCGATTATGAGAGAAGAAGAAGGAAGCAGTGGTTTCTTTGGGAGTATTATTAATATGGTCACTAAAGTTTTCAAGGGAATGTTTAAAGGTGTCACGGATATTATTTTAATGCCGTATAGGTTTGTTAAGAAAATATTCTCGAGTTTTTTTAAGTAATGAATATTTAACACGATGATTATTTGCAAAAATGCGGTTTGTGTAATCAAATAAACAATTTCAAGCTGTATAAATTGAGAAAGATGGAAGATAGTATATTTGTTATATTTATCTCGAGTGATTGTGTTTAATTTTTATCAAGTTTGATAAGAAAACTTGTTTTTGTAACGTATTTTCAGACGCTGTTACTCTATATGCAGATTTATTATAGGCAACTTATTATACACCAAACACCAACAATTCAATTCTCGTGAAATTTTTAAATAAAATTTGATTTAACATTGGATTTCATTACCAAACACAAATAAATTAAATGATATTATTAAATTTGAAGCAATGTTGTAGATTTACTTCCATTTATTCAATTTTTTCCACTGAAAACATTTTGAATAACAAACGTAACCTTGAATTACCAACCAAACATCTAGTGACCACAAATGTCACTAGCAAGCGGCGAGCGTGTTGCGATGTGTCAGTTATAAAAATTCTTCAGTGTCGTGAATTTCTACAACTCAGCGAGTACCACTCCCGGCGTTTCGGCGTGCTGTTCAATGAATCAAACGAGGTCTGCGTGAGTATCAAATCATGCTTTATTCGCTTACCCTGCGACTGATCACCCCGCACTTGTGTGCGCGTCGGCACAAAATGTCCGGCACGCGGTGCGTGAACTTGACAATCAAAAAATCCGCGCGGCCCTAGAAAAAAACGCCAAACACTCGTAAGACAAGCGGATACGTCGTCGTCTATAAGTAGCGAAGAAAAAGAACCATCAAGCGTGACCGTAGCGTGCTGCGTGCGTCGGAAGCATCCTGACGATCGCGATTATTAATTAAATAATCAAACGAGGGGCTGGCGCATCGCGTATCAAATCGCCCTGTTTCGTCTTGCGTGTGCCGCACACGCAAAGACCGGCGCTATTTTTAGCGCTAACGCCCGCAAAGACGTGTTTCTTGTGTGCCTGCGCCGTGCCGCCGACGGCGAAAAAAGCGCAAACGTTTAACGGTATTCGGCATCCGAGATCTTCAAACATTCCAACCGGTAAAACACATCACATTTGCATACACTGCTCATTTTAATCCGTTGAGAATAAAGCATAATAAAAATAAATTCAGAGGTTATGGTCATCGGAAGCGTTCGAAGTTTCTAGAAGCCAAAACAATGTTGCAATTGTTCACTGACTACAATCATGTCGATCAAATTGATTTATTGATATGTTTTTGCTTGTAGGTGAAAAAGGAACAAGGGGTGTTAATTTAGAACCTAGTTAATCATGGCGGTGAACGTGTACTCAACGAACGTCACCACAGAGAACCTCTCGCGGCATGATATGCTCGCCTGGGTGAACGACTGCCTCAAGAGCAGTTTCGGAAAGATTGAAGAGTTGTGCACGGGGGCGGCGTATTGCCAGTTCATGGACATGCTATTCCTCAACTCCGTGCCGTTGAAGCGCGTCAAGTTCAAGACCAACCTGGAGCATGAGTACATTCAAAACTTTAAGATCCTCCAAGCTGGCTTCAAAAAGATGGGTGTTGATAAGGTAATTAAACACCACAAACATATCCTATGTACAAAAATCAATGAATGTGTTATGATTATGATTAATCCCTCCTAGCCAAGTAGCACTTGATTTTGTGTGTGTGTTGGTAGACACACAGTTGTTTGGTTTTCTTTTTAAATGTTTGGTAAATTTAGGTGATACCAGTAGATAAGTTGATAAAGGGCCGTTTTCAAGACAACTTTGAGTTCTTGCAATGGTTCAAGAAGTTCTTTGACGCGAATTACGAGGTGCGAGATTACGACGCGCTGGAGGCGCGCGGTGGCATCGAGCTGGGCAACGCCATCAATCTGCAGGGCGGGTACATTTCCGCACCGCAGCGTCAACCGCCCACCGCCGCCGCCGTCCGACAGGGTAACGGGCATGGCGTGCGGCGACCAGGTAATACAACTGCACACCTCAGCGCACATGCAGACGAGAAACATGCGAAAACTGCTGCAAACGCAGGCAACTAAAACCCTTTTTTTTAATTTTCCATGGTGTTTTCTGGTTGAGACTGATAACAAATCATATTTCGAAAATATCGCTTGCAAATGCGCGGCGACCGAACTAATTCTTTATTATTATTTACGAGCGGTGATTGGTTTTTTTTTTTTCATATTTATGCGTTAAATCTACTTGGGTTTTGTTCACATTTGTATGAAAATTGAATTCAAGTAGATTTAATTTATTATTTGACTAAAATTTTTGGTTTTCGGTGCGTAAAAACGGGACTTAGAGATTATTGAAGTGGTTTTAATGCGACACGTCATTGTAAATTATATACGATGCGATAACTGACTGATTACACACAAGTTTCCTGTCTGTGTGGTGTTTTTACCACATAGTTAAAAAGTAAAAAGTCATCACACTTATGAATGCAGTGATACACTGCGTTGTTTTGTTACGAAATCGACAGTTGTTTACTGGTTGCCATGGCAACACGTGAACACCATTATCCAAGTCTTTCATTTTCACACGGAAATTCATTTTTCGTCGCTCTGCTATGTGATCGTCCAATGTGAGTTGTATTACGCTGTTTTCCACTCCCCGAAATCACGAAGATCATCATCGTCGACTTATCGCCCGCCCCCGCCACCATCATCACCACGTAGTGATTCATTGTTTTTGTTGTTTTGTATTTTGATTTGTTTATTTGATTATTCGTTTCTAGCGTTTTTTCTGTTGTTGTCGCACCGTCGCCATTACGTTTCGTTTGATCATCTTTTGTTTCCCTCTTCGTTTCTCGCAGATCGTGCCGATCGATAGGCTGGTGAAGGGCCGCTTCCAGGACAATTTCGAATTCCTGCAGTGGTTCAAGAAGTTCTACGATGCCAACTATCACGGCAACGAGTACAACGCGCTCGAGATGCGCGGCGGCGAACCGATGGGCGGCGATAGTGCGCACGCTCCGCGCGGTGTCACGATGATGACGCGCAAGCCGGCGCCGGTGCTTGCCGCCCCCAAGAAGCCGGTGGGCATCACCAAAGGCAGTAGGTTCACCTTTCTCTTAATCCTCCATCTCTATATGAAAAAGTGTCATTCTCCTACAAAAAAAATCCACTACCACTTACCGGAACGCTAGGCCAATGACGGGACGGATTTGAAACCAAAACCGAGAACCACGCCTCTAATTGTCTCATCCATCATTCTGTTTCTTTTGTTTTGTTTTAATTTTTGGTTTGGTTTCTAACACGCTGCATGTGAAGCTTTCTTGTACTTTTTATCATTAACTGCATGATACACAATCAAAAGACACACAGAAAAACATTTAATTCACAACATTTCATATATAACTGTTGAGTGTTGAATCTATGTGTGGGCGGCGATTTGAATACTGACGCCCCTCCGGTGATTTCAGTGCCGAAGGTGATGCCACAGCGGACTGCGGTCGCGCCTAGCCGACCAATTGGCGGCGCAGGGCGTGGCGACAACGGCAAAATAGACGACCTCAATAATCAACTACTCGAGTTGAAGGTCAACATGGAAGGCCTCGAGAAGGAGCGCGATTTTTACTTTGGAAAGCTGCGCGACATTGAAGTGATGTGTCAGGAGACCGATGAGGGCAATCCACTCATACAGAAAATCCTTGATGTGCTTTACGCCACAGAGGTTAATTTAGCATATATTTTACCAATAAATTCAAATAAACATATTATAAATTATGATTTCAGGATGGATTTGCTCCGCCAGAAGAAACCGACGACGGAGCGGGCGAGGAGGACGAGTACTAGACACACCCTTCTTAGCCCCACAACCAATCAAACACACCGTATCATTATCACAACACATACACCACACACACACACACACACACGGCAAACAAAACAGCCAATCATTTTCCTGTCAAATTTGGCGAGCGCGCTGCTTGTTTGTTCATTCGCTATCGCAAAAGAAAAAAAAACGATGTGATGTGAGAAACAATAGATACACGTTTGTTTCATCATTTGATAACTTAAATTATTTATATATGCGCCAACGTTGCTTTTATTCTAACAAATTGATTGTAAACACTGAACATGAAAACGAAACAAAGAAAAACGAAAACGTAGAGCGCTACCACGTCACCTCGTTGTTTACTGCTGGAAATACTCTTTATGTGTCGACGATGTAGTGGACTATTGGATTCTTTTTTATTGTTAGCTTGTGAAAGACACACACTTGTAAATCGTCTGCGTACGCGCGTGTACGTTGTGTTATGTTTGAAATCAACATTTTAATCGAGAGTTTTTTATATAAATATTCGGGTGTAAAGAAATATGCGCTGAAAATCTTGAGGGCGAATACGCATGATCGCACACACATTATTGCATTGACGGGCTACCGACTTGAACATTTCATGCAATAGGGACGACTTTGAAATAAATTTTCTTTATGAACAGATCTACTCGCCATGTTTAATTTCAGTTTGCTTTGTCTCATCCTGTAGACGATTGTGTCAATTTGTTGATATAAATAATATTCGAGTGCGCAATTATCTTGATTAATAAATTTTTGTGTTTTTTGCGGTTTTATCTAATCGCGAAGATTAATCTTGTTGAGTTTTTAGTTCAAATTGATGATTTGAGGCTCAGTCGAGCCAATAATCCATTCATATAACTTTTATCTTGTGTTGTACTGTGTTATTTTGAGAGTTTGGAGTGTAAAAAACACTTGGCGTATTAAAATAGGATTTGGTTAATACTTTTTCGCGATGGAGATGCAAAATCTCTCGGCGAGGAAGCCGGTTTCCACTCGGCCAGCATCCGTTACGTTTGCGCCGTCTGTGGAGGCAGAACAAGCTCGTAAAGCGGCGAAAAACAAACTTTTGCGGTCGAAAACCCTCTCAACTACCAATCGTGACGGTAAAATGAGAGCTAACGTTGAAAGAAGGTGAGTTAAAGTTGGTTATGTTTAGTGACAATATTACAGGTTATATTATTTAGGTTAAGGCGTTATGAATCCGTCATTGCCTTGGAAGAACTCGTAGAATGCGGGATTTGTCTATCACGACTAGAAAACCCTAAAATGTTGGCATGTCAACACACATTCTGCTATGATTGCTTGAAACAAATGCAACAACAAACCGATGAGGATTACATTGAGTGCCCCGTGTGCAAGCAAAAGTCTATGGTTGTTAACGTTGATGCTTTACCCAGTAATATTTACCTAAACAATTTAATTACTTTGCTAACGAATGAAACAGAAGAAGTTTCGACTGATACGCAAGCTCCAGTTGAGCAAGCGAAGCAATTTATAGCTAAAGGTGTTTCTGTCAGTTGCTCAAAGTGTACAACTGTATGTGAGCAGCAGAATATTGTAAAATGTCAACATTGCAAGATGGTAATCATAAAGTTGAATTCTTTGGTCAAAAAATCCTAATAGTACGAATTTTTGGTTATGTTTAAAATAGGATTTTTGTGGTGTATGCTTCCCACAACACGCTGATGAGCTGATTGGACGTTATCCTGATTTCTTAAAGCAATTAGACGAACATGAGACGAGTTTGACATTTGAACAAACCGATTATAAGCGTCATTGTGATCATTTAGTGGAAGAAATTAAACTAGGAGTGGGTCAAAAAATAGAGGAGTTGAAAAACATGGAAGACACCATTTTGAAAGAGGTTGCATTGTTGCACGAATCCGGCGGTATGGAAATCATGCACATTTCTTCAAATATATCTAATTTACGGGATACAATTAAGAAACAAAACGAAACCAAAGCGCATAATAAGGTAAAGTATAAGTCCAAGTCATGAGCTTATTAAAAACACAAAAAATATGTTAGGTTATAAATTATATGGACTTCCATCACCGATTGGCCAAAATCCTGGAAACAATCTCTTCTTTGGCTGTCAACTACAAACAATTCAATATGACTACATTCAAACTGGATACCCCTACATTTCCAGTAACAACACCGACAGATAATTTCATCTATGAAGAACTACGTAGTTCACAAATAACTTCTCCAGCGATGCTTTTAAATTATTACAAAAACAAAGTCTTTACACCGAAGTCTGTTTATCAGAAACTCCAGAAACCAACTGGTGTTTGCTGCTCACCATGGAATTGCAATCAGGTATATGTATGCAACATGAAAACCATCTATGTCTATGATATAGATGCCGGTAAAGTAACAGCAAGAATCCAAGACGAAAACATGCAGTGTCCTCAATCAATCGCATGCAATATTTCATCATCGGAAATATTTGTTTCCGATAAAGTAAAGAACATGATCCACGTGTTTAATAAAGATGGTGTATATCAACGCCATCTTGCACCTAAGGGTTTATCTAATCCTCATGGCATAGCAATCAACAAAAATGGCGATTTATTAGTATGCGATACCGGAAATGATCGTATTTTGATTGTTGAGTCAACCGCAGGGAAGATTAGGAATATGATTGGTATTGTTGATGGAATAACTGAGTTATCTATGCCGACAGATGTCGCTACAGATGGGAAGATTATTGTTGTAGCGGATGTAGGCAACCATCGCATAAAAATCTTTGACGCTGAAACTTTAAAGAGGACGAATGAGATTGGAAATCTTGGGAAACAAAAAGGGCAGTTTAGATCTGCTGAGGTGGTGCATGTTGATGAGGGTGGATTTATTCTGGTGGGGGATGCAGGGAACAGGAGGATTCAGATTTTTAATCCGCAAGGGGAGTTTGTACAGTGCACTAGTTCCGAGTATAAGTTTAATTCTATTTCAGGGATTTGCACTAACAATAAGGCAGATGTTATTGTTACTGATTATAAAAACAAAAGTGTGGTTAGGTTTTAATACTTACATTATCCAAACATAACCTAATATATATTATTTATGTAAAATATTATGTTTTAGAGCTATTTATTTGCATTTTGGTCAAAAATAGTTGAATTTTTGGTTTTATCAGTAATCTTTTCAATGATTATATTATTACTGTAAGTTTCTCAGTAAGTACAAAATAAATTTGCAAATAGAATGCCAAAAAACCGTATAATGACTCAAAATGTCTGCATTTTCAAAGTATTTAGTCATTTAAAGCAGGTTTTTGACATTTTTCTTAAATTTACAAATGATTCTAGCCCAATTTTTGGCCCGTTTTGTATTTTGGCTTTGCTAACTGCTAACTGTCGCTGACATTGTTATGCGATCGCATCGCGACATCGCGCATAATATAGAAATTACGGCCGGAGTTATAAGACGGAACACGTCCGACAGACAAGTGAAAATGCACGCAGACAATGCGCGATCAGCAGGCCGCGCGGAATTAATTCCGCGAACCACGCATTAGATTTATATCGAGGTGGATTATATTCTTTGCGAATAGCAAAGCGGTTTTTGGTTGATTTACGTGATCAGCGCACTTATTAAAGATCAAATGACAAATTGGGGTATCTAGTGCAGTGCAGAATATTTAAATATGAACTATGAATGAAATCATAGTTTATATTCTTCGTAAATTTGTTTAGAGGTTATGTTAGGGCAAAAGAAACAATATTTCACTTGAATTTCTGGGATTTTACTAAAATTTTGGGTGTTTTTGTGATTTCATTGGGAAATTTCGAAAATTTTGAATTTTTTTACTTCTAAACTTTACAAAACGACAAAAAACGTTAATTTTGAATTTTATACGTCAAAAATTACTTCTCAATAAAAATTTGAAGAATTATGAGAGCAAACAAAAGTTATCTTTCAATATAACCAATAATCTGCACATAAAATACTTTATTTTTGGAAAATTTCAATTAACTCGTCCGCTAGTAGTATACAAATACGCAGAAATAGCTCTCGCAGGTTTTCACTTCGGTCATCCATGTAAAACTTAACTTTTTGCACTTGATGTACCCTCAATTGAATTTCCTTGCCCATAAATACATCCGTAAACGTTTAATGGCTGCCATTTATGTCATTGTTAGCATATAGGCAACCCAGATTACACAATAGGCAAATGGGCAAATTTGCAAACGATATCAATATTCATGACGCGTTGGGCACGCAAATTTATAATCGACGCTAGGCACTGATCGACACCATGCATAATCAACTTGAACTTATCGATCAAACTAGCACTTGAACTCTGCGCACGCCAAGGCGTATCAGGAACGAAAAATTATTAGCACAATCAATTACAACGTGCGCCAATACAGTAGGTGTAGGGAAACAATGGTCGAACGCAACATGAATATATAATTAATAGTGAATAAACCGTACAACAGTAGCCTTGCACTACATAAACACAAATAACATATTTGTGTTATTCAAGTTTCAATTAAAATAAAAAAAAATGCGTTTTACGTGCATTTTCAATCGTTTAGTTTATGCGTAACCTATTCATGCGTGTATCGTTGGTTGCCTAGGTTGTTCTAAACCCAAATAACTCGTATTGTCTATTTAGGTCTCGAAATGCAATTTGCGCGTTTTTTCCACATTTTGCATGCGCGTTTTGTTTTATCGCACAGCTCATGATGTATAAATTACCATGTGATCATCGTCGCACTCTCTCGGTCACTGGAGTAGCGCCGCGCCGGTCGCGACGGTCATCTGCGCCTCGCCGTCAATCAAAACTGACGAAACGAAGACCCAAAACGACGACAAGTACGAAAGTAACGAAGATTCGCTCAAGTCGCTCGCGTTGCACACACGTAAGTCAAGTGCGGTTTGACTTAAGTAAGGAACGCGCGACGAGCCGCGACCTATTCGGTTGGCACTCGTCGTCAAAGTCGCGTGCGAAACTCTTTAAAACATGTGAAGCTCAAATGTTAAGTGACTTAAGTGACATTATGGGGAATTGAAGAAATTAACGGATTTTGAAACTAATTTTTGTTTTGCTTTGAGATATCAATCAATGTTGACAATCACCGTTAATTGTTTTGTATTTGTTCATCGGGTTTTAAAGTTACAGTAACCAAATTTTCGGCAGCAACAAAGTTGCAACATTTGGCGCAGAATAAAGTTTGATGTGGACTTGAACGTGTATATTCGAAACAGGTGCGATGGAAGTTAAGTTTTACAAGTTCTTTGCGAACGCGAAAAAAGTGAAAAACTAAAGTGACTTTCAAAGCAATTTGACTTAAAGTTTTTGAAATTTTAAGCACGCGTGACTGTCGATAAAATTAAAGTGTACGACTTTTATGTGGTGCTAAAATATCATCGGAGTCGGTCCCAGCTGGAATCTCTATCGTAAGAAAATAGCGCTCAAGATAAGTAAGTATGGCGTCGTTTGTTACATATCGGAAAGATCAGGTTTGAAACCAGAAATCGAACGCGAAGCACGTGCAGAATCGATTACTACATTTAACTCTTCTTCCTTAGAGTACCAAAGAGTTAAAGACTCACTTAAGTCGTTTGATTCTGCGTTTAGTGATTAGAATTAATTTCCATGCAACGCATGCAGGAACGTGCGTTCAACAAACTGATAATTACGGAGGAATGATTAATCGTTTTGATATTTACATATTGATTCGTTTTTTTTATTATTTGACTCGTAGTATTATAGGCAACTATGTTTGCATTTTTAGTTGTCATGACAACCTGCACACTTTATCAATAAATGTTTTGGGAAAAAAATTTTTTAATTTAAAAAAAATGATTCAAAAATCTTTCTTTTCGTCATTTTGGAGGTTAATTCTGTAAGAGGCAATATGTAATTATAGAGTATCTGTATTGTCAATTATTTTTGGTGATTTTAAATCTAATATTTCATTGATGAGGCATTTTTTACACGATTTATTAAAAAAAAAGTCAAAAAAAGTTTTAAAAAAGTCAAAAGGTAAAAAAATTAAAGACACAATATTAAGTACACTGAAATATCGTTGGTTATGTCACACGTCAAACAACATAACCTTATCGGATATCTATTTTTCACTCCCAAAGTTTTTGATCTTCAATATTTTGTTGATTTAATAATTATTTTCCTATTAATGCAAAAACAAATTGAAAAAATAATAGATACTTATTAAAATTTTAAATTATTAATAGCGTAGGCCCGCCTTGTTTAAAAAAAATGGCGCATGAATACACACAGTTATTAATTATCAGCTATCCATTTTGACACGAATCCCAAAATGATAAATAAAGTAATTATTTGGTGATTAAATTAAATTTTGCATGATTTATCACGCTTCCAACAAAATAATAATTAGTTCACCTTAAAGCTATACACCAGGTCAAACATTAATACTAAAAAAAATCTTATTTTTGTAACTTGGCCACTTTTTTATTTGTTTTAATTAGAACAATGTTTAACAAGTGACACGCGCATGTTAAACTTGTTTACCTCCGTTTATATCACAAGTTTCAGTTGCTTACGAAAATATTTAAATATAAAATGCATTATTTTCGGTAATTGCACGTTGATTCAAGCCGAATGAACTTATTTTAAGAGTTTAACTGTTAACTCACCTGTTTGTTTGTTTGTTAGTTAATGTAATAACCATATTATGTCGTATTATGTCGACGTGCACAATCATAATAGAGTGGAATCATAAAAGAAAAGAAAGAATTTCTTTCCACTTTTACAACTTTTACAGTTTTGTATACTGCCGGCAATATGCAACCAATTTAACACACATTATTAAAAATCAATGAATTCGCACAAAACAAGATCTACTAAGCAATTATCTTTGATTGTATTTGCGAAAATTAACAAAATTAGCTGATTCTAACGTAATATCAGCTTAGTGTTAGTTTATTATTTAATTATTTTTAAAAACAAAAGAATTATGAGCGCAATTAGTGCAAAAATAGTGCAAAAACGAGGATTACAGTGAAAGTAATCTCGAAAACAAACGAAAACACTCAATTATATTGATTTTACTTACACTAGGAAGTAATAGTGATAATTTTTATTGTTTTATTAGCTAATATTTAATTATGCATAAATTATGCACTAAAAACGCATGAATTTAACTGAAAACTATGTTTTTAAGTCAGTAGTGATCAGTTTTACTTCAGAAGAGTAAGAAACAACACCTCATAAAAAACAGTGAGTTTGAGTTGCCATATAAGTACTGAACATAGTGTTAAAATGTATTATAGGCAACCCACTATACATATCTACATTTTTTGTGCGGTTATTAATAGGAATTCAATCAAAACAACCAAAAATTAATTATTTTCCTATTTGAATAAATTAAACACTGAAATGTGACTGTGAATCAACGTGTTTCGATTGATTAACGAGCGTTTAGCCAATTATAATTACATAAACGTATCGAAAGCAACGGTTTGGTGATTATCGAATTCGGAGCGTTTGCGTGTTCGCAAAAACCAAAAAATTTCCGACCTCGTCGTGCGTGTAAATGTGCCAATACCGGTTGCGTGTGCAAATTTTCGAACCGACAATCGAAGCCAGCCTAAAACTAGACCAAAAATAAGCGACGACACCAACTTGGCTTGGACATCAACTTTTATTGCGCTGCCTTGTATCGTTTTATATTTAAATTATTTAAATACGCCTGTCGGTCAAGTTCAATGCGGAATATTAAACAAAACACAATCATGTGCGTGTGTTACACTGTTACCGGTTACAAATGGCGAGTGTCAAGCGTCGGGAAACAAGCACGTTGAAAAATGTACGTTGTACACGCACGGAATGCTCTTTTTTTTGTATGCAATACAAACAAGACATTATATCCATAGCATTCGCACCTCGATAACGAATTAAATTCACGATCGCGTGTTACTGACTCACTAGATGCCGTTTGATTGTTCACTTGCGATGAATAATTAATTGAATAATTGTGTGATTTGTATTTACGGCTTTATAGTAATTTTAAGGTTAGATGAGGTTAGGTTTATTTATTTTACGCCTTGTATATTAGCATTTTTTATCGTAAAGTACGAGTACAAAGTGAAGAAATTTAATTGTGCCCATTTCCAGATGGAATTGTAAATAAAAACGTAAAAAACAAGTAAAAATCAAGAATGCAATTGAATTAAATACTTAGAGTCTTTAAAAGTCAACACTAGGTTTGCAAACTTGTTTAATATATTCTTAAACATGCCATTCCTTAATTATCACATCATAAAACATTTAAAACGACGTTTTTATTGTATTAGATTTACTTATTTATCGGTTTAATGCAGTGTGTGTTGCATAATAAGATACCAATGATTAGTTTTATATTGCCTGCAACTTTATCCCCATAGTTTTTTTTTTGTAAAAATGCAATTAATTTTTTACTTTCTTGTTTTTTGAACTTAAAATGTGTCGAATTTGTTAATGAAATTCGTAATATTATTGTAAAGAAATCAGAAATGCTAATAATGCACTTTAGCGCCATCTATGCATCAATTATGCAGCAATAAATATGATTTAAATTTTACCCCTTATTTAACACCCTTTAAATCATAATGTTAAATATTTTGATAATTATTCTTCTATTCGGGTTAAAAACGAATCCAATAAATCATTGATCATCAAAATCTGTTAACGCGTTCTTGAGTTATAAATGCTGTAACTAACCCGACTTTGTTTTATATAGATTTTATTATATAGATTTATTTTTTTCTTGTTCCAGGTTGATTTAACACGTGAAAATGTACAGTGGAAAACTGAAACCTTGGTTTTATGGCACAATACTTTTATTTTTGCTTGTAAATACTCCAATAATTGTCAAATCGCATTCGGTGCACAAAAAATTACCAAATATTCAAGAAGAAGACAAATCAACGAATCATGCACATTCAAGACAAAAACGTTTATTATGGATAACATCAGATGGCAGGTTGGCATTACCACCGGGAACTACGCTTGTCATCACGCCATCTTTATCGCTGCCGTTTGTGCGCTATCCACCAGATGGCTTCTTCTCAAATATGACAATAAGTCTTCCATTTACAAGTAAATATAAATTAAAATAATAACAAAATCTGAAAAAAAATTAATTAAATAATTTGTTTGTTTTTCATTTTAGTTGATTTTAATAAACTAGGTTTAACTGACAATGAAAATCCCTACGGTGTTCTGCCACCGATATTTGCTCGATCAATGGGTAGAGCAGCAGGCAACATGTTGGGAGAGTACGTTATGAAAATGTTAGAGAGCGCTACTGGTACAACAAGCACTGCTAGTCCGACTGGTAGCACAGATACAAGGCGTAAACGTTCAACAGAAACGCCTACCCTGAGTGAAAAGCAAAAGGATATGTTTCATGGCGGCGAACGCGCTTTATTATACGTTGCCGCACAGGAATTCATCCAAAACTTTGGTCTTGATGGCAAAGCTTGTCTTTTACGAGCGATTTGTGAAGTGCAAGCGCATCCGATGAATAATTTTGGTTTGTTTGGGGAAATGTTGAAGTTATTTCTAACGTAAGATACAAATTTATATTAATAAAAACTTTATAACCTCAAATGTGTACTATATGTATTTTTAGTGCAAGTAAATCACCATATTCTGTTCTAATGAAGGAGTATGTTGATGCAGAAGAAGCAGGAAATGGAAAATCAGGCCCAGCTGAGTGTTGGCCGTATTTAAAAGATTGTCCAAAGAGTTTATTTGTGCAGAATCACAATAAATATAGGTTAGTTCATGTTAAACACCAAATCAAACAATTTCAAGCAAATAATTTTAATATTTGACTCATTTCCTCAGCAAAAACCAAGAAATGGATGATACAGAAGTCCAAGATGGCGATGAGGTCGCCATTTTAAACAATGAAGTTACCTACGATCCGAATCACGTCAGCGAATAATAACATTATGGATTAGTATTAATATACACACGCTGATTTTAGTCATAACCTTAAATTTTATTTGTGTAATTATAATTTTAAGCCGTGCAAAGATAGTCGTATTGTTTATTTATTGAGAATGGCTGCACACGTGTTTGGAAAGTCATTTTATGTGTTATATTTATTTCGAAAATTAAAACATATCCAGTCTTAATTATTCACACTCAATAACAAACGTGCAACATATTTATAACCTACTAAATTATAATTTTACTTTCTTGTTTCTTGAACGTAGAATTTGTCGATTCCATCAATACGGTTCGAAATTTTATTAAAAAAAAATGAGAATGGCTAATAATGCACTAAAGCGCCATCTAGGATGAAGTTATTAACTATTACTATGATTGAATCTCTATACAAACTTTCATCCCATATTTAACACCTTTTAAATCACAATTTTCAATATTTTAATAGTTTTTCTTTTATTCGGAGCGAAGATGAATCCAAAAAATCATAGATCATCAAAATCTGTCCAGCAGTTCTTGAGTTATAAACACTGTAACTAACAATTTTTAAAATTCATCAGGTTTCAAGACCAAAATCTGCCAATTGAATTAAAACAATAACATAAGACGTTATGGAACCCAACAAACCAAATAACAACGCGTTATCAACACAGAAAAATCCCGCAGCACTAAAACCTGGCCATGGTACCGTCGCCAATGGTTCCAAATCACGCCGCCATTGTTTAATTTCCTCCTCTGTTAATTCCCTTCTGTATTCTTGTGGATCATTAATTATTTTTAGCGTTTCAATATGCGCTAACTGAACATAAGCCAATAATGAAGTATATTTCGCTTCCACAGCAACTTCATTACAAGTCGGTGTAAATGGAATACACATAATCTAAAACCACATAAATTATTATTAAAAACTAAATTTGAGGTTATATATCCACTACTGCTTACAATATGAACTAATATATGCAACCCGTGATTCATCCATGAATGTACATCCATGTGTACTTTGACATGCATTTCCATCACCATAACATTCACAGAAAATAACATACTCGTTACAAAATTTGCGGCGATTATCAAAAATGACCAACCAAAAATACGATTGAAAAGAATCACGTTTTCATGCAGTTTCATATACGCCCAGAATATCATGCTGACATTTTGTATTTTATATCTATTATCATTATCATTATGATAATTTGTACATAATTTTAACTGTTGGTTTAGATACTTGTACCTCACAGCGAATTGTAATGCAATATGGCGGATTAATAGACAGCCCGCCATGTTGACAAACAGAAGCGGTTTTCTAACGATTATCGACACGTCAATCGAACCAGTATTACGCAGATTAATCCATAGGTTATAAATTGCTTGTCCAGCAATTAACAAATATGATAAAATGATTTCCAAGTACATTTTTATAACTTGTGTTGATTTGAGGTTAGGTGAATCCATTTTGGAATCAATCAGGTTAAAATTATGAAACATTGATTGAAAATGTCGTGGGTAAAAGACACCACCACAAAAATCAATGTCAAACAACTGAGGAATGATATAGTTGCCGAAACTAAACTGGTTACTGTGTGTGTAGGATGATTTATCCTTCGATATTCTTCGAATTTTTTAGATATTCCGATTATATACAATACAATAATCGCGATTGCAATTATAAAGTTGTAGAAAATTGATGGATTAAGGCTGTTTAACTGAAAATTATACCTGGGAGCCACGCCCATAATGGTGGACAGGAAATACGTCGGCTGCAGGAAGTCAATGGTGAATTTTTTAGTGATTTTTGTTTTGGAACTGTCTAAATGAGAGCGTAACTTGATAGAAGTCATTTTTAAATTTACGAATTTACTTTCACTTATTTTGTACAGTTTGTGGTGTTATGTTATAACAAATGAAATAATAATCTATAAAAATTATTAATATTTTATTTCAATTAGGGTAAAACCAGAACATTGACATTATAATATAATAATAATATCTATGTTTATGTTGCGTGCGTGTTTCCATTTGAAGTTACATGCTCATGTCCTTGAGTTGTATCAGGACAATTAGATATGAAGTTACTGAACCAAAAAGCGTAAACAACATTGTGTGATCAACATCGAAAAATCCTGCAGCTGAGAATCCTGGCCAAGGAATATTGGCTAAAAGCTCTAAATATTTACAAGACTCGGCGAAATGTTTGTTTTGTTGATGTTTTCGTGTTAGTAGTGAGTAGGCTAACAATGAGGTTAGTTTTGCTTCATCGGCGGCGCCATTGTAGGAAGACGCAAATGGTATACACAACATCTGTCAAAATAAATTAAGTATAGGTTATGTATTATGTATTTAACCTTAAAACTACATTTTAATCTATTTTAAGGTTATAACTTTGCTTACCAACGTGGTGAGTAGATATGAAATGAACATAACCCAAAAATCAATGTAAATCTCGTCCCAAGTATGAAAATTCAATACGACAATCATCAAGTTAATGACGTGAAGAATACAGAGCACGAATGTTCCACACAGGAATAAAATCTGCCAACCGAAGATTCGGTTAAACTCGTGGACTGTATTCACTAATGTCAAAAACATTTCGTAGATATCTGATGATTCCAGATTAGTTTCTTCTCTCTGCGATTGACTTTTAACTTTTATTCCATTAATACCTTTTGAAAACATCAATTTTTTCATTAAAAGTTGGTTAATTTCACCAAAACGTTGTTGGAATTGAATCCCAAACGAATTAATTTGCAGTCCTTGGATAACACTGTATGCAATAAACAATTTTCTGCATGTGGCGTGAATATGGAACGTATTTCTTTGATATTCTTCGAAAATCACGTAGAAAACTGTTAACAGAATTCCAAAAATCACTTCAATCGTAAATTTCCATCCGGGAATTAAAACTTTCTCGAATTTATGATCCATGCTGGTGATTTCCGTGAGTAAATTTAAGATGGCGCCTCCATTTGATATGCGTACACGTAGATAAGTTACCATTATTGAAATAAACATTAAAATAAATGATAAATGCGTCAGGACAACGTGTGTTGCTAATTGTGAGCCGTAATCGTTGCCATCAGTGCCTTGAGATAAAGAATATGCAAATAATATTGTGGTTAGACTTGCAATAAAATATGTGTAGTATTTTGACGCAGAAATAAAAGTTTTTGGAGGTAACAGACCCAAAATTACGTTGATTTGATATAACCATGAAGCTGTACGCTCGGAAAAATGTTTCCTAGCTTGCATTTTTATTAAATGTGATGAATAACATCATGTTTAGTATATTATAATCTAAAAATTAAGATAATTTGTTTTTTTTAATGGTAATTTAGTTGAAAATTGATCGTAAACGTAAAAAAGAGAGTCAATGACTAATTCTCTTTTGATTTAGTTTTCATCAAAAAAAGCCTGTAAATTATCAGGCTTTTTCATTACCGCGGGGTAATTGCATGAACGGTAAATAAAAACACGTATGTACAACGTCCCCAAGAGAATTGTCACACTGGGGTGGAACAAATCGTCATTATCTATCACCAACAGTTGACATTAACAAACTTTTTTAGTTTACAAGTAGATTTCATGCCATAAATCATTAGTTTTATGACAGATGCTAAATTTTAACACTTTCATTTTGATTTATATGGTAAAAAGCACGGGACGCCATTTTGGTTCAATCTATAACTACTAACCCTTTGCGCATGAGTAAATAGCAGTTATAAATGTTTTATTGTTAGAGACCGACCGAAATTTCGGTTTCGGTTTCGGTTTCGGCCAGTTTCGGCCAAGAATTCGAGTTTCGACTTCAGTTTCGGTTTCGGCCAAAATGGCCGAAACTTTCAGCCCCACCGAAACTCACTTTTCGTTAATTGTCGTGCGTCGCTCGGCTAACTTCGCGGCTAATGGCGGTCGTTACTTGCCATCTTACTTCGCTCATACATTAAGTATCAAGTGACTAAACGAGGACTTTACTCCCGAAATGGATTATGTATCTAAAAACGTGGAAAAACTGGCGATATGTAGGTAAAAGTAGAAAAATATGTTTATGTAAATTAGTTTCGGTTTCGGTTTCGGTTTCGGCCGAAACTGATTGCAAGGCCGAAATTTCGGTTTCGGTTTCGGTTTCGGCTAAAATTCACTTTCGGTCGGACTCTATTTATTGTGTGAAATTATTCGAGTTCATACTCTACACAATCAATGACAATGTGAAAGACAATCAGAGGTCAAAATTGTTTTGTTTGTTTTATCTCTAAACGTCCTCCGATTCTTTCATTTGCTTGACTCCATCTTTGTTTGCTTAATAATACATGCGCAGTTCTTTCGTTATTTCCTATCTTAAATTATCTTTGGTTAAAATATGTTGAGTTAAGTTTTGTTTAAAGTATTTCGTTATTATTACATTTCATTTGCATGTAATTTGAATAGAAAACAGTTTGTTTAGTGCGATTATCATTTGTTACACGTTGTTACGCATCAAATTTTATTTAAAACATCACCGTTCGGACACTTTTCTCTCGATCTGTATCATTTTAACAGTTTTTGCAACTGTTAACACTCTTTCATATAAACATGATACTATAAATAAATCAAATCACACAGTGTTATAACAGGCTTCTTCAGAACCTATAAATTCGATTGTACCGGTCATATATTTGAAAGTTCAAAATATTCGCGATTTAAAGAGAAATTTCGGTGATAAAAACATTGTTAAACGGTATAAATTGGTGATAAGACTTGAATCTCACGATGTCGGACTCAGAGGACGCGTCTGGTGGTACTTTTTCAGAAGGTAATTATTTAATTTACTAATTTAATCATTTTATAACCTCAAAATTACCAATAAAAATTGTTTTTTTTAAAATTTGTGTGTAATACTGCGTTGATTTTGCAGGAAATGATATGGACATTGCAATAAGAAATATATATGAGGCATGTGATGACTATAGCACAGGAAGAGTCCTTGTATCAAAGCTTGTCGAGTACATCAAGCCATATATGGAAGCGAATGTGTAAGTCTATTCTTAAAATAATGAGACAGTAGAGAAGTAATCATTGCTGTTACTTTAGGTCAGACCTTCAGAAACTAAAAGAGTCCTTAGATCCAGATGACATTGATCCTGAAATTGATTGTGACACATTCTATGATGGAATGACAAGATGGGCAAAGAAATTTAATCAAGAAGAGAGTTTTCACAATATTTCACCAAGGTACAGAATAGAATATTTTAATACTTATTGATTTAACTTGTATTTTTAATTTGTAGGTATTTAGATGCTCCACCACTAGTTGAGAGCACACCACGTAAAAGTTTTGGCAATAGACAATTAAGAGTGTATGCTGAAGCTGCTGCACTAAATATGTCTGTGGTGGAGAAAACAAGTTTCATGGGAACAACAGATATGAGTGAGAGTGGTATGGAAAAGAGTGCTCTTGAAGAACAAATCAAACAATTGGCTTATCAGAGTAAAAAGTTCAATGATGAGTTATTGTTGGCTAGATCTCAATTGTCAAGTCAAGAGGAGCAGAATTTAGTTCTTCAGAATGAAATAGAGAAATTGACAAAAGATTTAATGCAGTAAGTACTTATTATTTATTATTGTTTGGTGTTAAAAAATGTTTTTCAAGTGAGCGCGAAATCAACGAGAACCTCTTGAAAGAAAGCAAAACCTTTGAAGAAATGCGCGATAATTCATTTAACAATCAAAAAATAATTGATAAACTCAATAAGAACTTGCAACAACTCGAAAAGGAGAACCAACTGCTACAAACACGAAATGGTAACTTGGATCATGAGGTAAGCCAAATTTCAATGTTTCTTTATTTGAGTTTTGTTGTTTTTAACAAATTTTCTCCATCAGAGACAAAAAACGGAAGAAAAAATCGTTAGCATCCATGAGAAACTATCAAAATCTCGTAAGGAAGCCGTCGAACTACGCGCAGAAATCAAATGAAAGAAGAGCAGCTTTCTGCAGCTGAAGAAATCAAGACTGATTTACTCCGTAAGATTGAAGACCTCAAAGACATAAACAACAACATGCAAGAAGCAAACAACTGCCTCACAGTAGAAAAGGACAAAATCAGTAAGTTGTTACAGGAACATCTTAGACTGCAGTCGCAAGCCATGTTAAACAACTCCGCACAGAAACAACCAAGTGAGTACAAATCTAAAACCACAAAATCAACGCATACACAAACACACACTACACGTATCAAGCACGTCACGCCATCTACACAAAAGCAAATTGAACAATATTCTGATATTTCAAAATTCTTTGGACCAAGCATGCCGTCTCCACGTAAAACAAACACACCAGACACACATACTGCTTCTAAATCAATGAAATCAAACACTCAGGTATCCTGGAATGATGACTCACCTATCCCCTTTGCATCCCCCATTAAAACAACACGGTTTCAATTTTATAACATTGATTCACCTATTGCTAAGCGTTGCACTTCGTTGCAATCAATACCTGGTGAGGTGCATGATAACAAACAGCTTCATAATGCACAAAGCGTAATCAATAGTAAACAAATAACAACAAAACAATCACCACACGTAAATAGAGCTTTAGTTAGAGAATGTAGTAACTCCCCTGCGACTCCCACAGACTTTGCCTCCCCGCCGGGTTTGTTCGTCGTTGAACGCTCGGAAACCCGCAAGCCTTCTGCAGATTTAGATAATTCTTTTGATGAGTGCTGTAACGATGAAGATATGATGCCAACTGCGCCTGAATATTTAACACAAGCAAGTTTAAAGGAGGAATTACAGCTAAGTTCACCTACAAGTTCTTCAATTGACTCGGAAATGTCTAGTTCGAATTGTTTCGGTAATTCTGAGGTGAAAAAGAGGTTGGATGACTTGTATGATCAGATAGATTGGCTTAAGATTGAAAATACTTCATTGAAACAATCGAAGGAAGATGTTGTAGAGTTGATACAAACAAAACTACATTTAGAGAGTGTTAATAAAGAGAGGGATCAAACAATTGTGGATCTTAACAAGACATTAAAGGTTGCTAAGAATAATGAAGAGGAGTTAACACATCAATGCGCAGATTTAAAGGAAAAGTTGCAAAATTTAGAAGAAATTAAACGCAATTTTGATATTATTACGAAGGAAATTACAGTTTTAAAAGACAATATTCAAGTATTAAAAGATGATAAGGATAAGTTAATCAAAGAAAATTCTGTGAATGAATCTATGATTGAACGGTTAAAGGATAACCTCAAAACTTTAGAAAACGCGAAGAAATGTCTTGAATTAAAAATAAATAATATACAAGCCGAGAAAGATATACTGATTGAAGAGCATAAAATTCATATAGATCAATATTCTACAAAGATTGAACAATATCAAAGTGATATAACCAAACTAGAAAAAAAATTCTACGCTAGTAATGATCAAGTAACCTCACTTTTGGCCACGAACGAAGAGTCTGCAACCACCAACGCAAAGTTATTCCTCCAACATCAAAAACTTGTTGATGTGCATCAAGAACTTCAAGCGGATTATCAATATTATACACAGACTATTAATGCTACTTGTACGAAGGATCTATCCACTCGTCATAAACTCCAATTACTTATAAAGGCCAAAGATAGTTACAGTAAACTTGAAACAAGACTGGAACTGCTTATTCAAGAGAAACAAAAAGAATCTGTTGATTTGAACTCAAAGATTATAGAATTAGAGAAGAAGTGTGCTCAGTTGAATAGGAATACACCCAGAAAGACACCCCATGATCGCGCGCAGCTGAAAATAGAAAAACTACGTGAAAAAGTTGATCATTTGGAAGACACTCTCAAAAAAGAGAAGAGTAAACAGGCGTCTCTACAAGAGGAGCAAGAACAGCTTCAAAAATGTAATGATTCATTGATCAAAGAAAAAATTATCATACTCAAAGAAACTGAAGAAAGCAAAAGAAATCTTGACAAACTACAGAATACATACAGTGAATTATTTGATGTGGTTAAGAATATTTTAAGCGGTAGTCTTAAATTAAGACACAACATGTTAAAATTGTCCAAATTGTGGAAACCACTCTTTGATAAAGTGAGCGCCGTTGGAGGATTAGTAAAATATCTAGGAGAAGATGACAGGAATAACCATTGCAGTTTGAAGGAGATTATTCAGGCACAGAATGACATACAGACAATCACATTGATTTTGGATGCGTTGGGAACTTATAATCTTCACGGTTTTATCAACGGTGGAAAACCAGTTGAGGAGCAGAATGTTTTAAAGAATTTCGATTTTCTATCAAGACCCATGTCTCCGGATAGTCCTAACCTTGGTAGTATAGATGTGGTTGCTTCGATTGGTGCAGGGGATAGTCTTGTTAATTGTGTTGGTGTTTTGGAGGACTCAGAAGGGTGTGAAGCTGATGTTGATATTGGCCCAGGGTCAGAGGTAGGTGTATTTTATTAATTGTCATTCGCTGCTTTTGCTTTGGTATTTGCGGGTTTGAGGTGCATGAGGTTTTGGTTTGTAGGAGGATGACTTCACAGACCGACTTAAAGATTTACATAAGATGTATTCATCTGATCATTTGGAGTTTTTGATGACTAATGTCGGGTAAGGCTTATGCTAGGTTTATTTTTAATAAAAATTTCTCTTTTATATTAAGTTTCAATAAAATTTGAGATATTTTTTATTATAGATTGGAAAAGTCGTGCGAAAATCTCGATTTGCAAGCGTTCGTGGACGATTTTGCCCTAACTTTCATGGTAGACTGCACCGGGTACAAGAATCGCCTCCTAGGACAATTCGAGGTGCTTCAGGAGACGGTGACGCGGCTTGTGGAACATCTACAGACATTTACTACGCTCGGGAGCGATTTAAAACGACGCAATCTATCTGTAATACATGTTTATCATATTCTAAGTTTAAAAATTGCGTTATATTGTGGTTATGTTTAAATGTGTATAGATGGTTGCCTTGGTAAGATGCCTCTTCGAGCTCACCAAGTCGGCCGAGCAGTACGGTGCAATCCAGCAGGAGATTCAATCAAGTCAGAATATAAACTGTCTGATTACCCACATCACGAACCTGCGGGAACTAAAAGACAATCGTAAAATGGCCGCGGCTAGACTACGCGGAGAAACAGTTTATGTTGACAATCTGCATGGCTCGCCATCAGGTGACAATCAGTTGTGTGAAGGCCCGCAGAATCACCTCATGTAACTAATATTTTAAATGAATTAGGTGGATAATTAATTTGTACTAATTGTTTTATTCTTTTAAGGTCAATGTTAAATGCAATGAGGCCGGCGAATGTCGTTCGACTGGTTGGTGCCGTGGCACTAGCATTCCTTGTTTACTATTTCTCACAACGCTTTGTTTCTATGCTAGCTGCATCCGATTTACACGGCGGTGGTGGTGGGCGCCGAGATGCCGTTTGCTGGTCGTCTTGGCTGGATCTTTTGGCCTCTTGTTTTGGACGGCTGCGCGAGGATGGACCCCCGCCCGTCTAGGTGGCAATATCATATGGTCCACCGACGCGAAAATACAAGCGCCATGTAAAACAAAGCCAAAACTTTCTTGTTCGTTTGTTTCAGACGTTTCATATTACTGCGAAAGTCGAAGAATTGAACAAATTGTGATCTTTTCAAGTCAAGACAATACGTTAATTAGTTAATATAACTCAGATTCTAAATTTATTTTGCTATGATACAAAGTTGAAACAAAATATACATATTATTGAAATTATCCGAGTCCTGCAACTGGTACATTTAGAGAATGCACGGGGACCAAACCGCCTGTCGGGAGACCATTACTATTTCCCACAACTGGTAAGTTAGGTAAGGTTATGTTTTCAGCAACATTGGCAGATTGAATTGTATTAAGCACTGTGCCTGTTTGTCCGACCACGGATCCAACAATGGCGTCGTCGGCAACAGACATTAAGGTATTACTAACTTGACCTAAAGCAAGTCCCTCAGCGGTGCCTCCAACAGATGATATCGCACCACCAAGTTGTTCAGACATAGCATTATCCAAGACACCTCCTGTAAATTGACCAGCAGTGTTTCCTAGCGTTTCCGTTGGACCTTTGACCGCACCAGTAATAGTATCACCAACACCCTTGACAGCTTCGTTATCTGTGATGGAACTAGCAGCATTACTAACAACATCCACACCTTGTGCAGGAAGAGCCTGAACAGAATGTAGAGTATTCCCAACGTCGTCCGTTAACTGCAATGTGTTATCACTCAAAAGAACACTTTGCAGTGCAGAATCTATAATTTTATCAGAAGAGTCTTTAGCTCCTTTTACTAGAGGTGAGTCTTCAACATTGCTTTGTGCGTTCCCAATTACATTTTCGCCTGCATCCGAAATACTTTGAACTACCGCGTTGTGTAATAACGGCTGTTCAATGGCTTGCTGCATGGAGGAAATCCCAGAAGTGAATATAATCCTGTCAGCAGTACCAGCAACCACGTTCTGATACTCCAATCTCCTCAACAGATCAAATCTCACACTATTATTCGCAGGATAGATGAAATCATGCATAGAAAGCCCGAATAAGATCAATTGATTATTGGTGTTCTTACAAATCAACGGGGTACCATCAAGAATATCTTCAGAGATCCCAGAAACATAGGCAACCCACGCATATGGAGCTTCTAACAAAATCGGAGTGCTATGGATTGACACCTGATTATTTTCAGAGGTGTAATACGTGCAATATTTCGAAGTAATCTTTGAACTTGTATTGGCGAAAGGTATTATTGCAGGTAATCCATTAGATGTTTCTAAAATAGTGTAATTTTGATAGGACGTAGAATTATTTATTTTAAACGTAGCAGCTTCTGATGTGACCGCGACAAGGTCACAATAATTCTGTAGTTTATCCTGTAGATCAAAAGCCATTGTGTGTAGCTTAGAAACAATCTGGTTGGACTTTATAATTGTACCAAAAGTAATCTGTTTGTCTAATTTGTCAAGTATACCTTCAGTTACCTTCAAACCAAGGTAAAAGTCTTCTGGTAACTGCTTTAGAGCATTTACCAAGTTTTGTGGTTCAATACCACAAGTATTGATGAATTCTATGAAATCATCAGTTTGGTAAATCTCAACAAATTTCTGCACAGCTGTCATATTAACTAATCCGTTGAATAGATAAATTCTCTCTGTGATTGTTTTCACTGTGAAATAACTCAAAGCATTCGCCATTGTTTCATCAGTAAAAGTTCCTTGTGTTTGGACAAGATTGAACAGCTCTTCGAATTGTTTGAATACCTGATAAGTGGTGATTTGGTTTGCGTTGATCAGGAGACTCTCCCACATGTGTCCATACGATGCTCCTCCCACGTGGAAAACAATGTAGTTCAATAAATGTGGTAAAGAGAAACCAAACCGTAAAAATGTCTGGTAATCTATCGGGTACTTATTGAAGAGATTCTTGAAGCATGTGATGTTCAGATCCAATGCTGCGAAGGCTGAATCTAGTGTAGAATTATCAATGGTGGAGAATTTTTCGAACATGGACAAGATCCCGTCACTTTCGGTGTTATTGAAGATAATTTGAAGGTCTGGGTTGTTTCCTTGTATATAATCGACGACAAGTCGCAGGAGGCCATCACTGTCATGTACTTGTGAGTGAAGAGTTACGATTGGTTTCAGAAGTGCGTCTGTTGTTTGACCAGTCACTGATATGAAGATCTGGAAGACCGGTAGTAGTACAAGAAGTAGAAGATTCATGTTTACGAAGGAATCTGTATGATGAGGAGTGTTTGGATTGGTGAGTTTTATATTTTCTTTTGTGTTTGTTTTGCTCAAGATATAAAATATTTGATTAACAAAAGTTAATTAAAAAATTTCATTAAAAACTGCTTGTTTATTTGTTACTGAATTACTTAATACTGAAAATAGGAAAATATGATTATGGATTGCTTAAAATTCATTTGTTTTTAGATTATAACTTTGGAAATTATAACAAAAATTCATATCAGAGAATAGTTAAGCTGACATTTTACTTAAGGCATTAAAAATTACAAGTTTAATGTATTAAACAAGATAAATAGATTTATATTTTGCTCAGTAACAAGTATGGTATACTTTGAAGCCAAAATTGTTTGATGTTTTTGCAGATAATTATCTCATTCATCTTACAAACTTTATTTTACTTAATTAAGTTAACATTTTGTCGTTTTTCAGAGTACAATATATTTTTAACCTAAAATTCAGCAAAATTGGTTAAGTTATATAAACATGAAGATGCAGCTGATGTTGCAAATATTGGCAACCCTAATTACACTAATCACAACAATTTTAGTTCTAGTAATTCAAATCATCAAGAATTATTACAAAATATTGTGTTTTCTCTGAAGGAATAAAGGAATTTAAAACTTGATTACACTACAACTGACATAATCACTATTTTAATGAAGCATTAGCAAAATTTAGATTACATATTTCAACATTTGAAGAATCATTCAATTTTTGGCAAATTTATTGCTAATTTTGATAGTTTGATGAGGTGGAATTAATTTTACAATAAGCAGAAAATAATACTTTTAGTCAAATGATATTAAACCAAAGTAAAATTATAATTTTTCTGGGCTAAATTTAAGTAAATGTAGCCATTTTACGTAATCAAAAAACAAGATAAGTAAAATACGAGCTTAAAAAGACGTCCATTGACGTCTGATGTAAATCTTGTAAGCAATTCAAATACAATTATCTCGAATAACAAAATATATAAAGAAATGTTACAAAAATAGCTACATTTCTTCCATAGAAAAAAACAAAAGTCGCCATGAAAATACTGTGCCTACTTTTAGTGATAATCGGCTACTCCAACGCCTTAAAAACCGAGCAAATGCTCAATGGCCTCTTGGTTCTACGCCCCGAATTAAAACCCACTGTGGACGCAGCAATAGACTTCTACGTGGATTATCTATACGGAGCATATCCATTCTTCGACTTGTATTTCAAACCACCCAACGAGACCATCACCAACATAGAGAAGATCTTTGACTACATCCAATATGATGCGGAAACTTTCGACGCTGCTTTCGCGGCTTTGAATTTGAACTACACCAATATAGCTAACTATACCTATGAGTACACACCAACATATTCCTTCATCGTGGATAGTGGGCATTTAGTCAAGGAGTTGCTGTCTGATGTAAACAACAGACTAAATAATTACACTCAATATGTTTTGTTGGTAAGTCAATGTGGGTTACCACCTGAGATTTCCTACACACCGTGGGTGTTGACGGATGAACAAGTGTTTGATTTTCTTCCCAACAATGGAACATACAATGAATCAACTTTTTACAACATATTAGATGCTTTGAATTTTACTGGATTATCTGACGCTATGCAACTGTTCTCACTTAATGACACCATAATTGCGACTTTTGTGAAAGATTACACCAATAACTTCATGGAACTGCTTGAAACTTTGGATATTGATGCAGCTACGTTGAAAACAGCGTTGAAAATACTTGCACCTAAGGATTTCTTGTTTGAAAACACAATAGTTGGTAGTTTACAAGAATTCTTTGAAAGTTTTACAGCGTTTGGATCATTTTTACAGCCGTACAAAGTCCTCACGCATAATTCTTCTCAATTTTTGGATGTTTATCGAAACCTTCAAGAATATGCTGACCTATGGGGTACATTTCCTCCTACAGGGAATAAATACCATATGATTATCAATGAAACACAACGTACTTGGATGAATGAACTGAACGTTTTGAATTCTGAAAGTGTTGGGGCTTATCTCTATCAAATTGACAAGACCTACAATGCTAATTCATACGCACAGTGTGATTATCCCTATTTCCTTCCTGGAACTAGTTGGGAGATTGGATTTAATACGCTGTCGGCTTCGTATGATGATTCGGATGCTACTTTGAATATTCCTAAGTCTGGAGCGACTGATATAAGAGATGGTACGCCACTGATTTGTAGAGATGCATTGTATGGAATTGGGTCCATTTTTAGATCTGATGATATTTATTGGGTGTTTGATGCGGTGGCAATGTTTGTGAAGGTTATTGATTTTATGCAGCCGTTGATGGATGTTGCTGTTGAGACCATTAGTTTGGTGGTGAGCACAATTTCATCAGCACAAGGTGCTACTACATCTTAAACTCTTGCTGCAAGTGGTCTGAGTTGTTGATTTGTATGAAAATATAAAGTGATATTCAACTGATATTAACTTTCCTTTTATTATCTTGATTCTGGGGGAGAGGGGGTGCTTGTGTCACTAAGTGCACACTTCGCCTTGGCGGCGCGCCTACCCCCACCACTTTTTGCGGGTCGGCCGCAGGTATAAAAGAAGAGCGCTCATTGCTCCGCGCGCTCAGTCGTGCCTTAGTCGTCCTGCAGTTCAGTCGCAAGTCTCCATGTTCCTCTCTCCGCTCTCTTTAACGAAGCTGACAAGTGTTACTTCAATCTAATAAGCCTATTGAAACTTTTACAAGTGAATTTTGTCAAGTGGAATTAACTAATCTAAAGATACTTGAATAATATACGTGTTTATGGTTTCTATAAATGTTACAGCTTATTTTAAGATAAGTTATTCTTATATAAAATAGGGGTTTAAAGTAAATCAGAACATACACTTTGATCTTTAAACATTGTGATCATTATACAAAAAGCGTCGAGACCATTTTGATATGACTCTTTGTCTTGTAGGCTTTGCATTTCAATCTTGCCTAACCCCACAGATCTTCAGATCTTCCAAATTTATAAATTAATGATGAGACAAAGATTAATGCATTTTGTAGGAACAGAGCAACTCCAGGCCATTGTCCCATGTGTTCAGCTAAAATAAATACATGTTATTGTATTTATAGTGTATTAAAAGTACTGCTACTTACAATTTGCCACAAAATCAGCAAAAAGAATCCAACAGGCAGCAATTACTGATGCAAAACCCACTACAAACCCAATGAAGAGCCAAATTCTTGATCCTCTGGGTCCCATACAACCTCCATCAAACATATCACCTCTAATCTGTAATATTTACCAATATATAATCTAATTTGTAAGGATAGTATTTGTATTTGAGTATTACCTGTGCATTTGATACTGAATTGACCATTATTAGTGATATTGTTCCAAACACTCCACACATGTGATATCCAGCTAATACACTGCCTGTGTGGACACTGGCTGCATCAATAATGATCCACCAGCCAACAAAGAACTGTAAAACAATTCAAAACATTATAAATTAGTAACCTACTAAAGATCTACAAAATTAAATTTATTGATTGTGTTTTGTTTTGGTTGATACTCTGACTCAGAACAGTTGACTCACCAGAAATCCCGATATAATCGAAGCGATTGCATTGCGTTTGTCTCCTCCGTCGAACCAAATACATGGTGGCAATCTTTCGCCAATATTTTCCAAGATCGTCGACATTACTTACAGAAATTAATTTGTTTTCTAGATTTCTGAAGTCGTCGATGATCACAATAGCGACAGTACAGCAGACGTCTGACTATGGCGACATCCACGGTCACATTGTGTACTTTAATACTAATAAAACTTTAAAAAACGTTAACATAATGAAGAAATACGAGTTTTCTAAACATTCCTACAATAAATTAAAGCAGTTTTTAGAAGTAGTGGAAAATAATGTGACTGATACGCAAAACTCTATTGAAACTAATAAAATTTTAAAACAAATGTTTCCTGAGGTTAGTAAACAGGTGGTGAAGAAAACAATAACAACTTAACCACAAATACATTAAGATTGTACATAAATTGTCGCGAATTTACAGAATGTGGAACTGCTTAAAGCATTAAAACAACATCGTTGTACACGTAACGACGTTATTGAAATTCAAGATGATTCAGAAGATTCGAATATTCAGAATACATCCTTAACGGAAGCAGACGATGTTGCAAATACTGGCAACCCAACATACACCAAACACAACAATTCTAGTTCTAGTAATTCAAATCATCAAGCATTATTAGAAAATGTTGTGTTTTCTCTGAAGGAAATGCTTGATTTAAAAGTTGATAACACTACAACTGACATGATTACAATTTTAACGCAGCATGAGCAAAATTTAGATTATATATTTCATCATTTGAAGAATCATTCAAATGTATTTAACCTGGGCAAATCTATTGCTAATTTTAGTAATATATCTTTAATTCAAGGATATTGTGATATTATTTTGCGTTATCATGTAAGTGATACTGAATTGCCAAAAACAATTTTTTATTCTTGCATTTTTACAGATACTAAGTGGAACTGATGGTGTGGAATTGATTTTACAAGATTTTATTGAGAAACATCCGCAAATTTCATGTGATTCTCTTGTTAAATGTCTATTGATGATATCTGATGAAGATAAAGTTACAAGAGAGTTTACGGATGCATTATTATTGCTATCTGATGAGAATAAAATCAATATTCTGAGGTTTTTATTAATTTTTAAATTTTTTATTCTATTTTATAAAATATTTTATTGTTTTAGGAATTTTGTCACCCAGTGTTCTCAACTAAATCTTACAAAATTGAAGATAGTTAATAATTTCTTGCATAACAAAATGGATTTATTGGTAACTAAAAATCTCTTGGATATATTATCAAAAAACGCTGTGACTTTATGTGCTGATAGAAATTACGCACTTTTATTAGAGAATTTAATGCTTAAAAGCAGCTCGAATTTATTCCCACTCAAAGAACACATGAAAAATGTTTTGAATTTAGTTCCAGGTATTTTAAAACTTAAACTATTAAAAAAGCTAAGTACTTTGGAACAAAAAGGATCTGAACATAGTTTTTCACAAACCATGCACTTTTAAACATCAATCAAAATAAAATATTCTATGAAAAATCCAATTTTAAACACTTGTTTATTACTTCGCATAGCCTGCCAAGTTTACAAACATTTCAAATAACAAATAACCTCAAATTACAATCAACACTCGTCAAGACGACAGAACTGTATTTTTATAAGCTAACAATTCAAAAAGAAGAAGTTATTTACTGAAGATGAAACGCAATTCAGTGATTTACACTTGCATTGTCCCAAATTGCACGTCAACTTATAAATTAAACAGTAAAGATCGACATTTCTTCAGACTGCCAAAGAATGAACCCTACAGATCTCAGTGGATTGAAGAACTATCATTGCTTGTGCCCCATAACAGCGTCCGTGTTTGCGACTTACACTTCGAAACCAAGTTTTTCACAAGTACTTTACGACAGAGACTTATTAAATACGCCATACCGACAATTTTACAACCAGATCCAAATCATCCACTTGATTATACTGATGACAATGATTTGAAATCCAGTGACGATTTGGAAACAATGACTAATAATGAACTTGTTTTACAATTAATTGATAGCAATGACAACTTCTTTCAAGGTGATACTAATGAAGCTGTTGAACAGGAGCAGGGTGATAATGTTGAGTATATTGAAGACAGACTGTCTGAGCCTGACATACCGCAAGAAATAGAGATTAATCAAGTTCATGAACATAATAATATTGCATTTGACATGGACATTGGTGAAAGTATTGTGATTATTACTGAATCTGATGAGGAAAGTCAAGATCCTCTAGTGGAAGATAATAATCCAGTTATAATAAATAACCATAGAGAAAGTCATTATATTGATGATGAAAATGTTGTTAATATATGTCAGAAACGCCATAAACGTTTTAAAAACATAAAAAGTGTGGTGAGATGGCAAAAAATCACATGTTAAGAATGTCTAAAGAAATCAATGTTTTGAAATATACTGTAGGTCGCTTAAGGAAAAGTTTACGAAAAATGAAAATGCTTGTTAAGAGGAGAAATAATAAATAATAGTTGCAATAATAATCTAATTGTTTCTTGGTCATAAATGTGATATAGGCAACCAATTCTACGTTGCGCATATTTTACCATGGAATCAGTTTTTATAACCTTAATAGATTAACATCTGTTCTGCAATGTTTCATCACTTTTTCCATTAAAGTGAGCGTATTTTTACCAATTCTAGTTGTTTTTATACGTAAAATATGATCGAATCGTGTCCTAAGAAACGTATGCTGCTAGGAATAACTGCATTAGGAATGTAAGTTCTTTTAATACTATATTTTTTCATCTATAATTATGTGTGATGGCACAGTTTTTGTAGAAAATCATGCACTGGAGAATATTCTTTTGTTTTATTATCTGAATTCATAATATAAGGTTCATACTATTAGTATTTTGCATGTAAAATATGTAATTGCTTGCAATGATGATGTTTATTAAGTGATGAAAAGTAAATACTAACTGAATATTGTTGTAGATTAACAGTGTTAGTGCTAATAGTTGAGTCTCACTGGACAGACAGAACAAATCCATCAAGAAAACGCATTTTCATTGTGGAGCAAAACTCTTCATGCTTTGAGAAAGAACATTTTGAGATTGTCAATGAGTGTGAACCATGCACAGGTAATTTATGCCTCTAAATTAAATCAAGAATAAAATGTAAAATTTCTTATTTTCCTATTGCAGATTTTGAAATTGCCAGTAAAAGCATAGGAGTCTGCATCCACACCCACTACAAAGAAGTCCTCAAATGTGCAGGAGGTGAAACAGTTACCAGAAGTTGTGACAAAACCGCATACATTGAAGAACGAATCTTCTGGCAGTTTGAAGGTTTTATGTTTTTTGGTGCCATCATCAGCACACTCTGTACAATCAGCAGAAAACGCGTGTTAAATCGACGAGTATTGCAACGTATGCAGAGACAACTCGCTAATAGTGTTTAATTTATATGACAAACAACAAATACTTGATTACAAAATGGCGGCTACGCTGTATATCAACACCAACAGCGACAATATTCACGATACACTAGAAGTAGATCTTGAAACTCTTCTAGTATTAAATGTCTATAAAATTTGTGACATTGGTAACATTAAGTTGGAAATAATCCCAAAGAAAGACTTAGAAAAACCTTTATTTAAAACAAAATGCGATAGTAATGTAACAATAGGCGAAGGTAGGCCACACAACACACAATCAGAAATGGTTAATTACGTAAAATTACCAGCACTCGTTCAGGATATCCAGGGCAGTAAGAGTATTGTAGCTGGTATTTGTTCTGTTGCACGACAACTGATAAAATGCTCTCTGGATAACAATGCGTTGTTTTTGTTGGGATTTCGTGAGTCTTGTCTAGCGGCATGTAGTGAATCGTCAATATGGACGAAATTCTGTGAAGTTGACATGGTTTCAACAGTTCGAAACGTCCTTAATGATGTTAATGAAAATAACGCCACAAAACTTTTAATACCAGATGACTTAGTACGGTTTGAATATCACATGCAACAACCTGTACGCATGCATAATGTATACAAAGTCGCGAGAGATACACAAAAAGACAAATCTATTAAAAGTACAGTTCCCATTTCGGAGTTGAACATTCCGCATTGTTACAGTGAAGGACCCGCCATGACACTTGCTGACATTATCTTACTACCATCTATAATTACATTAATGTCCAGCAAATACTCTGAAGAAATATTTATGAAATACTTACCTTTGACTTATCAATGGATACAAAAGATGAAAGATTTTGATGGTTACCAAAAACTGGTTGAATTTAATTTAAACATTGATGAAGCAATTGTGAACTATGATGAGTGTTTAATTAATCAAGAAATTAAAAAGGAAAGTTTGTATACTTCAGATCCAAATAGATACAAACCTACAAATAGAATCTACACGAAACAAAATGATATTGAAAGCGCGTTAAATATAATACAATCATCTGCCATCTCAATAATAGAAAACTCTGATGAACCGTTCGGTACCGAGGTTGAATTTAACTGGGAGGATATTCCAATGATGCTTCGACCTGAAGGAGGTGCCCTGCCTAAGAAACGTTCGAAAAGGAAAGAAGAACAACTTGAAAACTTGGCGAGAGCTGTTGTTAAACTTGCAAAAATTGGTAAAACTAATGGAAACATCAAAATAGTTGATTTTTGTTCAGGTTCTGGTCACTTAGGTCTACTTCTAGCACATCTTCTCCCTGATTGTACGATAATCTTAGTTGAAAACAAAGAAAAGAGTCTGGAACGCGCCCTGGATCGCATAAAATCACTAAATTTATCTAATGTCATAGTAGTTCAATCAAACTTGGACTACTTTCAAGGTTCATTTGATATAGGAGTATCTTTGCATGCCTGTGGGGTTGCTACTGATCTGGTTATGCAGAGCTGCATTGACAATCGCGCCCATTTTGTGTGTTGTCCATGTTGTTATGGTGGGATTCATGATTGTTACCATCTCAAATTTCCAAGAAGTGTAGAGTTTCAAGAAGGGGTGCAAGTTGCTGATTATTTAAAGATTGCGCATGCTGCGGATCAAACTCATGATAAAGAAAACGCTAAGACATCTCAGGGTTATCATTGTATGGATATTGTTGATTCGGATAGGTGGTTGTATGCGAAAAGCTGTGGATATGATGTGTTCTTGAGCAAGTTGAAGCCTGAGACTTGCACGCCTAAGAATAACATGTTGGTTGGCATTTGTTTAGATAATTAAGTTGTTTTACTGAAGGAGAAAACAATAAATTTTGTATTATTTAATATTTTCATAACTGAAAAGAAGTTGAAGACTGGAAGTGTGTTGTGGATAGAAGGAGATTTAACGGAAGTTAAATTTCAGTGTAAGTGAAGGTTCAAAGATGGCGCTGAATAGTAAAAACATTTACTTCTAGATGGCATTGTACAAATACTACGTAGTACTACAACAGATGGCACTATGTTAGTTCTAAGCTCGGAAAGTTTATAAAGCAGTTTATGTACTGGACGATGCCCAAGATTCGGTACTCTGGTTTCCCTTCAAAGCGAATAAATCTTTCGCCTTTTACTAAAGATTTCCGTGGAGGGGAACAACTCAAATGAGTCTGTAAACAATTTTTTACAGGCCCAGCAATTTATTGCAGGGCCGTCTAAACGAATCAAATATAAACTTCCCTCAAAAACCTCTTCATTCTTCTTTAACTTCCACTAAAGTCTTCGTTTTTAACTCGTTCTGAGTATCTCCCCATTCGTATACCTCGCTTTGACCCACTCCCCAATAAAACAAAATAAAGCCAGTGTTGATCCGATCATCAACAAATAAAACACTCCTTGCACTTCTTTGAATTCTTTCGCTGTATAATCCCTGTCACTGAACAAATTTCTATTAAAATCCTTCAAATCTTGCAACGATTGATCCCCGGAATACTTCTTCAACATTCCCGAAACAAAACCATACTCCTTCAACATTATCATCCGTGTATCCAAGTCTCGAAAATACGGAGAATTCCTTGCAACCGCAAACACATTGTAAGTAGACTGGATATTATCCAACAACAACTTCAAAGTAACCAAATCAGTATTTGTCAGTTTATAACCAGCGAAGACATAACTATTCAAAAGAAGATCCACCCCAGTGCAAACACCAACCGGAGGCGTAGTTTCCAGAATAATCATCATATCAGCAAACTTCATCTTATCCGGCTCCATTGAAGCTCTCAATAAACCCTGACTGAAGTCCCCAAGTGAGTAACACCTCAGTTGTCTATCAATAGCATCTTGAAACGTATTAATCGGTTTAGTTGTAGGTGGAACATTCTCAATCGACGTAAACCCAGCAGAATATGAAGTATTCAAGAGGAGACTTGCAAAAGACCACATCAATACCACAGCATGAAAGAATTTCGAGTGTGCTTGACTTGTAGTACTGTTAATTGCATAATAAGACAAGGCCATCATCAAATAATTATCAACTGGTCGACGTTCATGCCATTTTGCGATGTATTTTATCACCTGGGAGATGAGTATGATTGCTACAAAGATGATTAGCCATACACCAATGCTCAAACTTTGAAATACGTATGTTTCTTTAGGAAGAAGCATGGCATCCGGTACTAGGAACGTAGAGGTTACACCCATATAAGGATGAAGAAAGTCTAAATCATTCGAGAGGATTCTCGACTGCCAGATTGCTGATAACCCTACATCAGCTTTATGATTTTCTAAATCTGCCAGAATTTCATCCCATGAATACATCGGACGGACCTCAATCTCCACTGGCCAGTCAACTGTAAGCAGGTTGAGAAGTTCAACCTCTAAACCAGACACATGTCCGTTTGGTATTGTTAAATCAGGTGGTTGTACTAATGTGAAATATGGAGCCAACTCAAAACCTAAAACTTTTAAATTTGTTCCAGGTTTGAAGACTATTTGTCTTTTATGTGTACATTGATGTTCTAAAGAGGTATATGTTACTGTTTGGTTCATATCTCTTGTGATTATTTGGATGTTGTTCAAATCGGGCGGCCATTTTGTGATAGACCATGTAAACACACATACATCATGATATTTTGCATCTTTTATGTAAGTATTCCATAGGTTATTAATAGTTTCACTTGGGTTTATGAATATGAATAGTATTCTCACATGAGGTTGAAATTTGTACCATTCTGGAGTGTTTTCACTTGTTTTGGTGACAATTACAATGAAACTAGTAGGTGTACACTTCTTATGTCTTGTAATGTTGTCAAATGTCTCGATAAAGATGGAGAAATTTATAGAACTTATGAATTTGTCGGTTATGTAACTGTCACTTTGATTTTCAATAACTTCTTGAAGATTTTCATCTGTTATTGAAGTATCTGTATTATTCATTGCATCTTGGTCACTTTTTGATGTAATTACTAATAGAACACAAGTGTTATTCGGTAGTAATTCTGTTATTATTCGAGTTATCTCAGGTGTCTCCATTTTGTTTTCTGTTTGTGTTTCTACAAAACATACTACACATAAGAGTACAGTTAATATAAGACGTTTTTTGATGATATTCATTTGTTTCATTGTGGTTTGTTCTCTTAAACACACCAAACACTTCTTTGTGAATGAATTGCTTCACCCTTTGATAGTTTGGTGTTAACATGATTATTTATTAATACCTGGGCACTTGAGATGTAATTACGATTAACAGAGAATGTTTTGTCAACTTAAACACGAAAGTACTCCAAAAATAAACTAATTCTAATTCACTAGACACCTACCAAATTTTTCGAATAATTAAATCAAAATCACTGAGGTTTGTTTTTGTATTCTTTTGATACCGTTGAAAATTGCTGTGACCAAGCACCAGGTCGATCAAGTGGAACAAAATGTCGCTTGATGTTGTCTCTGGATAATGGGCTTATAATTGGTAGCATGTTATCGTTCTGTTTCCATCGACGTTGTACAGTATTATCACCTGATTTTATCAGGTCCAATTTTGTGACATGTTGACTTTTACGACTCACTTTCTTTCTGATTTGTTTTGTAATTCCAATTGTAAGCCCAACTTAGTTATTTATATTTTTTTGTATTGTTTCAGAAAAATTGAATGACATTGATGTGTCAGCGGAAGGGTTGAATTGTTATTTCTGGAATTTGATGTAATAAACAACATATCAAAACAAGTGAGTAGACATAAATCAAAACGACAATAACAAAAATAACAACTTTATATTTTAGACAGTAATCACATCAGTATTATACTCTCGGTATTTTCATAATAAGATGGAGTCATGTGAAGTGGATGAAGAAAATGTTATAAATGAAAATAAATTGCCGGCTATTACATGGGAACCCATTCCGGCGGACATTTTGTTTCCAAGTGAATTGAATCAGCACCTTAAAGATGAGATAAAGGCAAGAAATGCTAATTTAACATTATATTTTGTATTATTGAGTTTTTTATTAAAGTATTTGGTGCAAGAGAACACAATGTTGAAGAAAAACGTTCACGAACTTGAGAAAAATGTAAATAATCAAGATGCACAATTAACTGAGTACAAGCTCAAGGAACAACAACAAAATAACGAACAATTCCACGTTAATGATATTACCAGAGCTAAAATAATAGAACTATCAAAGAAACTTAGAGAAAAATCTGCGGAATTACTGCATTATAAGACAAAATGTTCAAAATTGGATCAGAGCCTAGCTATAATGAAACAGAACGAGGCTGATCGAGCAGAATCAAGTAGAAGTTGTACTTTTAATCCCTTTATAACTTCTGTAATGTAATGATATTAACTTCATAATCATTTTAAGCACAAGTTGAAGAAAAACCTGAAAAACCGCCAGAGTCGGAACTTAAGTTGTTAAACGATAAAATAACTCACTTGAATTCTAAATTATTCGAAGAAAAGAATCATGCTTTATCTTTAAAGAATGAACTTAAATTAGCAGTGAAAATATTACAAGAAGAAGTTGGGGAACCATTTGAAAACATTCAACAATTATCGAGTAATATTCATTGGAAAGGTAGAGCGCAAGTTATTGCAGAGTTACAGTACAAATTACAAGAATCTAAAGAAAAATTGAAGAATTATCAGGATAATTGTAAGGATATTTTAGTATTAAATAAATTTTATTATTAAAAGTATTTTTAGGTAATAAACCAAGCGATGGTACATTGAAAAAGACTTATTTTGAACAGAAAAATATAAAATTAGGCAGGGAAATTGATAGTTTAAAAAGCGAGATTGAAGCTCTCAATAAAAAATTAGATCATAATAGGTTAAAGATGAAACACATTGATGCAGAGTGTAATAACTGGAGATTGAAATATTCACATATGGCTGATCAACTGGATAAAGAACGTAATCTTATAAATACTGTCACAGTAAGTAGTAGTTCTTTTTCTTTTTAAAAAGAAATTATTTTTATATTAATACAAAATTTATTAGGCGACACATTCAAATAGTCAATTAACTCTTTCTGAGAATCTCAAACGTCGTGATCGTCAAGTGGATAAACTACAAAAGGAAAATAAAGAACTAAAATTGCAGCTTAAGTCAAAAGAATGCGATATTGAGAATCTCAATAAACGAATTCAAGAAAAAGAACAAATTGCTCCAAGTAAGGTGTCTCAACCACCAAACACACCTAATAAATCATTAACTCCAAATCAAATGGATGCTGATCGTCTAAGATTATTGGAACTTTCGAAAGTATATTCACAACGTGTACAAAAAGAAAGAGAAGATAAACAGTCGTTGGAGTTATTATATAGAAGTGAACGGCAGAAAGCTGCTAAGTTAGAAGCTAATTTAGCAAGAGCAAAATTACAAGAATCTGAAAAGACTTCGCAGAGTTCTTACGCTTCGCTGATAGCGCGACCTACGTATGAGGAGAACGTCGAATTTAAGTTGGAGATTGCCGAGGAGAAGATAAAGGCGCTGGAGACAAGGTTGCGCATTGAAAAGACTGAACGCGAGCAAGATATGCGCGATTTTAGTGAGATAGTACAAAATTATCGACAGTAGACTACGTAGAATTGAATATGTAAACATTTGAAAGAAATTGTCAAAAGAACAAGTCTACATTTTGTTTTTGTTATGTTTCCAGCATTTTTAAGTTGGCAGCAATGTGTGTCTTCCTATCACATGTTATCCGTTATCCGGCGACTCGTGAGGTAGAATCAGTTAAAACGTGCTGCAGTGATTCGGTTAACATTTCTTAGTGTAGAAATTATAAATTATAAGTGTAAATGATGAAAGTTCATTAACGGTAAGTGTAGCAGTTGATTCTAAACATACTTCAAGTATAACTGTATCATTTTTTACATTCTCACTTAAATCCGAGGTTATATTTGAACAGGCTGTAAATTTGGTTAAATTCGATGCCACCGAATGTAAGCAATGATTAGTATTAACGACTGCAAGCATATTCAGAAAGTTCCAATCAGTAGAACAGGTTAAATTATTAAATTTTTGAAAATTTTCATGAAAATTGTGAAAAGTGCAACTTTAGATTTCTCTCCTTTATGTTTTCAGTATTGTGTAGTTGGCAGCACTGTGCACATCCCAATGGCGTCCTTTCCGTTGACTCGCTTCGCAAAAACATTTCTACCGTTCCGCAGTGTGTCGTTAAGAACTCGGTTATTTAACAATTCTAGCATTCAAAATATTGAAACTACAGTTAAGGTAAGTGCAAGAGTTAATCCTAAGCATGATATCGGCGAAATTCGAGGTTATATGTTCAATCTGTAAAATTGGTTAAACATGGCGAGCACAAAATGTTGCTCTTTCATTTGGTTTTCATATTTTGCTCCACTCTTGTATGATTGCATACAATCACATATACAACCTCTTCACCTGAAATAATTAAAACTTGGTATAAAAATTCGACAGATTAAAACCATCTTGATGTTGGTTTATGTACTAAATTGTAATATAATTGAATTTTCAACGTAATATATAAACTATACATGTACATATTTAAAGCGATTCTCGTATTGTTGCTTTCAACATGTTTCTTACATCCGCTTCGCTTAAAATTAAGAATTTTATCGTAAAATTTACATTCGCTCGCCGCCTGCTGCTTAAATTTCGCGTAATACTTAATAATTTTGACTTATCCATCGTAAACAACAATTGGAAAGATATTTGTAATGCATCCAAAGTGATGTTGAACAATATCGAGCATGATGCACTTTTATAAATTGCATTTATAATTCTTTTAAATCTCAATCTAGAGACGTAAACGCAGTTCTATCAAAAATATTTGTAGTGTATAAAAGTTCTAGTAGTATGTATTTTGGAATATTTTAGACTTAGTAGATTAGAATAATTGCTACATACATTAATAAGGCTTTGTTTTTGTTTGTTTGTGTTTTGATTCGTTAACATTGTGTCGTGTGTTAGCTTATTGCATACATCTTCATTAATTACTAGCGTATTATTGACGTTTCACTTTGTTATAAGGCACTTTCGTAGGGTCATCGTAAATAATTTAAATTTAAACTTTTCTCTTACAAGTTTTGGCAAGTCTTCTCAGCCTACAAATAGTAATATACAAATGACAAAGTAAATGCTTCATGCGGAATGTTTTTTAGTGTGGCGATATTTCAAAAAAGAGGTTTAAATTATTTTCGTAGGCTTTCAGCTAATTTTCAGTTTAAAAAATGCTTGTGTATAAAACGTTTAAATTTTCGCGACTTGTACATAATTAGCCGGTAACATGCCAGTCTTTCCGGTGCGTTCTACTTCACCCGTCATCCAGCCGCTATCAATGCTTTGCACATTGATAATATAATCGCCTTCCAAAAAGCTAACTTCATCGGTATCCTGCGCTTCGTAATCGTAAATAGCCCGGTAGACTTGGCCTGTCGACAGTGAACCGTAATAATTATTCACTGGATCAATATCATGCACAGATCCAATATGCCTTTGCGGTGGGTTATTCACAGCGCCCTGTTCGCTGGAGTAAATCAACGTCTGCGAATTCGAGTTGGCATTTCCTGCCGCTGGATAAGCAGCTTGTTGTTGATGTTGATATGACTCCTGTGGATCATAATCGCTAATCTTTCCAATATGATGTGGATTGCCAATTTGGGGTTGTTGATGATGTTGCTGAGGCTGGTGCATGTGTTGAGGCGGTTGCGTATTCACATTAGCATTATGATACGTCTGCGAATGAGATTGAGACTGTGATTGCGTGGCATATTGCTGCGGGGGCGGGATATTCGGCGGTGGGACATTCGCATTGGTGGCGTCCAGGCTGGAGTAACCATTTTCATTGATGGAGCGTTTGCTTTCCATGTTCGCCTTGCGCTCCAGATCGCCGTGGTAGGCGACATTGCTGATAATCCGTGTGTTCGCCTTGATGCGCTGCATCTCTGGGTCGTCGGCCACCTGCGTAAACTTGCCCTTACTCTTCTCGAAGTCGGCGTGGTAACTGATGTTCGATTGGATTTTTGTGTTCTCAGCGATGCGGCGCAGCTCGGGCGTGACCGCCACTGTCGTCGCTTTCGCCTTTGGGATGTGGCTAAAACAAAAAAGCACACATTTAATTACTTAAATTACTCATGCGTTATTAAACTAGCTTTGTCAGCCGCCTGTGTGTGCCTAGAAAGTTCACTTCACAGCTTCACTCGCCTGGACATAACTTAAGTCAAGTTTAATTGACCAGTCGAGCAATGCATTGAACGCACATTTTTTGAATCAATGACATGTTGCTCTTCTTAAGTGTGTGTCTTGTTTGAGATAACTAACGAGAAACACGTTTCGTATGTGCGCGCAACCAAAGATAATCGCTTAATTCGCTGATTAACGCTGCGATGTACGAGTGAAATTAATATCTACAGTTAGATGGCTTACATTGATTCAAAATATGTCCACTGCGGCATATGTCGCATTGTAGAATTTCGTAGGCATTAAATTGAGGTTATACTTACGCCTCGCAGTATGGCTCCTTGTCCATGCCTTTGTAGTTCCGCATGTTGAGCGTCATCCCGCAGACTTTGCATTTGAAACAGATCTTGTGCCATATCTGCAAGCAGCGGAAACATCACGTGAGTATTCAACTCGGGGACTGAGACATTTCATTCAATAGCCCATTATAAAACACTCCAACAAACAAATTCTAACCAAACATATACTCAGTCAAGCGTAGAGTACATACACACTGCACAAGGCAAACAGAATAAAAAAAGCACACACACATCAGTAAATGTTTGCGTAAAACAATGGGCATCGTTTACAATTTAACAGATGAGAACAGTCCATGATACTCCAATTACAACGCACACAATAAGTTTCATTGTCGACAGACAACAAACATGCAAAACGGAAGAATATTACATATGAGCATACAATACATTCAAATGTATGTGCGTATGTGGAATCTTGAAACGGTTTAATATAGACAACAACAAAGAGAAACAGTTGCAACTTGCAACAAACTTAAAGCGGTCGAGAGTGGATCGAAATTGGTGTTAAATTCTTGTGCGTTGAGATTCTCAAGATGCAATATCATAAAATCAAGTAAACCATATGGTTTACACATATATTTACGCATAATCCGCGTTTATTCATTACTAGATGGCCAAATAATCTTCGTATTCAATCATTAATAAAAGTCGTCTTAAATGATTTTGAATTTTTGAAAATGATTCACCTACGTAAAGAAAAACTCCTGTTCTAGAATAATTTAAACGATTCACACGATAAGACCCTACTTCACCTATTTTGATAACCTACATACATTATTTTAATTCGGCGCCGTTTTAAAAGCCGATTGGCTTAATTCCGAAGGAAAATCGCTGTAAACACACAACGAAAATACCAACTTGTATGTTAAATCTAAATAAAAAAATTCTCGTGAAGCATACAGCGGTAATCATGCATATAATGAAATACACTTGAAACTGCCTTATATAAAAAAGGTGACTCACAGGAAAAAAGTGTGACAAATTTTATAGAAAATTGCATAATTTACAATTTTTATTCGACCTATCTCCTGATAAAACTAGACATTCGCCTGATATATGTAAAAAACAAAACATTTCTTGCACATTTGACCATTTACCGATAAAGAATCAACGTTTGAGCTTTTACAAGAAATGCTCCCAATATATTCGCAATATTTCTTCTCAATTTTTGTTTCAATTATTTGAAAATATAGATATTCTACTATTTGAATTAAAAATAATATAAATTGATATCATCATTTAACTTTGGTTAATATAAACAGAGTTATTATTCATTCCTAAAATATAATACCAGGTATTCATATATTCGTATCATTGTAACAATATTTGATTTCGAAAAAGAAATCACCGGAACAAACCCAATAAATAAGTGAATCACAAATTATCCAAACACTCTTAATTGATGACGCTAATTTAATGCATGTGGTTAACGTATTGCACATTATGTTAGAAATGACATCATTCTAATCCGTCGGAATAACCACATTGCTCGCAATTTATTAATCTATTAATTTTACCGCAGCACAAGCACTGTTGGCTAATTTAGCAGTGAAATCTAAACAAATATTTGTATTGTTGTGCTGTGCACTCGTGCGAATTGTAATGATTAATAAATTACGGCGAATAATTACATATTTAAGCTAATTATGTTTAATAACATAATACGCTTTTAAAAATGATGTGTTGACTAGTGCGTAATATTCCGTGAAACTTGATATATTAATAAACAATTCGTTTATGCAATCTCACCGAGTGGAGTAGATGTGTTACGCGTTACATAACTTTATTGTGTAAAATAATCACGTAAAAAAATCAGTTAAATCTGCATGCGTACAGCGGTTTAATTCAGTGCCACTTGCGTGATAAGCGGTTATCAGCAATAAAATTTCGGCGGTGTTGAAAACGTTCCAATCGCTAGAAACAGGCTAACATGTTATAAATGAAATGGTATTTTTATTTAGTTAATCGTTCATAGTTAAAATATTCGAGGAAACGCAATTCTATGGTAGTTGAGACACTTAAAACGATAATAAAATAGCTATAACTTTAAAATTATTTGGTCTCGACTAAATACAATAGGTGCAACAATAGGGAATTAAAGTTTGTTATGTTTCCTGTCTGCGATTTGGAGCAAACTTAATGTTACTCAAATAACTCAGTCAAAATTAGTTAACAGTGTTTATGTTCAAATTAAATGCGCGTGGAAGTAACTTTACTAAAATTACAAGATTTAACTTACGTTTATTCATAGTTCTTGGAAATTTTAATATTTTTGAGACTACATAGTTTAGAAATAAATAGGCTTTTAAGTGTATGGTGTGCGAAAACAAGTTGCAACCTTATCTTTTGCAATTATTTATTTCGTAACACCCTAAAATGAAAATGTTCATAGAATTTTGAAAATGTGAATTGCTTTCTTCCACTCAAGAGATATCGCGCCAAGTGATACTCAATATTTTTTTATAGCAAATTTAAGCATTTTCTTATAGACTAGAAGTAGTAATAGTAAATTACATCAAAATATGAATGAGCTAGAATGCATTTCTCTCACTTTAATTCTAGTTTTTCATAATATATTGCGACATTACCAACGATGTGCGATGAAACAAATCTGTAGCATCACGAAATAATACGGAAGTCAATATGTTGCAATTGATTTTGATATTACAATTTTTAAATTGTGAAAACGGTAAAATTGTCTAAATAATTTTAAAATTCAAAAGTTTTGGGAAGCGCAGTTCTCGTTGTTTATTTTTTCCTTTCTTATTTCTTGGATAAAGTCTGTGATTTTGCTACAAGAAATAGCCTATTTCTTATTTTTATAAATAAGCTATTACATTGTAAAGTTTTATCAATATTACTTTAGTAATTTTCCGTGAAAAGGAAAACAAAAAAAAAGATTTATTTAGATAAGTAAAATACATTCGTCGGAAGTTGGAACTTATAGCCTCTGAATTATTGCGAAATTCCAATTTCGTTTATTGGGTAAAAGTGAATTTACTCTTATGCTTTTTTGTGTTACGTCTACTGCGCAACATAAAAGTTTTAATAACACGAGCGCCAATCACAGAGTGTTTACACGGGATTCCAATAATGTCTTGATAAACACCGATAAATATTAGTACACTACTAACTATATATATTATTGGTCTAGTTTCCAATATTTGAACAAACAGACGTGAAACTAGTAAATAGTATTGATGGCGCTTCAACTCTGCACTTCCCTGATTAGTTCAATATTTATTTATGGTGTGAACAAATATAACACCATCAGAATCGATAATTAAAATTTAAATATACGTATCTATAACACTGAATTAAACCTTGTAATCAAACTTTACGCACGTTTCACCTTGATTTATCAATTAATGCATGCATAAACAATGCAACTTAATGCATACACCTGATTAACAATATGAATTTCCTGTTGTTTGTACGCCATGAATAATTTACGAGAATAACAGATAGCAGTTTATAATTTTTACATAACTAAACTAAAGTGTAGTTATTAAGTCGACTTAAGTGCAAGTTTTTAAGGTTAAGTTCGATTCCGGACTTGTTCGTAGTGTCATGTTGCGCCTCCTCTCCTTTGATGAGTCACGCGCGACTTCGGCGCGGCCTTTCCGCAGCGGCAACGACCTTGCGCCGCCGACGACTCCGGCTTACTTCAACCGACTTAACAATATTTATCATTGCTAGCCGGCAGTTGCTTAATTCCACGGCGCGAAACCGTTAGGCAAATAAATAATAACCGACCATCAGCAGACAGCGCGACCTCAACATTGTCACAAACGATGTACATGCAAGAAAAATGTCGAAATAAAGTCACATAACTTAAGCCACAAGAGGCACGTTCGAAGCATGTTAGTACATGCAAACAGACATCGACACCTGAGTACTCACGATGAGTACGTGATGTTCGCTGATTCTAGTTCAAGACTTAAGTCAATACAAGCGGAGTGACAGCGTAAATAATGTGCATGCGTAATGTGCGATGTAAATTTAATGTAAATAAGTGACTGGAATGTGAGGAAGGAACGTGATCAATACAAATTGTTCAATTTTTAGATTTTAATTGAATTATAATATTTAAAAGGATGACATTGTAAAAAATGGCTGATAAAATGCAATTTGCGTCACCTGGTTAAACGTAACCCAGGAAATTTGCAGTAAACCAGACCGATGAGTCATTGTAAAATGTTAACATTCAACATTTGCATGTTTTATGCATTGTGGACGTTAGGAAATCAAGGTGTTTAAGCGGTTCGGCCGCAATCCGTTTTAAGTTCAATGTGTGCATTATGAATGATAATATCTTGTTCAAACAGACGCATATTGTCATGGCATATTTTACAGTATTTATTTTATTGTGGTGCGAATGAAAGTCGTAAGAAATTCCGAGCAATTTGCGCCGGTAAACGTTAATTTTATGGAAATTTATTGGCTTCTTATTTCTATAACAAGCTATTCTGCAGGAAGCTTTCACTCCAACTTGAAGAGTTGGTATGTGTACCTCTAATTCCAATTCAGGTATAGTGTCGTTTTTATCGTTTGCATCTGGTATTGATCGAATATAGACAAGCAGATGGAAATCTAGTTAGATTCTGATTCGGATAGTTTTTCGAGTTTGGTGACTGTGGGTGCACCAGTGTGACCGACATTTTCGAGAATGTTAATAGATTTTAATGAATGATGTTTTAGGGCAGGGCACATCGCGGCGCACACATGCAACGAAAGCCACGCAACACGGTGTGCGGCGGCTGCTGTGCGCGATCCGGCGTGATCTCTCTCCTCTCACACTCGCGCGCCGCTGGTGATGTATGCAGCTCGAGACTCCTTTTCTCGAAGATGAATTAACGCGACAAACGACATCGCAACCCATTCACACAAGATTCGCCTCGAAAAATTTATTGTTTCTGTATTAACTTCTCAGCTTTTGAATCTTATATTACTTCGAGATAAATTTGAAGTGTTTATTTGCTTCTAGAAGCATTTCGAAACCGCTAAACGGTCACTTACTTTGTCGAGACACTTGAGTTCCTCGGTGGGATACACCGTCTTCTCACATCTCGCGCAGCTCTTGCTCATGTTTTTATCACTGTTTCGCACAGGGGCACTAGTTTAATAGATCCTTCTGGGGGCGGCACTCACACAGGGTAATAAGGCGCGGCGCGTGTGACTTTCGATGCGAGCAGGCGACTAATTAGTGCGTTATTAATCGGTTTTCTCAGTTCGTACTCGGACGCCAACCGTTGGTATAACTTGTTGCGCCGCCTGTAAACTTCACTCGACTGAGCCGCGGAGAGCGCAACCGCAATCGAAAGCAAAACCGGCGAGGACGGAAAAATCAACGTCAGTTGTCGGCTTAAATCGGCCGCCATTACAAACAGGTCTACCAACATACAGTTTGAAAGTTAGGGATATTCTAGTAACTTTTGCAAAAATCTTCAGACAATTCAACAATATTCATTCTGCAAAGCTTACAATATTAACAAAATAGAGTGAGTAAAGATACATATTTTTATTGTATTGCCATCTCGTTTATTTATTGTATTACACAGGCCGTTTCTTCTAAAATATATAATATTGCTATGTATATTCAGCGGGTTGTGGGCTCATCACCAAACAGACAAACACACCATTCGCATTCATTTATAATATTTATACAATACACGAGCGCAGGTGTGAAGTGTAACAGTACCTGGTTTGAAAACTACTCGAAAAACGCAGCAAGCTAGAGTAAATATTCTTTCAACAATATAATCTGCGTTCAATTTTGGTTTGCGCTTTTGAGTATTCACGTTTTAGTTCGGTTCAGGCACGTTATTCTTCACGTGCACTCAATATATAGAAATCATGCAAAAAATACTTTGAAAAATCGCTCAGTAAAAAACAACTCGTACAATGTTGTTTTCCCTGTTTTATATATAGTTTGCTTTGAATCTTTGTTCTTTGTACAATCGGTTGATTTAATGTTAACAAATGAAATTCGTTGTCTTTTTATAACAAAACGTGATTTGTGATTGTTTTTGGCGTTGTACTCGTGTTTACATCATCTACATTTACATATCTTCTATAATCCTTCTAAAATTTAATAAGTACAGGGACTTAATAATAAAATCTTTAATAAAATAATAGATTGGAATGTTGTAAATAGTGTATATATCATTTTTAGTGTAAATAGTTCGCACTTGTTGTGTAAAAATAATACTTTTAAAAAGTAACTAAAAAGCATAGGAAACGTATAGGTTTAATCACAGAAAAATAAATTTGAGATTCACGTGCGTGGAAAGACGAAGAACTAATCGTACGTCTTTTAAAATTGTTATTTAACTTCTTTGTTCGCTAGGTGTTTTTGTTTTAGTTAATTTTGAAAGCTATCAGTATCATAAGACAACATTTTCGCTACGTTATTCGTGTGTATACTAATTTGGTTCTTTGTTCTCACCTGGATAAATGAGTATTTTATGCGTATGGATCTAAACGTGAAGCGTTTCTCTGAATATGCGTGTGATTGTGAAAATATGAAGATGATTTTCATATGCGTGAAATTTATGCGGAGTATTTGCTAATTTTGCGGGTTATGATCAGTTTTATCTGGAAATGGCCGCTTCTTACGTACCGTAATGGAGGCTATCGTATGCTTTGACTTTCTCCGGGACAGCGGCTAGTTCAATAGGAACTCTACCTCTTAGATCTTTTAAGCAAGTGACGAACGAAATTTTTCGATAAAATTTCGAACTGAAAACAAACAAATTTATATGAAATTTTAGTTATTAAAGCATTGGTATCGTTTATTTACCTTATAAAAGGTTTAGCCATAAATAGCATAGTTTTAATCCACATTGTTGGGTGGACGAGGTAAAGATGGCTGAGATTTTTCCTCAACTTCCGGCCGACCATCTGATAGCAACGCTTCAGCCACCGGAAGCTAGGTATACGTGTGGCGCCCCCGTGTAAATACACGAGAACATAATCTTCCGTCACAAGACGTTCCAACGTCCATAGAACATATCTAACAAGATATAAGTTAAAATACTAAGAAAATTATCTCCTTGAGATACTTACAGGAATAAATTGTCCATCACATAATCATAATCACATCTTGACTTGTCCGGTAAGAAACAAGCCGAGAATAAAACGATCGCCGTGTGTCCCCCAGCTCTTAAATATCCTCCATGAGATAAAACTCTCTTATAAGGCTCTATCACCCTCATATCAATTGTTCTCTGCTCTCCACCCGGCAGCACCATCCTCTGCCAGTGTCTGGCATGTCTCCTTTCGTCATCAGCACTCAATGGTTCTATGGGTTCAGGTGTTTCATTTCGTGAATTATTTCCTTCTACTTCAAAATCATCTACATCAACATCTACTTCTTCCATTCTGGACATGCTAGCAAACACATCCTCTGATTTTAAGGAATCTGGTGAACTTCCCAGGCTCGAGATATCACTATCAATAGGATCTTCGGTTGTGAGGACTTTTATCTTCCTCAACTTATTACTTTTCTTGCCATACGCGAGGAAATTCAAGTTTCCTTCCTTTTCGTTCATTGTCATCGCGACGTTCTGCAGATTCGAGCTGAGATGCGCCTCGTAGACAGACTTCTCGTTCTCGTTATCGGACTTGTCGTCCTTATCATCCTTATCACTCAGATCGCCGAAGTCTAACTTCGGAATGGACGGTAAAGCTTCCTTCAAGTCTTCGAGTTTATTCAGCGGCGAGCTGTTGACGTTGCCGTGAATGGAACTATTGGCGAGTGGTTTGAAATGCCGGTTCTTTGGTTTCTCCGGAATCAAGTCCGGGAAATCCGGCGTTATTGGTGAGCTGGGAGAGAACATCAGTGGATGCGAATCAGTTGCATTCTGTATGGTGTGGCTGACTTTATTCACTCTCTCATATTGACACTGCTTTGCATTGTCCAGTGGCGGAAAAGCAGGATAGTCTTCACAATCCTCACATTTTGATTCAGATGTTGTGGAGGTGTCTTGCTCAGGCAAGGTGGTGTTGGTAAGTGGTAAAGATAGTCTTAAAACTTTTGGAATGGATGTTTCTTCTGTTTCTACCATTTCTGGGTCTGAGGGGTCAGAAATGTCCATCTTTTCGGATTTGTCTGATTCCGGACTCACTTCTTCACTGTAAACCGATAAATTCTTATAAAATTTCTACTGTTATCACTTATCAGAAGGCATTTCAAGGTTAGAAAGGAAACTTTCAACAATTTGCAATAAATTACGTGTGAATTGCGTTCGTACCTCATCTCGTTTCGTCGTCTTCACTTCGTTATACGGTTAAATGGTGAGATCACATGAGATTCTACGTTCTGCGTTAAGTTTCTTTCTGTTTGAGTTATGTATTAGGACTATTTTAGAGTATTCTTAGTTTTATTTCTTCTTGAACGTATTGAGAATGTGTGAGTGATGAGAATCATATGGCTGTCAGTCGTGTGAAAGTTTAATCATGAACGAGCACCAATGAACACATTCAAAGCCGTGTTAATTTTTAATGTGCGTCGATATTACATACGATATAATTTGGCTAAATCACAACTTCCTTTGTGGTTTCGTGTTAATTTAAATTATTAATACAGATTCCAAAGCTACACATTATTTTATAATTTGTGTTAAGTTGTTTAGTTTGATTGTATGCTTATATCGGCTGCGGTGTCCGAGTGGTTAAGGAGATGGACTTGAAATCCATTGGGTTCTACCCGCACAGGTTCGAATCCTGTCCGCAGCGTTCTTTTTTCATTCAGAATTTATTTACAAAAGCGACGAATACTTCCTTTTAACTAATTCCGTGCTTAATTTGAACTCAAATTAAGGAACCCATTGTTTTCCACCCTTAGTAATATAATTTTCTAATTCTCTGATGAACAAAATAATTTAAAAATTCTAATATTGTACTTTCATCATCTTTAATAGCATTAAAACAATCATAAATAACAAACAATCATCAATAACAATTAATGTATACTCTCCTCGTCTTCAGAATCTTCCATATCAGCGGAAGTCTCCTCCACTTTATTGATAATATCACTAATTAAACCCATGATATTGTCCATCTGTTGGTTTGCCGTATCATACTCATGAAACTCTTCATCAACATTCAACTCTCCAAGATGATCCTCTAACTTTTCAGGGAAATCATCCTCATCCAAGATAACAATATGCTCCTCGGAATCTACCGTCGAATATTCAGACTTGTCTTCTTCAACTTGTTCCAATGATTTTACCTTTTGTCTTTCCATACTTTTTTGTTTTACATCCTGTCTAGTTCTGGAAGATGTGGTTTTTCCTTGCTTGCTTTTTTCTGGTTTTTCTTGTGCTATAACAGGTGGTTCAACCTCCTCGATTGTTTGAACTTCTTTTACAATAACATCGTGTATCTTATTTTTAATGAATTCTTTATTTAGAATTGTAGGATTACTGTCGATGATCTCAAATATTTGCTTCTGCAATAGTTTGAGTTCTTCTTTCTGTTCGTTTTCGCGTTCGTGGTCGATAATGGCTTTAATGGATTGCTTGGTTCCTTTGGTTGTCTTCTTTTTAGCTTTCTCAACTGTCTTGTTTTTGAATTTGTCCAAGACGTTTCTAAGTTTGTCTTTGACTGGTGTGCGGGATTGAATCTTTTCTCGTATGTGACCGGTGACAATCGTCCGCACGGATTGTTTGGCACTTACTTTTTCTTTTGGTTTTTCTTCTTTTTGTACTTGAGCTTGGGTTTGAGTTTGTGTTTGAAGCTTTGCCTTCACTTCGTCTTCTAACTTACGAATTTTACGTAATTTTTTAGGCGGCTCATCAAGAGTGGATTTATTTTCAACCTTTTCCGCACGGGAAACTTTTTCTCAACTTTTATCTCCTCTGAATCATCAACATCAACTTTATCTTTCCTTTTCCTCACAATTTTATCTTCCTGTTTCAGGTTTTCTTCAGTTCTTTTTTGTCTGAGCCGTTTTGTCGATTCTTCTACTGGAATTTCTTTTGTCCGAATAAATTTCTCTAAAGATTTTTCTTTTTTGTACTTTGTACTTATATTTTCAGGTGCATCCTTAACTTTTTTGTTCTTTCCAGAAGGTTTCACTTTAATTTCATCAGAAATGTTAGGTAAAGTTGGCTCTACCTTAATTTCTTCACTGGGTTCTTCATCAACTTCAATTTCTTCAGTAAGTTCGTTCTCAATGATAATTTCCGGCGATTCCTCATCTTCAACTTCTGAAACATCTTCTTCAATATCTTCCAGAGTTTCATCTAACAAATCTACGAGATCCAGTTCAGGACTCTGTGGAACAATAACTTCTTCCACTTCTTCAACCAGTGGTGAAGCAGAGACTTCCTCTTCAGCACTCACTGCAAGTCCTTCTAAACTTTCAAAAGTCTCATGTTCATATTTTTCCTGACTTTCCTCGTCTTCTTCTTCAACAAGAGCTTGTTGTTCTTCAATAGATTCCTGAATATTATCATCGTCATCAATTTCCTCTTCTTCTTCTTCTACATCAACTTCTGGAGATTTGGTGATTGTTTTTGCCTCTTTGGTTCAGTTTGTTGTTGAAGCACTTGCTGCTTTAAATCTTCATCTAAATAATCTAAATAGTCCTCTTTCCGCTGTAATATATACAATGCTGGTTTTGTTTTAATCTTAATAGGAGGTATAGAAAAGTAATTGAAGGTGATCTGATGAAATGACTCAATTGTATCAATAATATCGTGTGTATTCGCAAACGGCTTCAAATTCGGTGAAAATTTGCTCTTGGCTTCAGTTATTAAGTGTGTGTATTTAAATAAAGCTGGATCACTAGCTTCCAGATGCTCAGTCTTATCATATCTGAAAGAGAATAAAAACAATAAGACATGTCCATTGTTTTAAAAACATACTAACCGCCATTCTGAGTTGATTTGTGTAAACCTTGAGACGCCAGTCTGCGCAGCCAAATTATCAATATGTAAGTGTACGTAGTTTTCGTTTGCGGCTAAACGATGCAGATGTGAAATGGCCGCTCCGCCGGGATAATTCGTACTGGAGATGCTCAGCAGAAAAATTGTGAAAATCGCGTTCACAGCCAAGTGACCAAGAACACCCAGGGACAAAAGGTGATAAATTTTGGACTTTTCTCGATTATCCCAGCTAAATAAAATAAGCGGTAATAATATAGCACAAAAATATTATGCATATTTTGTATTCTTACATGCGTTGGCAAAATACAGCGACGGGCGCGTTTAAAAACGGGAACACGTAGATAATAAATCGCAGTTCCTTATGTGGTAAAAACGAGTACAAAAGTACGAATAGTAACGCAGGCACGCACAATTTTCGTACCCTGGAGTCAAGTATCATCCCTAGAGGTAATAGGAACACTGATGTCGCCATCGCTCGTGGTATGGCCGAGTAAAAGTACCACAAAAATGGTGAAGCCTGCAAATAATATTTGTAATTAATTGCACGAGAACACAAGCAATTTTTTATGAACTTACTCCATAGTCTGAACTTCTATTAAGTATGGTATTATACCATAAGACTTCGCCTTCCGGCCAAAGTGGTCTATTCCAAAAAATAGAATCAATCACAACCGATCCGCACAATACACCGATACCTGCGGGCACGCCAATGCGCAGCAATTCTTTGAACGTTATTCTCTTGTAAACTAAGTCATAGAGTAGTAACAGCCCCAAAAAGAGAACCAGTTCAGCGCGGAACACTATGATTGCTGCGCCGGAGGCGATTATAAAGCGCTTATTGTCATTATCAAGCCATCCACTTAAAGCTATCAGTACTAAAAATGGTACAATTAAATCAAATTCTTATGATTTACTTCTCAATATTTACCTAATGGCAAGGCAAATATATTTGGCAAAGGTCTAGTAAGGTAAAACATAAAGTGGCTTTGTGTCACAGTAATGGCAATGAACCACTGCACCCATCTGGGGCCAAAAATCTTCTCTAAACTCTTACACAGCTTGTTGAAAGCATATATCACACAGCATCCAAGTGCAGCTCTTACTAAAATATAAAATTATAAATTACTATCATAGGAATATTTATTAATTAACAATATTTAATATATACCTAAGTATTGTGTCCAAAATTTACTCAAGTCAAGATACTGTAACACCATGCATATTGGTGAGACAACAATTGAGATAAACAAAGGTCCCAGGAATGTTCTTGGAACCACACCAGGGAATTCATGATGATCATACTGTAATCCAAACAATGTGAAAACAATTAGTTCTTGGCACAAGTTAGATGCAGTATTGTGCAGCAGCCAATGCACAATTGATTGAGACAATCACCTCATTCAGATTGAATCGATGGTAGATGATGTCATGTATTGCCTGCAGGTTGAAGCTCTCCTCCACTTTGGTGAATGGACAAAACACCAAATGGGCCGCAGCAATGATCATCATTATCTGCGACATATTCGCCAGCTGATTTCGTTTGCCTTTTGCGTTGTTTTAGTGTAGTTATTTACATAATTAATTGAAATATGTATTGTTAAAGTTGGTGCAAACTTAAAATAGAATTATGGGCTAACCTCTGATTCTCTGATTACAGGAGAGGTGGAAGCCGCACGTCAGATGCAGTCAGATGGTCGGTCGTACGCCAGAAATTTGAAACTTTGAAGCATTTGAACATGTGTACACACGTGTGAGTGGAACGTTGCTTTTGAATCGTATCGTATTATATTTTCAATTATGCGTAGTAAACTAGTATTAATTTTACGTGTTCTTCATGGTGTACGGGTAAAATTTTGAAATTATTTTTAATATTTAGATATATTGTCTTGTTCTTATGGCAAAGGTGAATGTTTGATGTCCATGTTACTCGTGTAATCCGTATAGAACTTAGGAACATGTTTTAGTTTGTAGATATGCAGTATAGATGTTGTCCTTGTGCTGTAAATATGTCTGCAAATAATCGTGCAGAACTTCAGGAGTCTGTGAATATGTAGAAATATATTGTTGTTGTCTTATTATGTTCAAGTATACACAAAGATCTTGTGTTTTCTGTGTAGGACTTGGAAAATAGTTTTAGTTAGTAGATAAATAGTATTGGTATTGTTCATATATTGTCCATAATGTCTGGTCTTATCTATGTGGGACTTAAGTAGGACTTGTACTAAGTATAGGTAGTATTAGTAGTATTTATAAGTAGTGGTGGTAGTAGTAATAACAATAGTGATAGTACATACAAATTGAGGTTCTGCCAACGTCGAGGTCTACCAAGAGTATTTAAGTATTTAATTTCATTATCATTTTCCTAAATAATTTTTGTGATTATCTCACAAATTGACCCCCAAAATTGCATTTATATGTTGGAAGGATTAATTTTTGCGCTTGTTTTAGGGATTTTTCACCTGAGTCTGACATCGTAGAAGGACCATTCTTGCATCAGATTGTAAGTATTTAATTTATTTATCATTTTCAAACATAACTTTTGTGATTATCTCACAAATTCACGCTTAAAATTGCATTTTTATGTTCGAAGGACTAATTATTGCTTGTTTTAGGGATTTTGTACCTGAGTCTGACATCATAGACGGACCATTCTTGCATCAGATTGTAAGTATTTAATTTCTTTATCATTTTCCTAAATAACTTTTGTGATTATCTCACAAATTGACCCTCAAAATTGCATTTTTATGTTCGAAGGACTAATTTTTGCTTGTTTTAGGGATATTGCACCTGAGTCTGATATTGTAGAAGGACCATTCTTGTTTCAGATTGTAAGTATTTAATTTCTTTATCATTTTCCTAAATAACTTTTGTGATTATCTCACAAATTGACCCTCAAAATTGCATTTTTATGTTCGAAGAACTAATTTTTGCTTGTTTTAGGGATAGTGCACCTGAGTCTGACAACGTAGAATGACCATTCTGGCATCAGATTGTTAGTAATCAATTTCTTTATCATTTTCCTAAATAACTTTTGTGATTATCTCACAAATTGACCCTCAAAATTGCATTTTTATGTTCGAAGGACTAATTTTTGCTCGTTTTAGGGATATTGCACCTGAGTCTGACATCGTAGATGGACCATTCTTACATAAAATTGTAAGTAATTAATTTCTTTATCATTTTCCTAAATAACTTTTGTGATTATCTCACAAATTGACGCTTAAAATTGCATTTTTATGTTCGAAGGACTAATTTTTGCTTGTTTTAGGAATATTGCACCTGAGTCTGACAACGTAGAATGACTATTCTTGCATCAGATTGTAAGTATTTAATTTCTTTATCATTTTGCTAAATAACTTTTGTGATTATCTCACAAATTGACGCTTAAAATTGCATTTTTATGTTTGGAGGACAAATTTTTGCGTGTTTTAGGGACATTGCACCTGAGTCTGACATCGTAGATAGACCATTCTTACATCAAATTGTAAGTATTTAATTTCTTTATCATTTTCCTAAATAACTTTGGTGATTATCTCACAAATTGACCCCCAAAATTGCATTTTTATGTTCGAAGGACTAATTTTTGCTTGCTTTAGGGATATTGCACCTGAGTCTGACATCGTAGATGGACCATTCTTGCATCAAATTGTAAGTATTTAATTTCTTTATCATTTTCCTAAATAACTTTTGTAATTATCTCACAAATTGACCCTCAAAATTGCATTTTTATGTTCGAAGGACTAATTTTTGCTTGTTTTAGGGATATTGCACCTGAGTCTGACATCGTAAAAGGACCATTTTTGCATCAGATTGTAAGTATTTAATTTCTTTATCATTTTCCTAAATAACTTTTGTGATTATCTCACAAATTGACCCTCAAAATTGCATTTTTATGTTCGAAGGACAAATTTTTGCTTGTTTTAGGGATATTGCACCTGAGTCTGACATCGTAAAAGGACCATTCTTGCATCAGATTGTAAGTATTTAATTTCTTTATCATTTTCCTAAATAACTTTTGTGATTATCTCACAAATTGACCCTCAAAATTGCATTTTTATGTTCGAAGGACAAATTTTTGCTGGTTTTAGGGATATTGCACCTGAGTCTGACATCGTAAAAGGACCATTTTTGCATCAGATTGTAAGTATTTAATTTCTTTATCATTTTCCTAAATAACTTTTGTGATTATCTCACAAATTGACCCTCAAAATTGCATTTTTATGTTCGAAGGACAAATTTTTGCTTGTTTTAGGGATATTGCACCTGAGTCTGACATCGTAAAAGGACCATTTTTGCATCAGATTGTAAGTATTTAATTTCTTTATCATTTTCCTAAATAACTTTTGTGATTATCTCACAAATTGACCCTCAAAATTGCATTTTTATGTTCGAAGGACAAATTTTTGCTGGTTTTTTGGGATATTGCACCTGAGTCTGACATCGTAAAAGGACCATTCTTGCATCAGATTGTAAGTATTTAATTTCTTTATCGTTTTCATACATAAATTTTATGATTAACTTTTGAATTTGCGAGAAAAATATACTTTTTGTGTTTCGAAGCACTGATTTTGCTGGTTTTCGGGATTTAGTACATGAACGCGTTATCCGCGTAATATCAGCGAGGTCCCTAAAGATGTAAAATTCAATTCTTCATGGCGTTATATTTAAATGTCGTAGGAGATGAACCTGTAGAACGTGAATTGTTAGATAAATTGTACGTTTCGTACGTTGTTATGTTGATAACTTGTAACTGTTTACATTTAGTCATTTTGAATAGTTTTAGGATTATATATAACATGGATTGTGTTTTATTTATTTTCGTTCAAGTGAGTGAGATAGAAATACCAGGATGAGGTGATAGTAAGTGAGCTAGAATAAGAGAGCAATACTCTAAGTTTCATGCAGAATCCATGTTTTTTATATGATCTGCAGAATTTTGTTTGAACTTTGTTTATGCTTTTAGTTCGACCTTGGCTTGCGCAGCACGCCGTGCGCTGCCATTTGGAATTTGAACAGTACCGCACCGGTCATCGTGCGTCGTCGGCTTCAGTGACAATTCGCTATACTGCTCAGTACATCTTGCGCTGGCGTATTGGCTGTTATTTTTTCCTGTTTAGTTAGTCGGTGCCACGGAATTGTGCTGTGTGCACGTGTTCTCTTTCTTCTCCGCCCTGTTCGTCGCGACTGTTAGTATTTCGGGCGATTTTAATACGGTGCGAGCCTTATAATTGTTTAGTCATCGATTGCTATCAACTACTGAACAAGTGATTTATCTCGAATCGACTCGAGACTTAAGACCCCACGTGCGCGTGTGTTAGCCATCAGCCGCTGGCCGTCGGATCTCTTACGTTGGGCGTACGGATTCCAATTGGATTTATAGGCCAAAATGGTATTGTTAATTGCAAAAGTAATACAGTGAGTAGTAACATCAATTCTACTAACAATTCTACTTTGTGTGTAACGTTTGATACGAGAGCGTTGTGGCTCGATGATACGTAGGATATGGCTTGAATCGTACGTACGTTCGTTTTATTAAAAAAATGAAGAATGTATTGTTAAATACAATTAATAAAAATCAATTTAAAATTAAAATCTTATTCATATTTCTTTGTGATATCCTCTTTGTCGTTTTCAGGATATGCGTTTTAAATCATCTTTCATATGAAGTTTATGTGAGTGCAACATAGCTAAGACTTGTGTTGTTATTTTTAAAAAGTTGAATAGAGTAGAAACATAAATACAAGAATCAAATATTAAAGATAAAAGCACTCGGTGGTCGAGTGGAGACGTGCACCTGCTGGCATGCCAGCAGACACGGATCGAATCTCAGGTATAGAAGGCATTTTTCTCAAATATAAAAATATCAGGTGTAATTTGGGTTGCATATATGAATTGCAACGAAATATAAGAGAAATTGAAGTACAAGTGAAGGCAATAAGAGAAGTAAGAAAGTGAGTAAGTGGAGAAACGGAGAGCAAGAAATAGGAGGAGAAGTAGAAGAAGGAATAGCAGAAAAGAGTAGAGAAGAGGAGGAGATAGAAGAAAGAGCAACAGGAGCGGATCAGATTTTTAAATTTTTTGGCACGTGTCGTTATAAGACAGTCTACGGTCCCACTGCCCACTGCTTCGATGCGTCCATTGCTCCCGGCCCATCCTACAGCTACGATGTCTCTGCGCTTCATCCCCGAAATTATCAGGCATATTAACAATTTTTATGGTGGGGGATCACCCCCAGAGAGAGGGAACTCCTTATAAGGACATCCTTTTAAGAACTTATAAAAATATTTCTAAGTTTTAAGTCGCCTCAGGAGAGGTGATACTTAAAAATATTCCTACAAGTTCTGACCTATTGCTGAAATGAAAGAAGGAGTACACGAATCATACAGGTTACCTAAACAATTTTTATAGTGGGGATCATCCCCTGAGAGAGGGAACTCTCTTAGAGACCTGTTCCTGAAATGATAGAAGGGGTACACAAATCAAAAAGGTCAATATATTTTACTATTTCTTTATTAACAATAGAATACAAGTTTATATTTTACAAGTCAACAGAATACCGCCATATTGAAACAGGACTTATGACCTGCATAGCCACGCACATGCCAGCAAGTACTACTTCATAAAGTTCTACCGAAATAATGAAATTAGTAAATAGCCAATTCTCTAGGTGATTGAAAATGGAAACAAATATACAGGGTGTTACAAAAGGTAAATTTAAAGTGCAAACAAAAAACTCTACAAAACACTACAAACGCCGTTCGTTTTCACGCGACGATCAGGGAAACTAATATACAGGGTGTTCCAGAAAGAAAATTCAAAGTGCAAACGGGAAAATACTAAAAACGACAGCAAAATTTTCACGAACACAAAGGAAAACTAATATACAGGGTGTTGCGAAAAGAAAATTTTAGAAACTACAAAAGGAGTCAATATTCACAATATGAAGAGGGAAATTTACCAATTAACAACAATATATTAATATACAATCAGAGATTTTACCCGAAAAACATCGAAAAATTGAAGGTGCTACAAAAATAAAACACTTACATTTTAATATATTCTAAATGTATATTTATTAATTGATGGTAGCATCAACGGTATAAAGTAGCCGACGGGCAAAGCATCATTACAAATTGATAGAATATACGGCGGAAAATACCTAAATCAACAGACGGCAAGCGACGGCGCGAAGCAAGACAGTGGTTAAAGACGATAAAAATAACTATTTCTTTATAAATATTAAGATATACTGAGACTGTGAACACGAAGAACTATTCACCGTTCAAGATTTTATTTCACCAAGAAATTATTAATTTAATGATGCAATTCTATTAAAAATGTTTACGTGATCATCGAAAGCATGACCGAACCGACGACCGACGGCAAAGTAAGCGTGATCGACAACATGAATTTTAAAAACCGTGCTTGTAATAATTAAATCAAGCATGCCACTATAAGTTAAACCGCCTTAACTTTCCGCAAAAAATTTTAATTATCCACCCACCTGTGCATTGATGAGGAGATTTTTTATCCTGTAATATATTCTATCAACTGAAAACTCGCGCGGGGATTAACGGACACTTATTTCTAACATAAGAAGAATCTAACCGCCATAAATCATTAAACGAAACAGGCACACATGCCCATTGCGAATATATTGCCGATGGCCGAAAGAATACACGAAGATTAATACAATTAAAACCTCAAAACGCGTGACGATTAGAGAGACACGCTCGCGGACCACGCGGTGAAACAACTGCCGTGTGCGCTGCGCGTAGCCGGGTACAAGGCAGGTATGCAGTGATATCACGAGTCCGTCGAACAAAAAAAGTTGTTTATACACAATCGTACTGATAAACACGTAGTTGTTGCAATTGTTGTAACACTTCACTTGCACTTCACATTTTGTTTTACTGTTAAACATTCAACGAAAACTTAACCGCACGAGAAAATCTCCATTCGTTTGTATGCCGCTAGAGTGAGAGAGACGGAAGATCGGTCCACTCACTCGAACGCTATGCCTGCCTCCGCTCGTGTGGATTCCGCGTGACAAGTTTCACGGAATGACTGGCAGCGCTCGAGATGAGACGGGAGATCGGTCCGTCTCTCTCTCGTTATAACGAGAGGGGGGTATACCTGCGATCGGCCTCGAGAGGCCTCGTGACACAGTTTCTGAACATGTCACCCGACTAAAACGATTTTAAAGACGTTATCACGTCAACAAATGTGAAACTTTATATATTTATGGTTTATGTATTATATTTTGTGTATAATTGTGTCGATTGGGTCAACCTCGCGAAGCTTAGTTAACACACATGTTGTTTATAAAGCGTACTTTACACTTAATAAAACACGTTAATATGTCAGTAAACTTATACTAATTTCCAGTTCAGTACTACAGTGATACATTTATAACCCTAATCATCGAAAATTAAAATAAATAATTATTTAAGTTATACCATTAATTTAATAAAAACAAATGTAAAACTTTATATATTTATGTTTTATGTATTATATTTTATGTATAATTGTGTCGATTGCGTCAAACTACCGAGGCTTAGTTAACACACATGGTGTTTGTAAAGCATACTTTACACTTTACAAAACACGTTAATATGCCAGTATACTTATACTAATTTTCATTTCAGTGTTACAGTGTTATAAGTGTAACACTAAACCTTGCAAAATTAAAAAAAATAAATACCTCTTGGCCTGTCAAAATTTAATAGAATCATTGAAATCGTTGAAGATGTTTCTTGCTTTACCGGATATTACCATTTTCTATCGAATCCTTCTGGAAGAAGCATGCAGTTCACAGCTGGTCCTAGATATCCGTAAGGTCTCGTTAAAACGTTAAACCTAAAAAAAATTATAAGATAAGATAATAAAATTTGGAGAATAAGGAAAATAATTAATATCAAAAAATATTGCTGCATCCTGCTCTGTGAGTAATTTCAGTAACGAATATCATCTAAACTAAAAGCGCTAGCAGCCATAGGATTAAACATTATGAAAATTTGGAAAATTCTTTATAAGATAAAACAAGAAAATAATTAAAATTCAGGGTGTAAAAGTTCAGAAATCTTAATCAAATTAATAATTAACGAATACACAAAACAAAACCACTAGGGATTATTAGCCGACGGAAGATATCCGCCGGCTGACGGGAAATACCTGCGTAATTTCCAATTCCGAGTTCTACGCGCGATATCTCAATAACTATACGCCGCATTTGTCTGGTAATTCTAAATATTATCTTTGCTGACCGATTCTAATTCAACAACCGATTTAAAATCACAAGAAATGCGATAAGTCATTACGAAAATCGGCGCGCAAATAGACGCGTGCACACCAGGCCGCAGCACACGATCGACAGTAAGAAATAGAACAAATACTGCTGAACACGCCGGACGAGCAGCAACACAATAAAAAACAAGTTGTTTGCACACAAACACCGATTAAAGTCAAGGGTGAGAACTATGAACAATTCATGTTGTGGATGCAATCCAATGTAATAAAATGATTTTATATTGTGGACGTTGTCTCTTATTCGTATAAACAGCATACGAAGACAGCGATTGATGGGAAACCCATTTAGGGCACCGTACGAGGGTAGCGGTAGAAGTGACTTTATTCAGGGCACCGTACGAGGGTAGCGGTAAAAGTGACTTTATTCTGGGTACCGTACGAGGGTAGCGGTAGAAGTGACTCCCATTCGAAACACCATACGAGGGTAGCGGTAGAGGTGACTCCCATTCAGGGCACCGTACGAGGGTAGCGGTAGAAGTGACTTTATTCAAGGCACCTGAATAACGATTTTAGAGCACTTCTAGCGGGATTTTGGCGGACTGCAAGGTCGCATCTAAGAAAAGGACGACTTCTCTAAATTTGAAAGAATCATTAAAATCGTATAAAGGGTTTGCGAGATACAGCCTAATTTCCACCGGGTGTTTCAAAAATTCACAAAAGACGTATAAGTTTCAGAGCGAGTTTAAGGCACTTCTAGCGTGACATCGGCGGGCTGCAAGGTCGTATCTTAGAAAATAACTCTCGAACTATCTAAATTTGAAAAAATCATTGAAATTGCACAAACGGTTCGCGAGATACAGCCGACTTTCCACAGAGTGTTTCAATAAATCACTAAATCGTATAAGTTTCAGAGCGATTTTAAGGCACTTCTAGCGTGATATCGGCGGGCTGCAAGGTCGTATCTTAGAAAATAACTCTTGAACTATCTAAATTTGAAAGAATCATTGAAATCGCACAAGCGGTTCGCGAGATACAGCCGAATTTCCACCGTGTGTTTCAAAAAATCACTAAAATCGTATAAGTTTCAGAGCGATTTTAAGGCACTTCTAGCGTGATATCGGTGGGCTGCAAAGTCGCATCTTAGAAAATAACTCACGAACTATCTAAATTTGAAAGAATCATTGAAATCGCACAAACGGTTCGCGAGATAAGCCGAATTTCCACCGTGTGTTTCAATAAATCACTAAAATCGTATAAGTTTCAGAGCGATTTTAAGGCACTCCTAGCGTGATATCGGCGGGCTGCAAGGTCGCATCTTAGAAAATAACTCTCGAACTATCTAAATTTGAAAGAATCATTGAAATTGCACAAGCGGTTCGCAAAATACAGCCGAATTTCCACCGTGTGTTTCGAATAATCACTAAAATCGTATAAGTTTCAGAGCGATTTTAAGGTACTTCTAGCGTGATATCGGCGGGCTGCATGGTCGCATCTTAGAAAATAACTCTCGAACTATCTAAATTTGAAAGAATCATTGAAATCGCACAAGTGGTTCGCGAGATACAGCCGAATTTCCACCGTGTGTTTCAATAAATCACTAAAATCGTATAAGTTTCAGAGCGATTTTAAGGCACTTCTAGCGTGATATCGGCGGGCTGCAAGGTCGCATCTTAGAAAATAACTCTCGAACTATCTAAATTTGAAAAAATCATTGAAATTGCACAAACGGTTCGCGAGATACAGCCGACTTTCCACCGAGTGTTTCAATAAATCACTAAAATCGTATAAGTTTCAGAGCGATTTTAAGGCACTTCTAGCGTGATATCGGCGGGCTGCAAGGTCGCATCTTAGAAAATAACTCACGAACTATCTAAATTTGAAAGAATTATTGAAATCGCACAAACGGTTCGCGAGATACAGCAGAATTTCCACCGTGTGTTTCGAATAATCACTAAAGTCGTATAAGTTTCAGAGCGATTTTAAGGCACGTATAGCGTGATTTCGGCGGACTGCAAGGTCGCATCTTAGAAAATAACTCTCGAACTATCTAAATTTGAAAGAATCATTGAAATCGCACAAACGGTTCGCGAGATACAGCCGACTTTCCACCGTGTGTTTCATTAAATCAGTAAAATCGTATATGTTTCAGAGCGATTTTAAGGCACTTCTAGCGTGATTTCGGCGGACTGCAAGGTCGCATCTTATAAAATAACTCTCGAACTATCTAAATTTGAAAGAATCATTGAAATCGCACAAGTGGTTCGCGAGATACAGCCGAATTTCCACCGTGTGTTTCAATAAATCACTAAAATCGTATAAGTTTCAGAGCGATTTTAAGGCACTTCTAGCGTGATATCGGCGGGCTGCAAGGTCGCATCTTAGAAAATAACTCTCGAACTATCTAAATTTGAAAAAATCATTGAAATTGCACAAACGGTTCGCGAGATACAGCCGACTTTCCACCGAGTGTTTCAATAAATCACTAAAATCGTATAAGTTTCAGAGCGATTTTAAGGCACTTCTAGCGTGATATCGGCGGGCTGCAAGGTCGCATCTTAGAAAATAACTCACGAACTATCTAAATTTGAAAGAATCATTGAAATCGCACAAACGGTTCGCGAGATACAGCCGAATTTCCACCGTGTGTTTCAATAAATCACTAAAATCGTATGAGTTTCAGAGCGATTTTAAGGCACTTCTAGCGTGATATCGGCGGGCTGCAAGGTCGCATCTTAGAAAATAACTCTCGAACTATCTAAATTTGAAAGAATCATTGAAATTGCACAAGCGGTTCGCAAGATACAGCAGAATTTCCACCGTGTGTTTCGAATAATCACTAAAGTCGTATAAGTTTCAGAGCGATTTTAAGGCACTTATAGCGTGATTTCGGCGGACTGCAAGGTCGCATCTTAGAAAATAACTCTCGAACTATCTAAATTTGAAAGAATCATTGAAATCGCACAAACGGTTCGCGAGATACAGCCGACTTTCCACCGTGTGTTTCATTAAATCAGTAAAATCGTATATGTTTCAGAGCGATTTTAAGGCACTTCTAGCGTGATTTCGGCGGACTGCAAGGTCGCATCTTATAAAATAACTCTCGAACTATCTAAATTTGAAAGAATCATTGAAATCGCACAAGCGGTTCGCGAGATACAGCCGAATTTCCACCGTGTGTTTCGAAAAATCACTAAAATCGTATAAGTTTCAGAGCGATTTTAAGGTACTTCTAGCGTGATATCGGCGGGCTGCAAGGACGCATCTTAGAAAATAACTCTCGAACTATCTAAATTTGAAAGAATCATTGAAATCGCACAAACGGTTCGCGAGATACAGCCGACTTTCCACCGTGTGTTTCATTAAATCAGTAAAATCGTATATGTTTCAGAGCGATTTTGAGGCACTTCTAGCGTGATTTCGGCCTACTGCAAGGTCGCATCTTAGAAAATAACTCTCGAACTATCTAAATTTGAAAGAATCATTGAAATCGCACAAGCGGTTCGCGAGATACAGCCGAATTTCCACCGTGTGTTTAAAAAAATCACTAAAATCGTATAAGTTTCAGAGCGATTTTAAGGCACTTCTAGCGTGATATCGGCGGGCTGCAAGGTCGCATCTTAGAAAATAACTCTCGAACTATCTAAATTTGAAAGAATCATTGAAATCGCACAAGAGGTTCGCGAGATACAGCCGAATTTCCACCGTGTGTTTCAATAAATCACTAAAATCGTATGAGTTTCAGAGCGATTTTAAGGCACTTCTAGCGTGATATCGGCGGGCTGCAAGGTCGCATCTTAGAAAATAACTCTCGAACTATCTAAATTTGAAAGAATCATTGAAATTGCACAAGCGGTTCGCAAGATACAGCAGAATTTCCACCGTGTGTTTCGAATAATCACTAAAATCGTATAAGTTTCAGAGCGATTTTAAGGCACTTCTAGCGTGATATCGGCGGGCTGCAAGGTCGCATCTTAGAAAATAACTCTCGAACTATCTAAATTTGAAAGAATCATTGAAATCGCACAAGTGGTTCGCGAGATACAGCCGAATTTCCACCGTGTGTTTAAAAAAATCACTAAAATCGTATAAGTTTCAGAGCGATTTTAAGGCACTGCTAGCGTGATTTTGGCGGACTGCAAGGTCGCATCTTAGAAAATAACTCTCGAACTATCTAAATTTGAAAGAATCATTGAAATCGCACAAGCGGTTCGCGAGATACAGCCGAATTTCCACCGTGTGTTTCGAATAATCACTAAAATCGTATAAGTTTCAAAGCGATTTTAAGGCACTTATAGCGTGATATTTGCAGGCTGCAAGGTCGCATCTTAGAAAATAACTCTCGAACTATCTAAATTTGAAAGAATTATTGAAATCGCACAAACGGTTCGCGAGATACAGCCGACTTTCCACCGTGTGTTTCAATAAATTACTAAAGTCGTATAAGTTTCAGAGCGATTTTAAGGCACTTATAGCGTGATTTCGGCGGACTGCAAGGTCGCATCTTAGAAAATAACTCTCGAACTATCTAAATTTGAAAGAATCATTGAAATCGCTCAAACGGTTCGCGAGATACAGCCGAATTTCCACCGTGTGTTTCGAAAAATCACTAAAATCGTATAAGTTTCAGAGCGATTTTAAGGTACTTCTAGCGTGATATCGGCGGGCTGCAAGGTCGCATCTTAGAAAATAACTCTCGAACTATCTTAATTTGAAAGAATCATTGAAATTGCCCACGCGGTTCGCAAGATACAGCCGAATTTCCACCGTGTGTTTCGAATAATCACTAAAATCGTATAAGTTTCAGAGCGATTTTAAGGGACTTCTAGCGTGATATCGGCGGGCTGCTAGGTCGCATCTTAGAAAATAACTCTCGAACTATCTAAATTTGAAAGAATCATTGAAATCGCACAAGTGGTTCGCGAGATACAGCCGAATTTCCACCGTGTGTTTCGAAAAATCACTAAAATCGTATAAGTTTCAGAGCGATTTTAAGGCACTTCTAGCGTGATATCGGCGGGCTGCAAGGTCGCATCTTAGAAAATAACTCTCGAACTATCTAAATTTGAAAGAATCATTGAAATTGCACAAGCGGTTCGCAAGATACAGCCGAATTTCCACCGTGTGTTTCGAATAATCACTAAAATCGTATAAGTTTCAGAGCGATTTTAAGGCACTTCTAGCGTGATATCGGCGGGCTGCTAGGTCGCATCTTAGAAAATAACTCTCGAACTATCTAAATTTGAAAGAATCATTGAAATCGCACAAGTGGTTCGCGAGATACAGCCGAATTTCCACCGTGTGTTTCGAAAAATCACTAAAATCGTATAAGTTTCAGAGCGATTTTAAGGCACTTCTAGCGTGATATCGGCGGGCTGCAAGGTCGCATCTTAGAAAATAACTCTCGAACTATCTAAATTTGAAAGAATCATTGAAATTGCACAAGCGGTTCGCAAGATACAGCCGAATTTCCACCGTGTGTTTCGAATAATCACTAAAATCGTATAAGTTTCAGAGCGATTTTAAGGCACTTCTAGCGTGATATCGGCGGGCTGCAAGGTCGCATCTTAGAAAATAACTCTCGAACTATCTAAATTTGAAAGAATCATTGAAATCGCACAAGCGGTTCGCAAGATACAGCCGAATTTCCACCGTGTGTTTCAAAAAAGCACTAAAATCGTATAAGTTGACCGAAAAATATAATTGAATCATAAACTTACCAGTGTACAGCTTATGGGACTGCCAGGCACAACGAGTGCTGTAACTAAACGAAAACATAAATTAAAACAAAAATATTTCATACAATTGAATTATGTTATAATTAACAATCACGAATTAACAATCAACACAAAAAACAATCGGTGCTGTTTAGTTAAAAAATACTTACACGAGCCCGATATACCCGATTAATTTAGTAACTGACATCAAACACAACGCCGAGGGAAGAATGTTATCAAATCCACTATCACGTGACTTGTAATATACAAAACAAACGCGATCAAAAACCGGCATTGCCGAACATTAAACAAATTACTATAGTCGCAAGTGCAAATAAATAGTCGATTGATCTTCATGAATAACACAAATTTAGAATATTGAAGTCCGAATAAACGATATAAGTCTCTCAACACACGACTGGACCAACCAGCGACCGGCACGAAACTGGCTGCAATCCACCGATAGTGCATGCTGAAATAGGCACACGAATTTGCAATAGGCACATAATACCGGTGATCTAAACTAAACTAGACTTCGCTGCATCCAGCAAGTTGATGCGGCGCTAGGAGACAGCGCACGAGACACATGCGTTAAAAACGTTGTTTACACCAAATCGCAAATAACAGCATTGTATACAAAACTATTCTCGTGCCCACGTTAGTCGATAAATATAAAAATAAGCCGTGTAATTCGATTTTATGATTTTTAGTGTATCCTAGTGCCATCTATGAATGTGATAGATACTAGTCCCACAATTTAAACTATTATAACACGGCTCAACAAAAAAAAATTTATTTTTTGCCTAAAGTTTATTTTATGATTTTTGGGTTAATTATGCGCAACAACTACCAGCGAATACCTCATTTTGGTATAAAGTTTGCTTTTGTGATATCTGTAGTAATAATACTCATTTTCAAATCTACTATATAAAAATAAGACGGCTTTTCCTTCCTGTCGCTATAACTCCAGAACGCACCAACCGATTTTCACGGTTTTGCATTTGTTGGATAGGTCTCGGGCTCAGAGAGATATATAACAAAGAAAATGGTAGAAAAATTCGAATAGAAAAGCGGGAAAGCACCAGGGAAAGCACCTGAAGGAACAGGGAAAACATTTGTCATTTCATTGATTTTGTTATTGTAGAAATTACTCGTAATTATTTCTACATGTTAGGTTGGTATCGAGGAGAGAAAAGATTTGATGAAACAATTCGTTAAACAGTTTGGCAATACCTCAGAAGCTTTTACTTATTTGAAAATTTTTTTTCCCAAGTTATCTGAAGCAAAAGTTAAAGCTGGAATTTTTGTTGGCCCGCAAATTAGGCAAATTTACGCCGATGAAAAATTTTCAAAATTGCTGAATCACACCCAAAAAGCAAGTTGGAACAGTTTTAAAGTAGTAGTAACTGGATTCTTAGGAAATAACAAAGCTAAAACTACGAAAAATTAGTTGAAAACATGTTGAAAAATTTTAAGGCCATGGGATGTCTTGCTGGATGTCTTTGAAAGTACATTTGCTTCATCCGCACTTAGATAAGTTCAAAAATAACATGGGGGCATATTCCGAAGAGCAAGGAAAACGTTTTCATCAGGACATCATGCACTTCAAACAACGATATCAAGGCCAGTATAATGAAAATATGATGAGAGACTATATCTGGGGTTTATTGAGAGAAAACAGTTATGATCATAAAAAAAAGGGCAAAAATGTACACTTTTAAACTATTTTTCACTTTTTTATAAGTTATTTTAATAGTAAAAATTCATGCAAATGATAAATTAATTTATTTGTATAGTTCTATCCTTAATTAAACATAAAAATCCCAAATTTTGAAAAATATAGTTAAATCTGAATTCTGAGTACAGAAGCAAACTTCTTTATGTCATATATTTTTTTTTCGTGTAGTTATGACCTAAATTATCGAAATTAAACCTTTAAACGAAAAGGCAAATTTTGTGTTGACCTGTGTAATCAGTAATTAATGTTTCCACGTGTTTCCACTTTTATATGCAGTACATATTGTCAATTAACAAGTACAGCGTCTCTTAAACTATAATATGACGTTATCACAAAAGTAATCAAAGGTTGAAAGTGATTTTAAGGCACTTCTAGTGTGATTCCGCGGGCGGCAAGGCGGCATGGTATAAAATGACTCTCGCCCTATTTTAATTTGAAAGAATCATTGTAATCGCACAAACGGTTCGCGAGATACAGCCGAATATCCACCAAATGTTTCAAAAATGCACAAAAGTGATCAAAGTTTTAGGGTGAGTTTAAGGCACTTCTAGTGTTATTCAAGGGGCGACAAGGTGGCATGGTATAAAATGACTCTCGCCCTATTTAAACAAAAAGAATCTTTGAAATCGCACGAACGGTTCGAGAGATACAGCCGAATTTCCACCGAGTGGTTTTCAAATAGTTTGAAAACTACTGATTTCTTAGGCGGGCAGGGGCCAACAACACTTTTGCAGTAATATTTGAACTAACAGTACAAGACAATGCATACCACGCGGCTAGTTGTTCAACGCGATAAGAAAGTTGTTTACATACTACAACGATAACTAAGAGCCTAGAGCAGAAAATGAAAACAATTCTTGTGTGCAATGTCTACACAAACATAGGTATATTCACAACAATTACAATTAAGAATTGTAAACTTACCAGAATATAACTCCTTAAACCAAAAAACAGAAGGGATACCAAAAACGTGTTGCTTGTTAGTCTCAATTCTTCAATGCCAATGTGCACTATTCACTGAATAGCACACAGCCCACTGATAAAATAAATCTATAGCAAAGCGGAATATGCGACTAGTACAATCGAACACTCGCGTTCGATGGTCAACGAAATATAACGCGAAAAATTGAATTATATAATGCAGACTGGATCGCGAGCCACGAAGAATACGCGCGTGGAATACGCGCGTGCTTACCGGCGGCCGGACTTCAACTGGCCTGAAAACTTGCGCGCCTGGCTCATGCAGCTAGGTGCGCGCATGGCGCATGCGGCTAGATGCGCGCGGTGCACCGCGATAAAAACATTCAACATAAACACAGATAAAAGAGAGCCGAGAAGAAAACGATAACAATTCGAATATGCAAGCATAACAAGTGAAATTTGATGTTTTAATAAAATATAAAATTAAAAATGAATGAATGAATGGACTTTTAAATAATTTTTCCTGTAAATTGAAACGTGCGAATAAGTTAACTCTGTGCGAACAAGAATTTTAACATTCAAATATACGCCATTTTATTATAGCTCTAACAAAATCCCAAAAAAGTATAATACAAAAGTCCTCTACCCGTTTTGTCTACGTACAACTTTTTACACAACAAATAGTTAACAACTAATGTCATTTCAGTATAATAATTAATGTTCATGTGTATCTCTTTCCATTTTCTATCATTGCAAAAACATTTGCAAATTTTTCATCGTTTCGATAATTGCACATGTTTTTCTTCAACGAAATGTATTCAATTTTTATTGCGGATTTGATGCAATTCACTATCTTCATTACTTCATTAGGTAATCGTTATTATTAAATGTACGAAAATCATACGGGGCAATGGCATATCTATAATAATATGATTAATTATTTACGTTACTCGATCTTCTTCATCCCCGCGGTCTCATCGTCGTCGTATATTGCTATTACTTATGGTAAAATTATTTAGTTAAGTAATAAGTAATAATATTAATGATTTATTGTGTTGTCTCCATCATCAAACATCGCTTTTCTATGTCAATTTTAATCCAGTGGCTGCGCCACTCTGCAAAATTTATTACTTAAAAACTTTATATTGTAATATATAAAGTTAAATTACTTTAGTTATTTGCGCTAGTTATTTGTTTTATTCTTCGGGCGTTTTTTGGGGTGGTGAATTGTGATGTTTTGATGATTCTCCTAACACCTTATCGTTTTGTTGATCATGATTTCTTATCAATGTAGATGATAAAAGTAAATTCGTCAGCAGGCACGGATATATATATAATTCATAGGATTAGGACGCTAGGGTGGTAACGGGGTATAGAAAGGGAGACTCGACGATTATACAGTGTGATAATTACAAATGTCCTTATCGCTTAAATCGGAAAATTGAGTTTACATAATTCACGATCACCATAATCATCAGATTTAACCTAGAAATGCTCCGAATAACTGTACAATTGTATATTACAAAGGTTCCATTTTGTTTTACCAATTTTTCTTCATTCTTAGCATGTAAATTTTTATGTAATAGTTATTTTTTTGTTTCTTGTTTGGTTCTACAATTTTTCTTACGAAAACATGACTTGAGCTACGTAAATTTCTGCATGACTAGGAACTAAAAAAGCGACTCTTAGGTTCTTGTTTTCGCGCGATTCTACAATTTTCGATTGTTTTCTTCGTTAATGCTTCATTTTGCTAGCTAGGTTTGTTTTAGTTAAGTAGGTTTCGAAATCTTTGATAGTGTTCAGACTCGTGGCGCTCTCACTCTCAGTCCACGGAGAGCGAAAAGAAGACAAAAGACAATCTAAAAAATGATATGATTCGTGCGATATTTATCTGTTGCGTTCATTTTTCAGTTGAATTATTTTTCATCAGTTCAAAGAGCAGTCTTGGTGATCAACATGTATCTTTTGCGCTTTATTTCTGTATTACTTTTTGTGTGTTTGTGTGTTCAAGTCGCTAAAACTAATTGGTTTCATTATGGATCCTTAATCAATCTGTAAAATGTGCATTTTGTTTCATTGCCGTATGTTTCCTTCATCTTGCCCGTCGTCATTTAAGTACATACAGTTTAAATTAAGTAGATTTCGTTTAGAAACGTCAGTCGTCAGAATATGCCATTGTCTTATCATGATGGATATTCCGTAGTGAGTAGTCTAAGTGGTGAGATCTACAACGAACTAAACGAAGCTTAGAATGTAAAATGGTTAATGCAAAACTTTCATTCAAATTGAATACAGGTAATTTAATTTAGGTAGTTTAATAGTAACTATCGTAGTCATTAAATGTAAGAAATGGTGAATGGGTCGAGTGACAATCATGCCTCAATTTTACTTTTTTTTGCACACTTTATACAATCACCTCTTATCATCGTTTCCTATATAGGTATCATTCGAGTTCTCTTACGTGTTAGTTGTTTAAGTTTAAATGTTTCGATGACGCGCACTTGAATGAATGATGATCGATGCTTAGCGTTAAAATGTTTGATTTAGGATGAAGGTTCAACAATTTTCAACAGTTTTACAGCATTATCTTGCTTACGATTTGCTCTTAATTAATTATTTTAATTAATTAGTGTAGCTTCATTCGTGTGTGCTAAGTTGTACCCCTAGCTCATTGAAATGCCACCTGATTCTCAGCTGATACATATAGTTTGTAAAATTATAAATTTTACTCATTTATGTTATTAGGTAATGCCAAAATTTGACATTTTCTTCGTTCAGTTGCTATCAATGCGGTGGCACTTCTTCTACACTTTTTTTATTCTGTATAATAATATAATTTTTCGGGGTGTATTACTTTTTTGTAAAATATTTGCATTATGAGCATTTTAACATTTCTCGTAGGTATTACTCTCTTTGGTTTTGCTAATTGTACACATTTTTTCGTTAGTTACGATTTTAAGCCTTGTCTGTCCATTAATATTTCTGCGTAGGTTGGATGCTAACAGTGTTCACACAAAATGTTTATGTTTATTATGCTTGCCGCGTCTTGCATTAACAGTTCATATCTTGAAAGTTTCTATGGCTCGGAGTGTCTCGTTTCGCCACCGGGCAACCCGGATGGCACGCGCGCACATTTCACCGGCTTACACGTACCATTCCTTGATGTCCTTGCTGCCGCGCTTCTTCTGCTGCGCGGCGAGTTGCTGTTGAGCGGCGTACGCTTGCTGCTGCATTTGTTGCGTTTTGTCGCCGTTCCTTAGTGCCCCATTTAGAGGGTATTGACCGTTGGTATTGCTGCCGCTACCGGCCGCCGCTCCTAATAGAGCGGCATTGGGCCCTTGTTGTTGGTAGTTCTTGTGTTCCTCCACTTTGTAAGAGGTGTCCCCTCGAGACTTGAACTTGAGTATCACGAGAATTATAAGGATAATCGCGATGAGAGCACCCGCGATGATGCCTATGATTAAGGCGACAATCTCCGATGTTTCAGAACTGACTCGTTCGGGTCGTTTACGCGGGTTTTTAGTTGGAGGGAAAGCAGGATAGTCGATGATAGGTGGAGGATGAGGACGCGTTATAGGCGGTTCAATATACCGTTCGGTGGTTGTTGTGGTTCTCATCTCTGTTGAGGTGAGTGGGGTTGTGTACTTGGTTGTTTCCTGATCAGTGGTACTTGGGGTTTCATGGCGCGTTGTTCCAGTACTTGTTGAAATTCCTGTTGAGGTATGATGACCACCTCCAACACCTGCTGTTCCATCGGCGGTGGTAGTTGTTGAGTGTGTTCCTGTACCCGCAGATGAAGATCCTTCTGTCATCTTTGAGCTGACATCAGTTGTAACAAAACTGGATCCCGATGATGTTTCTGAAAAGTAATATTTTTATAGGACATTGTTGGGGATAAGCAAATATGCATCAATTACCTTTAGAGGTGGTTGTAGTGGTAGAGCCACCATCCTCTGTCACCTCTCCCGAACCGGATCCCGGGAAACAGTCTTCGTCATCGCAGGGCTTACCGTCTTCTTTGGTCTGCTGTCGTCGGGGCGGCTTAGCGGTGGGCGGTGGTCTTGTGGTCGGCGTGTAGACGGGTGTGATGAGGTCATCGTCGCCGGAACCGGACTCTGGCAGCGGGGGGCATTCGTCTTCGTCGTCGCCGTTGCATCCGGACCCGGCGCCGCTGAAGACCAAGTCATCCATCACGCCCGGAAAGCCGGAGGCGGGCGTCTGCAAAACGGCAATTAATCATCACGCGATACCCAGATTCAACATGTGGACCTCAAACATTTACCCACATCACACAGCCGTAAAGGATTGTTTACATGTAATGTGTTTGTGAACAAACATCAAAAGAAAGCGCACGCTACGTACTTGTTGCATCTTCTGCAGAGAATCCGATCCGTGTCGATCTAAAATATTAGATATCAGCTGGACGTCTCCTCTGATGGACGTATGAACATCCTTATCGGCGGCCAGGTCTAAAATTCGCATGCCGTTGACCACCACACCGGAGATTACACCGACGAACGAGCGCTCAATCTTTGACTTGCCCTTGCTCCACTTGCCACCGATCTGAATCTGCGATTGGCTGTTGAATACGTGCAGCTGATGTCCTGGTAACGGAAAGTAGGAAAAAGATTAGTTTAATCGAATCCGCCCGGCAGGACATGAAGAGTGCTATTCAATTACGGGCAAATGGAAGGGAAAGCCGTAAGCTAATATTGAACGTCGTACACATACAGGGTGATAGCAATTTCCAAGTCTATAATCTCATAAAATCAATACCTGTAGGATAAGAATATTGCACATTGTAGTCGTCCACTTGCAGAGTTGAATTTGCCCCGGAGCGTTTGAATCGCACAACATGGTACTGATTATCATTAACCTTCACAGAGATGTCACCGAGCGGATGATCATTTGTGCCAAGGTTGTAGACCATGAAAATGTTACCCTCCACCTGCAAAGCACAATAGAATTTATGTTAAACCAATGTACAAAATAGAGGACAGAATCGTACAATTTCCAATTCGATATAATCATTGGATGTCCCACTGACGATGCGTAACAGAACTGCATCTGCTTTAGTAGTGAGGAACCCTAACGATATGCTGTCTTCTTGTAATTCAGGACGACGGTCTTCCGGATGGGTGTAAGTGACAATTCCTCGATTAGGTCCAAATTCATAAGCAACCGATTCTGGAGACAAAATAAAAATTATCACTTATGATTCAAAGGTTAGAACAATATTTACCATCAGAACATGTGGGACCTGTGAATGTGGTCATCTCACAATCGCAGGTATAAGCATTCCATTGCTGAACACAAAGTCCTCCGTTTGCACAAACATTCTGACTGCATTTTTGTGATTGTCCTGAAATAACATTGTAATACACAAAACAAATTTATTAGCACATTTTGATCCAAACACTCTACATTGGACAGTACTAAATTCTAGTGTGCAAGACCCAATGAAGGCGATGCATACCAGTGTTACCTTCACATCCGGCAGTAACCAAAGAGCTATGAACGACTGCTTCTTCCATAATATTTGGACTCTCTCCATTTAAATCAATTCCAGCTAAGCATCCTTCAAACCCATGTTTAGACCTCACATCATCTTGAGGCAACTGAGCATACAGATCCTTATGCACACCACCTAGATACAAGATTCCATCTAGTTCCAAATTTCCAGTTCCATCATTAGTGGAAACCACAATATCCTCATCAACCATCAATGTGTGTTGTTTCAGAGATGGTCGCCTAATCCCAACAGTATGCCATCTGTTATCATTCAGATTAGTCCGTACTGTGTCTCTGATATGAATCGGCCCATCACCAACGTTGACCACATAGTTAACATGACCTTCAACCAGTTCCACCGCGAGGAAATCCTCTTTCTTCCCTCCATTGAACATGATAAGACCATTAGGTTCCCTTGTTTTGAACATGAAGTCAATATGAATTGAGGAGTAAGCCCGTAGCATTGGCATGCCCATGAATGTGTGTTTTGACCGGAAGGTCACAGGTCGATGCAGATTATCCGTCGCGCGTTTGATAAATTTAGCTGCAACTTTGATATTTGGGAAACCCAGGATTGATTGATCTGAACTAGAGGAGCGTGCTAGCTCGATATAAGGAATGTTGTTCAGATAGAACTGTTGGATATCACCGACAAAGTTGGGAACTGTTGTGGTCATAGAGATTTCTTCTTCCTGGTGATAAAGACCTCCCAGGTGGATTGTGCGCCATTGCAGAGTGTTATACTTTCCAAAGGTTTCAGCTGAAAATACAAATTAATAGCACATGTACTCGTATCTATTGATACAAGTGGAAGACAATTTTTTACCTCTGTTTGGAGGTTGTCCGTCTAGTTGCAGTTTGAGGTTCGCACCGCGCCTGGAGAATTTCACCGTGTGCCATTCGTTGTCGTTCACGTTCTGGCCGGCCATTAAGATCTGAAATTACGATAAATTTCAGGCGACGTTGTAGATTATTTACGGTTTTATTTTTCTCTATACTACGACGGTATTTTTCTTAGTTTAGTTCTCTCAGCCATATGTTTCACTCTCCAAGGGGTCTTCATACTTTGCTCGAGAGTTATCGGGGATATTAAATAATAAACAGGAAAAAATACTCCCAAAAAGTAAAAACATGTTATTATGACCCAGTGCGAAGGCTTTCCTACCTTATCTTTTTCCTTATCTTCCTGCTTCTTGTCTTTGACCCCCAGTCGCAGAGCCATCCTAATTCGCCCGGCGGCAACAGCCAACTCAATGCGATCCCCAGTCTGTACCGTGCTGGTAATCAAGAGTAAACCGAGAGGTTTGCTTGTTCTGAAACGCAGGACGATGTCCTCTGTTTGAGTGAGCTGTTCTTGGTCCATGGTGGCCTCCATGTGTTGACTACCGTTGAAGTTTAACGTTGCTGCTTCTTTCCCGCATGTCGGACCGGTGAACATGGTCTCGGTGCAGTCGCAGACAAAGCGATTCCAGCCCTCGGTGCATACTCCACCATTTAAACATGGTTGCGATGGACATTGTTCCGGAGTTGCGTGGCAGAGAGTTTTAATAGCTCCTGAAACCCAAAGGCAAAAGCAAAATTTAATCACAAGTTATATTCTCTGTTTTTGATTTTACTGTTTTGATGTCGATTATGCTTTTGTTCACGCTGGCAACTTTATTACACAATTTGCGCAATTTATTTATCCGTGGTACGCAGCGTAAACAAATGAACAATGGCCGGGGCAATTTCGTTTGCCCGAAGACATTAATATTAATTCGAGTTTAATTAATTGCTCGGCGGAAAGCCTAAGCAAACAAAACTTTCGCCGTGCGCGCTTTTCCCGATCGGCGTGTTTTCCACCCACATCTTCTCTTTCAACCGTCGGCGAACTTTCACATTAGCTTTCCACCGTCCAGCTTTGACTATCTCGCCGCCTCCAACCGCACATTGTGAGTTGTTAATAGTTTTGATTGAAATTACGCCGGTTCTTGACTTCGGAGACCGAAAAATCTGCGCTGGTGAAACAAATTGGCGCGTTTCACGTGAAGTCTTGGGAAACAAATGGCCGTATAATTAAACGTAATTATAGATCGTTTAAAGGTTTCGATTTATGCAAATTCACGTGATGAATGCCTGCGCTATGGTGAAATGTGCGTTCGGCAAGCTGCGATTTTGCGATACGCGTGTTACGAACATGTGTGTACAAGTAAAGAGTAAAAATTAATCGTTGATAAATTACCGCAAAACACGAAAACTTAAAAAAAGTGTTACAAAAAATATCACATCAATTAAAAACCCAAAAAAAAGTTGTGCTGTTTGTTTGAAAAATTAATTGTGCCGTTCAAACATGATTGACGTTTACATTCTCGCGTTAAATTGTAATCTAAACGGCTGAAACCTGAAACAAAACAGTTTTGTTTCGCACACATGTTATCTCTGCGAGTTTCGAGTATATCCAACTTTTGAAACCCTTTCCATCCGGCGCGCAATTCACGGAAAAGCAGTAACAAAAAATTAAATTGGAAAGGAATAACAGCGACGCTCGAAAAACGCCGCGGATTTCACGAAAATCGGATTGTTACAAATGAAATTTCAGTTTGTGAAAAAAGTTTAACTTTTTCCGTTTTCCAGAGTGTCGGATGTGTGTTGGGTTGGAAAGATAAATGTGCGGAGCAAAATATGAACCTATTCCTCGCTGTTTCTTTCGGACTTTTTATTAAATTTGTTTGTTTTTGGGTTAAAATTTCAGGTTGGAATGAGGTTAGTTAGGACTGAGACTATAAATCGCGAGAGATTATTATCGGTTCGGTTTTCTCTCGAACACTTTCCTTTTTCTTTTATTTTCGTTTCTTTTCTTATTTCTGGTCGGCAGCGTTCATTTTCGGTGGTTAATTTATGTCGGGCCAGATTCGATTTGGACTTTCGGGCGTTCGCCAAAAACTATGGAATTATTGGGATGTAATCGCCTAGCGCCTTTACCGATTTTCTTCATTTTCCACTTCTCTCCTTGATTTTATTTTTGCACTTCGTTTGTGTGCGATCGGGTGGCCAGAAATAATTTGCGGTTCTTCGATTACGCTCCACTGGCCGGCTGAATTCGCTCTCGAATCGACCCGGAATGCGACGACGCTATTCCCGGATATTTTTTCCGGCGTTTCTGCTTGCTTTTCGCATTTCTGTTAGCCGTGATTTAATCGCATCGCATCGCCGTCGAAATTGAATGCCGAATGCGAATGCGCATTGCGATGGCCTGGCCGGGCCAGTAGTCCCGTCGGTAATTGGCGGCTTAATCATTATGCCATCAGGACTGTTTTATTAGAGTGTAATTCGATTAATTAAGGACTGCGACGACTGGGACCGTGCGGCGCCGCCTCGTTTCTCTTCGAGGACTAACCGTGGCGTGGGCGCGGATTAACAGCATCGTCGACATTCGGCATTAAGCTTGTAATGCTTGTTAAATGAATGGAATGCCCAAGGATATATAAATTCAAACATGGAAAGATCAAAATCAACTCAATCTTATTGCACTGTTATTTTGCGTAGATTTGAATGAAAAGTTGCCTAATTAATTGATTTCTTGCATTTTGGACCTGTTATGTGCTAAATCTGCTCAAGATTTACAATTTTACTTAAGAAATAACTTTAAAAAGTGCTAATAATGCCTTTTAGCGCCATATAGGCCCGCATTACATAACTATTACTATGATTTTACCTCTATATCAACTTTCAACCATTAATTTTCAACTTAAAAATTAAATTTTTGCAATAAAAAGTGGCCTATCTGCTTTTCCATGGTCAGAAATATCTTAATACCAAAATTTATCAAGTTTGCTTGAGTGGTTTTTACGTGAAAGAGACACAAACATACAAACACACAATCTCTCATTCCTATTTTTAATAGGGGATATATTAAATGCACCTTAGTTAAAATACAATCCACTTGAACAGCCGCACTTAAGTTTTCATACTTTGCACTAAGAAATTCATATTATGCACTATAGATTGTATAACTTATATTTTAATACAATGCACTTATATAGGTATTCAGGTTTAAGCTTAAATTTGCTTTGAATCAACTTTTTAAATTGAAACTTTATAATTTGTGGTGGTTAGGTAGGGTACCTTGTTTGGTATTATTTGTGGGGCGGTCGGGGGGTTGGGGGTGGTGGTTAGGTAGGCTACCTTATTTGGTATTATTTGTGGGGCGGTTGGGGTGGTCGGGGGTGGTGGTTAGGTAGGCTCCCTTGTTTGGTATTATTTGTGGGGAGGTTGGGGGGGGGGGGGTGGGGGGTGGGGGTGGTGGTTAGGTAGGCTACCTTGTTTGGTATTATTTGAGGGGCGGTGGGGGGGGGGGGTGATAGAAGGGGCCGGCTAAGAGTACGGCACGTACTTAATACTGCAAGTTTTATAAGTGCAAAGTATTAATTTCATAGTGCAAAGCATTTTATTCAAGTGGAATTCATTTTTCAAAGTGCAAATATTTATTTTTAAGTTCAGTTCTGTATTTTTAAGTGCAAACATTAATTATAAGTGCATTTCATGAATTGACAAGTTAAAAATCGAAAAAATAAAGTTTGTTTAATTGCATGCCTTTTTAATATTAGTTTGAATATTATATGCTCGGTTATTCCAGCAATGCAGAATCATAAAATTTTTATAATTTTTATTTCTAAAATTTAACTCACCGGAATCTTGCTCTCTGGCGTATCCGCTAACGTCGACCGGTTCGTTATTCATGACCAGATCCTTGAAGCACCCAACGAAGCCCTGCTGCAGGACTGCGGTCCACAATCCGGACGGCACTGGCACGTCCGTGAATGGCGGTCCAAGCCCACCGACATACAGATTTCCGTCCAGTTCCAGACTAGTTGAGCCCTCTGTGAAAAAAAGCAAAGAAAACGATTTCATACTAGATTTGTCATATAATAATCCTCGAAAACCCCAGAGACGTTTTATATCTTGAAGGATTTTAAGATTTTATTGGAACAGAACGCATTTTTTACCAGCGGCGTAGTGGCCATCGCATTTGCGAACTAAGCTGACAATTGAAGGACATTGCAGACACACTGCGGGCTTTTCAGAAGGACGATCAAAGATACGCGTTGAGGAATTCGCAAAGATAGGTGGTGGGCGGTCTTACCGGGTGTCTTGAAATCCGTGTGAAAACCTTCCACGGTGATACGAGCATCGCGCCCCGCGCGTCTGAATGCGACCTCGTGCCATTTCCCGTCGTCGATTCGTCGTCGCGACGCTCGCTGCTTCGCAGGCCCAGCGCCTAGATCCAGATGCACGTAGATGTGCCCATTGAAGACTTCAATCGCAAACAGATCAGCCTAAAGTGGTCAACATCAACAGTTATATTACATAATACAGCACACAATGAATGTCAATAATTACTCTTGGTCGTCGTATGCCGCCATTGAATAGGATCAAACCGTTGGATTCGTTTGTGCGAAACTTGAAGGTTATGCTGCCGCTTTTCTTTGCATTCCACGCAGGCAGGATCTAATTTGAAGACATTGTAGATAAAGAATGAGAACGAGTTTGTTTTATTTGTTGGTAGTTTCGCGTCCGTATGATGTGAATGGTATGCAAGATGGCGTGTGATGTGCGCGAAAATGGAGGAAATGCGCTCGCCAAGAAAAAGTAGGTTATGTGAGCGCTTAGTCTTTTTAATGGTTTTCCTCTTTGCTGGGGCCTTCTTTTGAGCAGACGGACTCAAAGTCGAAGAGAAAACTCTTCTTTTTCTACAAATACCGCGCAGGAAATAATTTTGGCTTTGTACTCGGTGGAAAAATGCGTCAAACTTAACTTCAAAGAAAACACTTCCGGTATTTTAATGTGTTTTTAATAATGGCTCAGTAGATCTGTTAAAAATTTACTTTTTGTGATGTTTTGAGGTTAGAAATCACAAAATGTCATAGAATTAATAAAAATCTATTTTAAAGGTTTTTTGAGGTTAGAAAACACAAAATGCATAGCAATTAATAGTGTTTCACTAATTGTTGAATATTGTGTGAAATTCCATGGTGGATTTTATTTGTTCAGTTGCTTTTAGTATATTGCTAGTCGCAACGCGAATTTCAGAATGTCATTAGGCGAATTGGCAACGAGTTGTTGGCGAATGCAAAATGGCTAACGTGCGTCTTGTCCCATTCGCTCACATTTGCGCATGTGAAAATATCACAAATGTGGAGAAACGTCGAGTACGTCGAAAAAGTTCGTCGCGCGAACCGCTTGCGAAAACATTCGAAGCGCTTCTGCACTCGCACTTAGACTCATACAAGCGGAACCGCGGTGTTTCTGTGTATGATGGTCGGGTTGGGCGCTTGGGTTTTGCTTACCAAATGCGATTCCCTCGTCGTGAACGTAATGGGATCGTGCGTCTCGCCCGACGGGCATTTGTATTCGAGCCGGCCGACGACCTGAATCAGATCGTTGCCGGATCGCCCCAGTTCTAGCAGATTCAATCGCAGCGTGTCCGCCACGAACTCCACCTGCGAAAAACATCCACGTTCAGATTGCGGAAAAAGTTTTTAGCAAACGGTCGCATTAAAACGAATTATGTGTGCGAAACTAAACGCGCAAGTGTCATTATTTTACAAACTGTCAAAGGTGTCTTTGCCAAATGGCAAAAGGAATTATTCCAAAAATTTTAATCCTAAATTTTTAAAAATATACTTTTAATATATAATATATTATAAAATTATTTTCTTTGTTGTTGGTTAAATACAAAGCACAAAGCCTGAAAACCTTTTTGGTTTACACAAAAAAAGGAAATAAATTAAAACCTTTTTTCGGCACACAAAGGAGAGAATACACCCGGGTGTTTGTTGTTAGCTAAACACAGTTGCTAGTGTTATAACGCATTGCATACGGGCTGGTGGCGCGTGGGCGAATTGATAAATACCTTTCGCATGCATCCCACGTAGTTGGTGTGAACGCGCGAGCCGGGTAGCGAGCGCACGTTGATGCTGCCACCCACGTACAGCCGGCTCGACGAGAGCATCGTGAACTTGCCGGCGATATGCGAGTGGTCGGCGTAGACGCCATCCACAACTGCCGACAACTGCAAAATGAAAAAAAAGTGTAAAAAATCTGTTTTCTGTGTCAATATTCCATGTTTGTTGAAAATTAAAAATATCGTGTTTACGTAAACGTCGGATTGTTGTTGGATAACATTAGATAATGTTGTAGTACGTGATGTTTGATGCAGGCTAACTGATCGCCTTCAATTATGCCAAATTGGTTCCTCTAACTGCGCGCGAACATGCGAGCGTTGAACAATTTACACTTGCATTCATCGCAACTCGCGCGCGATAGATAGGAATATCTAATATCTCAAACGCGTTGCGTTCAACTGCCATGGATGTGTGTAGTTATCCTTCATTTCCGGTTTCGAATGGAGATAAACAAATATCACACGATAGGCAAAACAGGTTACTCACCCGACAGAAACTGGTTATTGCTGAAATCTGCAAAACAAAAACCGAAAAATTAATTTTTAATTTTTTCCAAAACAATTTTATATTTACCTCTTGAATTCGCCGATGAACACTAACTTTATGCCATTGATTGTCGTCAAAACGCACTTTGTTTGGTCGTATCTGCATTTCCTGTTTCCCATTAGCAAGACCCATTGTAAGCATCAAGCAGCCATCTTTAATGGCGACGTTCAGATAATCATTGTTATCTCCTGTGTTAAAAAATATTCTTTGTAGTTTCTATATAGTTATTCACATCAGTGGAGTGAATTAGGATGTTTCCTTTCGGAATGCGATTTGCAGGACGATTTGAAAGCCCTAACGGAAGCGGGAGTGAAAATAAATGCGCTGAATAAATAGACTGCTGTGAGCGAGCAGCGGTGCGCGCCGGCGAAAAGGTAAACGCACCTGACTGCGCTTCCCACTACCGCCTCCGCCGCCACCGCTACCGCTGTCGTCTCGTATTAACTGAGATAATTGGAAGGACTTAATTAAAAGCGCGCTGGCTAAATGAATGCGCATAAAAGGTTAGAGGCTGATGGCGGTGGCTATATTCACCACGTTTAACATTCAATACGAGTAAAGTATGTTAAAATTATTTACATTTATATTTTGAATACTCTGTATAATCAGCAAGAAGGAATTGAAATGTGTTAATTTTCAAAACCACGCAAAACTAAATTTTGAAATGTTTGAGGAACAATGTATAGAGCTAAGATCTAGTTCGATAAAGAAGTTTAGTCACGGCCGTGTGTGACTAAAGTGCCACTTTCTGTTGAAACCGTGCAAAAAGTAAAAAAACAATATTTTTGAATGGCAATATTGTTTAAAGTTCTAAATTTTGTGCTACAACTATGATCTATCGTGAATAATGAAAAATGAATGATCCTTGTTTTACCTGTACCTGTATAGAACAACAACCCATTGGGTTGTCGTGTCTTGAAGTAAAACGTAACGGAATCCTGTGCGCTGACAATAGGCTCCCCACCTTTCTTGGTCAAATCGTAAGATAAATACTCAGCGCCGTGGAAAACCGCCTCAGATGGTGCCTTATCTGCAAAACAACAAAAAAAAATCACATAAAAGTTAATAACCAGTAAACATTCAATCATCCTCGTATAATTATAGTCTTTTTTGACTCTAGGGTTGTAAACATGATGTAGTTTTGCTTAAAGTGCATGTAATATCGTTACGCCGGAAAATTAGAAGTTCATCAACCTCGCACACGCTGTAGCCGCGCTCGATTGCCACTCTTTTCGCTTCCGCACGTTTTTCCCGGCTTCTAACCCCACGGCTCGGCCTCGTTTCGGGCCATTATGAAAGTCAATATGGCCGTCGTCCGCGGCCGGCAGCACTTACGCCGCTGCACTTAGCGCAACACACAACAACACGGCACCGAGTGCATGCGTCCTCGAAACATTAAAACTCGAGCCGAGGGTCCTTAAAGGACGCCCAACGAGGCTTAATAATGGCGCCGTCCACCGGGGGGTAACGCAGGAGTCCGAGTTGAATTAGGCGCTAGTTATGTGGGAATTATGTAAGGGCCACAATAATGCGTGATAATGGCCAGAAAACGCGACATGGGAAGTTTTCTAGTGCTACGGAGCCTTGTTTTTTGCATTTACAAATTAGAAATGGTATAATGTAGAATTACATTTGGGAGTTGGCGCGTTGATTAGTTATTAATTAACATAGAGAATTACATTGCACACTTTAAACTACATTAAATTAAATTAACTTAAAATTGCAACAGATTTTAAATATTTTACGTTTGTATTTTTATTTTTCATATTTTTGAAAATGTTTTTTTTATATTTTTCACTGTTTTTTTAATTATTTCAAGTATTTTCTCATCTTTTTCAAATTTTAAATGCTGCAACCTTATAAAAAACACCGTTAAATGTAATTTTTCTTCTTAATTTGTCTTTTTTTACCAAAATAATTCAATTTTCATGATTTTTAATTTTTAACATTTATCTCCAGTCCATATAACAAGAAAAATATTGAAAAATATTAAAAAATAACATTTAAGTATTTATTTGTTTTTAATTTAAAAAAATAAATTAAATTTAGTTAATAATTACTTTCCAACGAATATTTTTGTTAAAAAACCAACAAAATTTTACATAAAAATCTAAAAAATATGTTTTTGCCAGATTAAACCCTCTACAACACAAATATTAGTATTTAATTAAGTAATTGACTAAAATCATTACTATCATGTTGTTTGTTTTGTCGGTTTGTTGTCATGTTGGTCGTTTGTAAATAATACGAAAATGTTGTAAATTGTAGTCAAGCGACATGGCCGTTCATGTCAAACTGTTTTTAACATTTCCACCGCTAGTAGTGGTGGCGATAGGCCAACGCGAGCACATGGTTTCGACACATGCCGCAGTACAAAGACATAAAAGATTTAATCAACTCGCAGTGCGTTTGGGGGCGGCAGCGGTGGCGGCGGGAGAGAACGCAGAGTCGACGCCTGCAGCAGTGGCGTCGAAGCCAACTTTATTACTAGCATGCAATAACTCATTAGCGATGAGCGATGGGGGTAATATTACGGATGCGCCGCCTCCCTTGCTGGCCACTGCTGCCGCCGCTATCGCCCTCAAACACCACGAATCAATAACACAATAACTGCGGGTCGACAACAAGCTAATTATATTTTTTTTAATTAGAATTAAAAGCTTTCAATTAAATATTAATATTTGTATATAAAAAAGAAAAGTGTTAGTTAGAGCATTTCTAATTCAAGAACGGATGGACAGATTTTGATTATCAATGATTTGCTGGATTTTTCTTTGACCCAAATAGCAGAATAACTATTAAAATATTAAAAATTGAGATATACAGGGTGTTAAACAAGAGATTAAAATTTATATAGAGGTTAAATGGTAGTTATAGTTGAATAATTCAATCAGAGATGGCGTTAAACTGCTTTAATAGCATTTTTCATTTCTATAAAATAAAATTGCTGATATTATTGAATGATCGACTAATACAAGGTCCAAAATTCAAGAAAACAAATATTAATTAAATTTTAAATAAAATGTCCACCCCTAAAGTTGCTGGTATAAACAATTTATAAATAAAAAACAAGATAATTAATCATCATTATTGTCACGTTGAATAAATTCATCGATTAATATTTGAGTAGATATTCGAGTCAAGTTTGTTGTGCAATAATTAATTAGCTCTCACACTTGTTTCAGACAGTCGCAAAACTTGCGGTAAGTTTTCGTTGCATTTACTTTCGCGTCGTCGTCGTGGAGGCGGGCGGCGCCGCCACTATTAATATCTATTAGTAGACACATAATGCACTGGAATACGAGTACGTATTCCTGCGTTGCGGTAAGACGTCCCCACCGAATGCGCTATTAAATCATGCAAGAGTTTACCAGTTTACGTAAGCTTGATTAATTATTGAATTATTTTAGTGTAGCTTTAATATGGGTTGATTTACGTAACCATTTTTACCTCAAATTATACCTTTGTAATTTCAGAAACGATAAAATGTATAAAAACGTTGAAATTAATTGGATTGGTAGATCTGTAGATTTTAAAGAGATCGGTAAAAATAATTTGATTTATATTATCAGACGAAGTCATTTACCGTTTAGTATTAGACCGCCGTAAAAAGCGAGAAACTCGTTTTACGTGCCATAAAGTAATCTAAAAGCCGTCTGCGGCGAAACACGGACAAAACATCATGCGCAAATCGTGTAGACGTTTTGCTAGGCTGAATTTGCGGTCGGGCGACCGTATAAATGGGGCGAATCTTTAGTACTCGCTTTGCTGGCTCGCTGGGCGCGGTGGTAGATATGTAAAGCCGAACCTCTTTGATTTAATGAATCTTATGTGTGCGTCTCTGCGGTGTCTAGACATTTCGAAAATCTGCCATCACAAATAATCGAGTTAATTTGCGTCGTTTTGCTCATCGACAGATCTCTATCAGTCTTTGAGGTTATTTTTTTAGTAAATCGTTAGTAGATGTTATGTTAGGTTATTTTAGGTTAGGTTAGGTTAGGTTAGGTTAGGTTAGGTTAGGTTAGGTTAGGTTAGGTTAGGTTAAATTAGGTTATGTTAGGTTTAATTAATTTTTGACGTTTGTTCATTGACAGATTTTTATCAGTTTTGAAATTAGAATTACTAAATCTTTAATTGAGGTTATGTTGTTCACATATAATATTTACTTTAAAACCGATTGTTTTTTTTTGGTCTAGGCGGTAAATATTTTATGCGCCAAGATGAAATGCGAACGCGCAAAGCAAAACGCGCGACTTAACGAAAACGGACGGCGATGGCGTCCAATGGCGTCCAATAACCGTGGCGTGTCATGTCTGCCAGACGTGCGCGCCTCTACGTGCATGACGTGTTCTACGCGCCAAATACTATCCTCGAAGGCGGCGGCGTCGGTGATTTATTTATTCATCCAAGGCGAACGTTTGTGAGCAAACCGAACGCGCAACGATTTTCTCATTTCGAATTGTTTGCGCCACGTTTTTTTCCCCCCGAAACGTGTCAACATCAACATAACCTCAAACGCAGCATTACCGTCAGTTTTCATATAAATTCAAAGTGAATTAGATTGCAGGTTAGGTATAGTTTTGTTTGAGGTTGGAAGATTTGCTCGAATGAATTGTCGCAGTGTCGCAGGATTGAAAATTAGTCAATTAACACTTAGTAAATTAAGTCCTGGAGCCCGGGTTGTTTGTCACGCGGCGATTAGACAACTAGGGTCGTCGGGCCCTATCCTTTCTGGATGTTAAACAAACCACGACTCAATCTTTAACTCAACACTATTCCACCGGACCTCTAACTTCACAAAACATTTACTCACATTTAAACAGAAAGTATTAAACATTTTTTTGTTGGATTTAATTTTTTTCGTCGTTTCAAACTGTTTGCGTTGTTATTATTTAACAGAGGGCGCTGTTGGCGAATAATAATCCGCTTAACCGTGCCCGAGTTGCGCGAGTTTCAATCCGCAAAGCATAATTCCCTCCATTTACTGTTTTGCGTATTTCGTATTTTGCGCGGTTGTTATTATTATTATTTTCGTTTTCATCTGCATGCCAAAGCGAGAGACACTGCACGCTAATTGGCCACCGTTGGCGCACAAATATTGTCATGGGTTGGGGGATGAGAGAGTTTTAAAAGTGCGCTTAAAACGTATACTTCACAACTTGCTTCGTGCCGAAACGATCGACTACGAGCGCGCCGTTAATTGCGATTTGTATTTCATAGAAATAATCTTCTTACAGACATGCACACAGGCAGGAGTCAAGCGCAAATCGTTAATTGTGTGCTCATTCCAATGTTCTGCTCCTGCTCCCAATCCGTCGATCTTGAATAATCGACCGAGTTTTCAAGAGGCGCCATCTCGTTATGAATAGTCATTAAAACTGCCACACATATATATTTTGTTATATAATTTTATTTTGTTTTGTATTTTGTATTTATTTTGATCTAGATTAATTTTTTCCGTGCAGTTCTCTTCTCAAGTGTTTATTTCATTGTTTGACTCCGGTTCACTAGCAGCTAGCTTTTAGGTTTTCATCCCTCAAGTATACAACATACACTTGTTCTTGTTGTTTTTTCTTCATTTTTTCTTGTTTTCCACTTTTCAGTTTCCACTTGTGTTACTTTCTGTCTGAAGTAAAGAACACGCTCGTATTTTCAATTCAGTGTACATCTGCCGAGTCATACGTGACTCGGGTCCTCGGTGTTGTTCTCAGCGTGCTCATCTCTCTTACAGTCAAGTCGTGTAACGCTCGCAAGCCTCGAGAGTTTTTCATTAAGAAAGCGCATTTATCACCATCGCGCAGGCGGGTCGCGTTCGCCGATCGAGTTTCATTACGGATGGGAAAAATGCACTATTGCGACATGACCTAAACTAATATTAATATTTTTCAATTTGTTTGCTATTTCCCATTTTTCTTTTTATTTTATTAACAAAATTCTCCTTCTTTGCGTAATTTGAATATTTTATGTGCCAAATCCGTCAAAAAATTTTCAATTTAAATTTAAATAAATAAAAACGAAGAAAATGTAAATAATGCACTCTAGCGCCATCTAGATATAAATTAAATAACTATAACTATGATTGAATCTGCATATCTACTTTAATTGCATATTTTACACCCTTAAAGTTCTATTTTTGCAACAAAAATACCTTAACCTCTATTTCGATAAATAAACTATAAAATTGTACATTTTTATGAACATTTGCCCAATTGTTTTCACGTGAAATCGTTACAAACACACATAAATCCTCAATATTTAACTCTTGATTGTTTTTTGATTGATTTCATTTAATAATTCCTAAAATTCGATAAACAATAACAAATTCATTGGCATTTATATATTGTAAAATTCAACAAAATATTTTTTTTTCCATTCGTGATTTAAACTTCCTCCCCATCGTTGTGAATTGGGAGTTTCTTGTCGAATGGATGAAATAGATTTAAATCTCGTTGAGCACGGCGTGGAAGCATCCTTAGAATATATTCATGCGTTGGATATCTTGGTGAAAGGGACGTCTCTTTATGCGCTAGTTGCGCCTTTTCGGCGCCACGTTGGAAAGCCGGAAAATGAGATAGTTTCTATGTGCTCGAGCGCAATAAGTAAAAATTGAAAACGTCCGAATTGAATCGAAAGCAAAAGTAGCTAAGAAAAACGAATCTTTGGATTAAATCCGAAAAAGATGATAAATTATGTTTCCGTTCGGATATCAAAGGCGGAAATATTAAATGTAATAAATATGATTAAAGTCATCCCGGCATAGAATTTGAAATTATGATCGAATCTCTTTAGGGAAACGTCATTAATCTGTAAAGATGCGGTAGATGTTAATTATTGATATGCAGATTTCTCATCGCTGCTTCATTCCGGCTTTGTGCCTGGTTGACCTATGCAAAGTTCACTTCATTGAACACCCCTCGACGTGAAATCCGGAAGTAGTAAAGGTCCATCTCGAATGGAAAACAGGGGTGGGAATTGGGATGCGCGGAGAAAATGCGACCAAAAAGTGAACATAAACTGAACCATCGACTACAACCCAAAAGGGTTCTATATAGACAACCCTTTTGACCCCAATACCACCCATAACACAAAATCAAAATCAGTGATTTTTTTTGCTTTCATTTAAGGCTTAATATTTTATAAAAACTAATTTTTATGATGTTTTTAAAGGAATTTTTAAGGATTGGTTTGGAGTAGTTTAGTGGTTATCCTGGACAATGATTGGAATTCCTGAAGCAGGACACAAATTACGTTCACGAGCATAGCTTTTGTTCTGCTCTCATTCTGTTCGGGAGGCTGGAGGGGTGGAAATTTATGTGCCAGGTACCACACATACTTCCACTGGCGACTGGGTGTGAGAGGAGGGTTCTGGCAGGAGTCCATTCCGTTTTCGGGCCTAGATGTTTCCGCATCTTTTCGGATCGCGCGCGCACACCCGCACCAAGCCCCGCTAGTGAAATATAAGCGACGGGCGACGTAATAGTCTCGCGCATTCGGTCGTTGCGTAAATTCACTCCTCGACCCGCCTGTAACTTGCAGGCACATATTATAAACCAAACAAAAAATAGACCAAAAGAAAACAAATAGGAATGTAGTTGTAAACATAAACATTTTCCCTTCTTGTTTCTGTTGGTATATTTTTTTAATTCTTGATCTTTAGTTATTTTTCTTTGTGTTTTTTTATGAAAAACTTCTACTCGAGGAGTAGAAAGGTGTTCGATCGATAATGCTTGAAGTTTCTGATAGTCTGGCATAGGTCCTAGTGGCCCTAGTCCTATATCCTGCAAGAAGAGCTACTACACCGGTACGGACTATAAAATAAAGACCATAACAATATATTGCACGTTTCTTCCGCGCTTTTTTACTCAGCCGCCTGCCACTAGTTCGGCGCGGTTCTTTTTTTTCGTTTTGCGTCCTCGTTTTACTTCACAGCGTCTTTAGTGGCGCAGCGTGGTAGTAAAGCTATTGGGTTGCATTGTTTCACGCCTGAATCCTTTGGAATTCATGCAGATTTATTGAGTCGTTATTTTGCCAACCGCTCAAGACGAGATTGAGACGTATAAAACATCTGTCTACAAATTTGTTCTATTGAGGAGTTTATCGTAAAATGTCATCGGTGAATAACAAATTGTGATTTGTATTTTATTTTAAATTAGTTTTTACGTTGATTTACATAAATTAAAATAAAAATTCTCAATTTTAATTTAAAGAAATGAGAAATACTAATACCTAATGTCTTTTACCGCCATCCGGTTTTGAATTTTATAACTTTAAATATAAATAAATTACCATATTAACTTTCATCCCCTATTTTACACCCTTAAAACTTAATTTTTGCAACGAAAGTACCTTATACTCTATTCTATTGTATAATCTATAACTTCACTAAGTTTTATCTGAATTACTTCAGTGGTTTTTGTGTTATCAAGCAACGAACATACATTAATAATATTATTGTGTAAATTTAATCACGATTGAGGTCAGCAGCGGACATTTTTATAAAAGAGTCCAAGTAATGTTGGTCCTAAATCAACAAGACATGAACATTAGACAACAACGCGGTTTTTCTTTACTGGGTCGGTGGTTTCTGTGGTTTTTCGGATGTTTTGTTTGTGTTCGAAAAGGGTTGTGCTTACATAGCATTACATTACATCACATTTCATCCGACTGTTGGCGCTTATTTTGCGGCTTTTTTCTTTCACATTAGTCAAAAACCAAAAAAAAACAATTTCAATTTTAAAATTTCACCCCCATTTACATTTTCACCGAATATTTTAGTGTTAAATTGATATTTTATGGGGGATGTGTATATGCGTCGTCCTACTAATTATGGATCGCACTTGATAATGCGCAACACGACTCGGAACACATTGATGCCAATTTTCGCATTTGAATGCGGCACGCGCTATTCGAATGCCGAGGCGAAGTAATTCATGCGAGGGGTGCGTGGAACACTAGAACGCCGAAACAGATTATTAATTATCCGGGAATAATCTATCCATACATCTATTACGACCACACTCTAACGCGGCGCCACGAGCAATTCGCTTGTATATTGCCATTTCGTACTTCGCTGTTCTCATCCCTTAATCTCATCTTCAGCCCGCAGCTCTCGAACGGATATATAGTGGTGTTTTGTCTATTTGCTTGTGAATACCATTCTGGTTTTAGTCTTGTAAACGTTCATCAATAAAAGAGGACGTTGTGGCGTGACAATATGCATGTTTTAGGGATGGTTGGGTTTGGGGTAGTTGGGGGATGAGGGTGCGCGCTCAATACAAGCGTGAAAACATGTGTACCAGCGTACGGATGTGCAACAATTTCAATTATTTCCACGATTGCAACGATTTCCACAATTTTGTTCAGTCACACTTGGTGGCGACGAGTTTTCCACCACTACCGCCACCGCCATGTTCGTGTGGGAAATTTATCAGTTGGAACATGCATTTACGTTTAACTAGCGTAACACGTAACAAATTTTTTATTTTTTAAATTTTTTGATTTTAGTTTTTAAATTAGGTTATGTTAGGTTATGTTAGGTTAGATCCAATGTTATTATACTGAGCAAATTAAAATGGCATATAAATATAGGGTTCTCGCTAAAGCCAATGGCAATATTAATTTAATTAATAACGCTGACAGCGATGGCTGCCTGCCCGCCTGGTAGGCGGCAGGCAATTGCAAATTGGACGCAAACGAGTTTCTCAATTTCAATTGCACACGTGCCGCCAGCGCTAATGCGAAACACGTTAATGCACGCCGTGCTACAAATGGGGAAGGAATTAAGAGAATTAGCGAGTACGCCGCCTCCAGCCGCCGCCGGCCTCCACCTCACGGCATACATTTCGACAATTACTGCAATTATCAGACTCGTTAATAGATATGCTACATATTTTATTATTTCCCAGAACATATGTGAGCTATATTTACTTGTATGTAAATTGTATCGATTTTTAAACAATGTTTTTCTTATTTTTTAATAACTCTAGGGAAATATCTCTGGGTTAGCAAAGCGTAAAGTTTACGTTGTGCTCGCAAACAAATTAGAAAAGCAGAATTTGCAAAGGGCACAAAACACAATCCGGCAGCTTTTCGTGCTCGCCGCCACCGCCACCACCCGCGGATTAATTAATAGCGAAGAAATTGCGAGGCGGCACTAACTCTCACTTCGAGAGTCGAGCATTTAATTAATCCGCTTTTCGCCTCTTTGCCTCTTTGCCCTTCCTTTGGGGGTGTGGGCGGCGTGGAGAAAATCGTGCATCGTGCACATCGTGCGGTTTGTGCGCCGTGAGGATTCAGCGTGTTTCGTGCAGATGTAAGGGCTTGTAACGTCGCTATCGGTCCCGCCACTTCAGCCGCCACACATCGTCGCCGCAATGAGCGGTAATGGCAGCGAGAATAGCGACGTCGTCGCCGTGGCATAATGTAATATCGTTAATAACGTCGCGTACTCGCGTCGCGAAGATAACGCGAATTACGATTGCCGCCCCCAGCCGCCGACCCCCATCGAGGCGATAACACGTATGCATGTACTGTGCCAAAGCGATTTATTCCTCACCTCAAATTACTTCCGCGTTTGTGTATTTTATTGACAGATTGCAACTCTGTGTGCTGAGATTTGACAATTTACGAACGAGTACTAAGTGGGTTAAGCAGTTAAGTTAGGCAACACAATGTACAATCAACCCAAAGTACGCATATTAGTGAATATTTGCATTCATTAATTAATTTTTTATATTGTTTGGGTAATAATAATAATAAACTCACCCTTTTCGCAATATTCGCCTTCGTAGTCGGGATTGCGGCACTCGCAGATGGGGCCGCTGTCAGTGGATATGCAGATGCCGCCATGTTGACACGGGTCGCGTATCTCGCACGCGTCGCTGCTATTCCCCTTCAGCATCTGCAGAATCATAAACAACCCTTTTATTATCACAATTTTCGCAAACAAAACATTCATATTAGACCTCAGCAGCGTATTACATTCATTTAATAGGCTACTGATATTTTTACTCATCAACAACAGATGGCAATAGTATTTTCTTTCTTGTTTCTTGTTAAATTTGGTTAAAAAATAAATTAAAAGACAAAATGCACTTTTGCGTCATCTGGGTTCAAATTATAAAACTATAAATATGATTAAATATACATTCAAACTTTCATCCCTTATTATTAACCCTTAAAAATATTTCTTTGCAACAAAAAGCAGTCTATATTATTTTCCATGGTCAAGAATATCTCTATACCTTAATTTATCAACAATGATCCAATGGTTTTCGTGTAAAAGCGTAACAAACAAACATAAAAACACAAATTCGTATCTATTATATTACAGGATAATAAATTTCTATAGATTTTCACGTGTAGTGATTGACACAATGACGGAAATGAAATTTTTTACGATTTTGTGCACTTTTGAAGCCTTTAATTGCCCATTCTAAACCTTTTAGTTTTACGCCCAGATTAACTACATGAAGCCATTTTCTTACTAAACTACTGCTGAATTTCCATCACAACATGCAAGCAGCCCATATCGTCACTAAGATCGTCTAGCGTTTACACCAATCACAAATCAAGTCACCAAGGTTTAACGATCTTTTTAACCTCAACCAGAAAGTTCACAAACTACACCGAAACTATTCCCAAGCCTGCGAAGTTATTTTAATTATTTTAATTGCATCACCTAATTGGCAACAAATTATCCACATCTACAAGTGGAAAATTGCAATATTTCTACTCAATTTAATCCGAACAACCGAACAACATAATTACGCCTAGTATAACAACAACAGCAAGAAAATTTAGTTGTGAAAGTAGTTAACAGGTGGTGTAGCAAGTCAGTGTATACTTGGTTGCCTATATTATAAACTACTCAATCATTCTCGCTTATTTTGTTTAACTTAATCAACGAGCACTAAAATATTACTGTAAAATTATAAACTTTATTATCGCAGATTGTTTAATAGATTTTATAACAATGATAAATGCTTCGCTTGGAATTTTGCGAGTTGGCGTGTGTGAGTCGAAGGCAAAACTAAAGAAAAATACATAAAGGCGTTCTCCGTGACCCAGTTTGCTTTAAATACACTTGATACAACTTGATTATGCGAACACAAAAATTCCACCGAGTGTTTAATAATTTAAATTATGTTAAATCAAAATTTTCGGTTTGAATGATGCGAAATATACAAGTATTGTGTGTTTTTTGCGGTATCGTTTCGTGGCTTGCTTTCGTCCGTCCAATAATGAGTTATTTATTGCGCTTAGATGCAAGAACTAGTTGGAAATATGCCGGCGGTACCAGTGAATAATGCAGCGGGCAAACAGACCACCGACGCAGGATGCATTCGCGAGGATTTATTCGTCGGTTCTCTTGTTTGCTTGTTTGCATTCGTTTCTACTTAGTTGCAATTTTTTCCTTCTTCTCTCACTCACTTCCTTTGTGTGTATGTTTTCAATTCATGCTGGTTATAGTCTCATAGTTCTTGCTTTTTATGTTTTTCCTTTGCTCTTTTCTTCTCTGATAGTTTTCTACTTACAGTAAGCGCTGTTGCTGATTTTGTTCTTTTTCATCTTTTGTTCCATCTCGGATGGAAAGTAGGTGTCTACTTTACACACGGGATTTTCTCGATACTATAAAACAAACAACTGCATATCTCCGGAAAATGCAAGCCCTGCTGCATTCAGCATGAAGACGTCTGAGTGCAACACAACGCGTTATCAAGTTTGAGAGCAAAGTGTAAACGAGAGATTTTTACATCGATTTTACTCGTTTCCATTGTATTCCTTTGCGTCGCTGTCTGCCGATAAGCGCTTTATCGCTTTATTTTACTGTTTGCTGCAGAGATATACTCGTGATACTCGTCTGCTTGTACAACGAATCAATTTTTATGTTTATGTTATGCTAGGTTATGCATGCATAGCTATCGCGTCGACTGTAGGCAACCGGGTGTGCATAATGCAATCACCAGTGCATGTGCGCTTGCATATGTTATGCGCGTCGTTTATTTTAATAGCATATCATTCATAGACACATAAATATAGAGCATATTTTTAATATTTTGTGCGTTATGGTTTTAATATTTAATATCATGGGGAAAATTTTCGTATCCGTATCCATAACGGTCCTCGGATCGGATTGCTAAAAATAATCCGGTTAATTATAATTTATGAATATTTATGGCAGGATGGTGCGCCGGAGGACTAACAACTCGGGATGTTTTATCCTCTCGTCCTATCGTTAGTCCTGTCTCATCCTTTCGCTCGTTTTCATGTTTTATTCGTTTTCGTTTCGCGCGTATTATAATTTCCACCCGTTCAAGTTTTCTTTTAGTTCCTCGGACAGTTTATCATCTCTTGCTGGCTGAGAATTAATTTTCTTTTTTAAAAATACATATTTTACCATGTGTCACCCAGTAAGATGACAAGATTTATTATTTTAAAATTTAATTAAAGTAATTTTTGTGATTGAAAACAAATTTGTTTTATTTTGTCGTTAAAATTTAAGGATTAAGCAAAGTTTGACATTCGAAAGAAAATGTGAAATTTAGAACTGTTGTAAATCGTTCTCAGGACAATTTAAGAACGCTTTAAGGACATTTTAAGATCTTAATCCGAGCGCAGCAACTATAAAAAGATTTCGGCGCGTATTTCAAGACTATTTCGTAATTTGCTGAATGGCTAACGAATAAAGCATAAAAAACAATATACCAGGTGTTTATGCAAAATAAAATTACGCATAATTTGTACCCAGAGGCGATAAATAATTGAGTCATTAATTTTTTGCGTGGTACTGTATTTTTACGGTTTCTTTGGGCCATTAAGCGAGACGCGTCGGGGGTGCGTCGCCATAATCGCGACGATATTTTACTCGCCGCTCGCGAAACTTCTTAATTAAAGGAATTAATGCTATAACGCGCCGTCGACGAGTGTGCTTTATCGTTTTATCTCGTTTCTTTGCTCGGGCCACTGCTTAATTGTTTTGACTATTCGACCAGCGAGTCATTTCGCACTATCTGATAAATATCCATCATTTTAATAGGGTTTTGTTTGGAAAATTGCATTCACGGTGTGAGTAAATATTATTGCACGAAATTAAACACATATTTGTAAAGCGCTTAGGCGTGTAAAAGGCTTAATGAAAAATTAAGCCGTCGAAAGTGTCCTGCGGGCTGGCGCGCGGAAGCGCCGAGGTCGAAGATTAAAGAAAGCTTTTTGTGTTATCCGGCCAGGAGCAGGACGATGAAAAGCACTCTTCCTATTACGCCGCGAGTGGAATCGCTTTTCGCTTCAATGTTTGAAAGTCTCTTCCATCTACTTGGACCGCAGCAATCGCTTAATTTCTCATTCGCGTAAAATTTTCAAAATTGCAATTTAACGAATTTATGATCTGAGAGAGCATTCCGATGTTCAAACACTTTTCTTCGAACAAATAATTTCATATCTTAAAGATTAAAATTAAAATTAATTAAAATAAAATTAAAATTTTCGCTAATTTTTCTCTCTACACTTTTGTATTTTTTATTTGTTTGTGGATTTTTTGCTAAACAATTCTTTGTCTCAGCCATCATCTTTCCGTATTCATTTGCGATGAAGAGATGAAGATTATAGCAAATTATTTAAATGTATTCCGTTATTTTAAGCCGGCGGGATAAGTCTTTGAGTTAAGGGTTGGGCGAAGAAAGCGTTCGACGTTCTTTTCATCGCTTGAGCTCTCGCCTGCTTAATATTTACTCTGCGGAGTCTCTGGGGAGCGGGCGAGTGGCGGCGGCGCACGCACGCATTCTAATCCGCATTCCGCACCTAATTGAAATACTCGAACGTCATGGCGTGTTCACATTCAAGACATTCATCGGATTTGCTCGTGGAAATTTTGCAGATGTAAGCAAAAATGTTGATTTTGCCAATTGCACGAATTGTTTAACTATTATTCTTAAATCAGTATTTGTTATTTATGCAATTGGAGTAATTGAAGTTTTTGTAATCAATTTTAATGTTGTTTTTATATTGAGCAGCCATTTACATAAGAAAACAAGTCAATCAAGCAACCTCCATCTTCTATTGTTGTTGTTTACTCATTGTTGTTTATGTACTGGCGGCCCAGACAGTCTTTAATTCATTTTAAAAATTCATTTGCTCAGATATTTTATTTTACTCCCAATAAAATTAAAAACACAAAATTCAATTCAACAAATTTTTTTTTTTGAATTAAATTCGTATTTAATGAATACTATATTTGTTTTGCACCAGGTTTTTGTTAATCCGTGAATTGAAAATCAATACGCATGTATTTTTCGTGCGTGGCTGTAGAAAAACACGTTTCCCTGAGTTATTTTTTGCGCGGCTGACCTGTCTGGCCGCCGATTTTCACGTCGTTTCGCATTCGTATTTCGTGTATTTTTTGCGGCCGTACGGCTTTCGGCGTTTCTGTCGTTCGGTTATTTATTTATATGAGTCCGTATGGACATGGAGCGCATCTACGATGAAAACGGCAGGTCCATTCGATTGGAATAATCGGAAAAATTGTTGTGCCGCGACACGCGTTATTCGATTTTATTCGATCAGCCATACACGCGGAACCAATTTACAATTTGATAGCGGTAGTTATGACTTCAAAAATCTCACCGAGTTAATAATTCCAATTTATTGCAAAGTTTTAGTTTATTTTTGTGAGTAATAGCCGTGTTTAAAGTTAGTTTTAAACAGCGCCCTCTGCGGACGGATAGACGCGACGTTAATCAAACATTAATCGTAAACTTTGCGTGTGTTCGTGGCCTCTTTGTGTTTGCGCAGCGTCTTGCTCAACAGTTTCGCAGTTCAAGTTTGTGTGCTATTAAAATGCCGTCGATGCTTCTTCCTGCCGCGCGCGGTGTTTGCATGCTTAAACTTTGACGTGAATTTTGG